TTCTAGTGGTATTGAGGTTCAATTATCAAAGGTGTGGTATCCCCGGTTCCGCGACCGCCACCCAGAGCTTCAAAAGACATTCCTGAAGACTGTGGATAAGGCACGCAAAGCCTTCGAAGCTTCTAACGTTGAAGACATCGAGAAGTTCTTCTCTGGGCTTGAGGATATGATCTATGACCATAACATCGGCCCTTCAGAGATCTGGAATGAAGACGAGTGCGGTATTCGCATTGGATGCCTTCGAGAACGCATCCAGGTCCTTGTGGTCAGAACAACCCGCTCTTAACACCCTGAAGTTATTGATCCATCGAACCGCGAGCCCTGTATGCAAATTGGGGCCGCAAATACTCTCGGAACTAGTATCCCTCCTTGGCTTATCTTCAAAGCGTTACTAACAGAGTCTTGGGCTACAATTGATGCTATTCCGGGCATGCGGTTTGCACAGTCAGAGACCGGCTTCAGCAACCAACAGATCACATTGGAATGGCTTCATTCTTTTAATGCCTTTTCCTGGCTTTCTTCTGTGGAAGCTAGGGCAAAAGGGATCTCTTTGACTAACTGGTTTGGTTGTGATAAGTAGCTTTGTAATGCCGTCTCCCCACATAAGTTAGCCGCGCCTCCAGCGATTCATGATAAAGAAGAGAAGATATGTCGACTTCTTATTATCGATGGCTTCTCTGGCCACCTTGGCTTTGAGGCTATTGAGTATTGCATTCATTTTGATATCATCATTTGCATCCTGCCATCACATTCAACACACCTGACGCAGCCGCTCGATATTGGTATTTTTTAGCCTCTCAAGAACGCATATCAGAAAGAACTTTAAAAATCTATTCGGGAAGGCAACCTAGCCTTTAACCACTTACAATTCGCAACCGCCTTTAAGTCAGTCTACACAGCCAGCTTCACAAAGCATAACATCATGTCAGGGTTCGAAAAAGCCGGCATTTGGCCAACATCAGCAACGCCTGTGATCGACCGCATCATCGCGAAGCAGTGGCAACAGCGGAAAGCTATCCATCCCTCTATCGTGAAGCTGTTGCCTGTGGAGACTCGATTCCAGGATGCACAGGATCAGATGGAACGTATCTATGAGCGTTACCAGCAGATTATGAGCTCACCCACTCTAGAAGCTGTTACCAACGGGTCCGACCAAGCGGTGATTTCATCACAAGCGTTGGTTTTTCTGATATTCAGGCCCAGCACGAGGCATCGTTAGCAGCCACTGAGGTCAAGCAACAGCGTTCACAACTACGGTCAACCCGGACGATCATAATTCAGGAGATAAAGGCGCTTAAGGCTTGCTGGAGAGAAGAAAATGTGTCTTGCATGTCCCAAGGGCAACCAAGGCTAACATGGAACCAGTGGCTCGACGAGACCGATAACCGATCCCGATTTCTGACACTCGAGGCTCAAAGAAAGGAACATAACGATATTCTTAGCCAACGGCCAAAGAGGGACTTTACTGGGGCCCAAGAACAGGCCCGACGCGCCCCAAGACCGATTATCGCCATGGATCAAAGTGCTTGGCCTAACAGCGATGATGAAGTCGAGTTTCAAGGCATTGGACCCTTCCAAGACGATGACGATGATGTAGACCTCATAGGCTTCCCTGATCTCGGCGGAGATGATCTTCCGGGTCCAGAAACGCCGTTGGGGATAACCTCATCACCGCCGTTGGATCCCTTGGATCAAGGCGATGACTTCGATGACGATAACCTCATGGAACCACAACTTCCGGTCTCAAAACCAAGGATAACGGGTTATCAGCGTGTTAAGAACATCCTGAGGGACTTCCGTCAGCAACAGGCTATTGAGGTTGAAAGGGCAATATCATTATAACAGAGTCATTACGGGTAGGGCAACTAGGCCCCTTGGAACGGGCGGCTCAATTGAGCTCAAAAATGCGATATCGACTATTTCCTTTGAATAGCATCGTTTTCAACTATTCTAGAGCTTTCGAATGCGCTACGTTACAGTCATATTCCTTTCATAATGGCTGTGTCGCAAAGTCTGAAAGATCATCATCGTGAAATGGCTGATTTTCCCGCATTAAAGGACCAAATGTGGGTGACAACGATGTTTGTGGCTGACAAGGGTTTTTGTGACCAACCTCGGGACGAGGTTGGCAGGCGGCTTGCCCACAATGCCAACGGGTGCTCATGGACATGCTCTCCACCAGGGTAGCGCCAGCCGTGGAGACGGGGAACGGAAGGCCAGCCTCGAGGGTCTTGCTGTCGAGAAGCGGAACAAAACCGTGAATGTTTCAATGCTCATGGTGATAAGTGTTTTCTGGGTGATGGTGGTTTCGAATTCGAGTTGAGGTACAGCTGGAAGAGAAGGGCAAGAGACAAGAGTGGATATGTAATAGAGTGGGAACCCACAACACCGTCACCCCACCCACCGTCACCTCCGCCCCGTCCTACATCCCTCACAACCCTCCCTTGTAACTCGGCTATTGCACAGCCATTTGAAGCCCAAATTGACCAATTCTTTTTTAATATACTATCTACGATGGATGGGGATCGTGAATATCTCTTCAGATCTGTAATACTATAAGCCTAATATGATACAGTCGTAAATGCCGTAAGAGACCATGGTCTCCGCCGTACGACTCTGCAGGGCCGGATTGCTAACTCTGTAGATATTTATGAGGTTAAGGAACTGGCCCAAAGACTATCAAGGGGTCAAAAGGCTGAATTAATTGAATGGATCCTCTAAGAAGAGGCAGCCAGCTGGGCTCCTAGCCACAGCCAAATCCGTACCTTCACACAGCCCATGATAAGCTGTGCCGGCGATGACGAGCCCATCAGCCACAACTGGGTCCCCCGGTTTATTGAACGCCACGAGGCTATAAAAATGAAGCCCTCTCGAGAGATTAAAGCTACGAGAACCTGGGCAACTACGAAAGAGGCTCTAAAGGACCACATTGACCGGGTTGATCACATGATCAAGACCAAGAGCGTTGGTCAGGCCTGAATCTATAACTTTGATGAGCACAGCATCGCGGAAGGTGCCATAAATGCCAGGTGAGTAGTTGGCACCTCTCTTACAAGCTATTTGTTAATATTCTTTAAATATATAAATTGTCACAGGCTGAGCCTGAAGTGAAGGCCCGGGTGCAAGCCCGGGCCGGGAGTATAATAACCCGAGAGTGCCACTAGCAAGCAGAGTTTTCACTGCGACCTCTCAGCGAGGTCTCTTCTCCCCCTCTTCTCTTTAGCCTGAGATACTTCTAAATACAAGAACCCTATTGTTGGACAAATTCAGGGCTCGCCCCTTACATCAGCTAGCTAAATTAGTTTATTATAGTAGCTATATATAAAAAAGAATAGGCTGAAGCTAGTAGAAGCTATATCTCTCTTATTAATTATTACTATAGCTCTTAGTAGCAGGTCTAGCTAATTCTCTTAGAGGTAGCTTATCTAATTTGCCGGATCTTCTTAACCTCTTAATTTATTTACTCTATTACTCTATCTGTCTCTGAGTGGTATGCCGTTAATAGTTGCTGCTTAATCTGCAGCAGTTTGTAGAAGTACTTCTATATGTCGCTGACAAACCGGAGCCCACGTTCACTGGTTATAGCTGTTGGAATACCATAGACCGGGTAGTGCCGTTCGAAGAGTCTCTTAGCAACCGCTTCTAAGAAGATATCGCTCATGCCTTCGAGTTCGACGCCTTTAGTAAGCCGGTCCTTGACTACTATGCAGTTCGTCGCGCCGTCTCGTCCCGATGGTGGGAGGTCCGTAACGAAGTCGATAGTGACCTCGCTCCATATTTGTTGCGGAATGGGTAATGGCTTCAGGAGCCCTCTCTTTGTATCTCTCCAGATAGTGTTCCTTCCGCAGACCTCACAGTTACGCGCGAACCGGCGTACTTCGCTAGCTGCGCCCGGCTAAAAGAAACGTCTCGACAGGATGGAGTACGTAAGGTCTCTTCCCGGGTGCTCGGTAATATGGGAGTCGTGTGTTGCTTGAATAATCTTCGTGCGCAGCGGCTCAGGGTTGGGTATCCAGATACGATTCCGGAAGTATAGCAGACCTCTGTCATCCAGTGAGCATTCTGAGATACTCACAACCTTCTCCTTTTGCAACTGTGTCGGTAAGTTCTTCTCTCCATTCGCTACTAGCTTCGTGAGTTCCTGGTAAAGCTTGTCCGCTCGGCGTGCGGCGTCCCAAAGTTGCTGCAATTCCTGCTCCTCGAATAGTCTGATATCCTTTTCGAAATCAAACTCCATGGCGCCCTCAGTGTTGGTGGAAACTGTCGAGATGCGTACCCTTCTAAGATAGTCGTCCTAAAAGACCCTCATAATGCGTGCCTTCAGCCGCTCGTCCGAGTAGTCGGCTGGCATATCTTGGTCTCGTCGAGAGAGCGCGTCTGGCAGTCCAGACTTCTTTCCGGGTCTCCATTCGAGTGTGAAATGGAACCTGGATAAGAACTCCGACCATCGTACTTGTCATTCCGTTAATCTTCTCTCTGAATAGAAGTATTTCCGATGCGATTTATATCGCGGAGGTCACATAAAGTGAGGTTGTCATATAGATGTAGAAAGATGGATGACGAGCTAAGACTACAGTTGAGGACGGGAGCATAAGGTCTCCTTTCTCACGTGATGTTACATATAATGCCAGTCTTAAGCACCAGGCCCAAGGCTGGTTCTTCACGTATCAAAGAGGGAGGTCATTATCTGTGATGCGGCCTCGAAGGATCAGATCCCCTATGGCCCAAGGCTCCTCAATAAGGATAAGGATGAGGTATAGCTAGAAGTTAAGGCTTAACCAGCTACGAATAATATGCACTACTAAGGGTGTGGAAAATAAACTCCACCCTCTGGAAATTAGGGCATAAAATCAAGTCTACAAGAGTTCTAAGTATCTATTGTCTATAGGGGGACAACGATTTCCGCGCCTCAAGCACCCACTACTGGAGCGGATATCAGTTAATGCTTTTTTTTTTTTCAATTACGGAAATATTTGTTCAACTCGGGGCCAGGAACAAACAAGCCATGAATTCTTAATTAACCAGTGATAGTTATATCAATCAATAACATTAGATTGTGATACCTTTTCATCAAGGTAGTTTTAGAAACTTATTCTAAGTGATATATGTCCACCTATCCAGCATAATATGTACATCTGAAAAAGATTGTAATTGTATTCCTTAATTAGAACATCCAAGTACGCTTCTTCGCCTATGCCACAACAATAGAAGAAGCTGCAATACTAGAACGTCTTGAACATGTATAATCCACGGTTCTTCTAGGAATGGACCTTGGAAGCAAATATTGCCCGGAGCCCATCATCCATCCGAAGCGATAGTGATCATACCATGTTGATGGCATGTGCCTATAGACGTCTACCTTTATAGGTAGATGTAGCAGAAAGGTGAGTTGCCAAGAGTATCAAGGGCATCGCCGATGGTAATCTCGGGAGCGTTAACGCCCATGTTCAAGGCATCAGACTTGATGGCATCACGGCTAGGGGGGGTGTTGAGGATGGTGATGGTGCCAGCAATGTCCTTGGCCTTGGCGGGGTGGAGTGCCTGCCAGACCCAGTACATGCGGTCGACCATAGCATGGTGCAGGAAGAAGATGGGGTCGTTGGGAGACGAGAACAGGTCGGCAGAGTCGCCGCCCATGGTAAAGTGACCGGCGGCGTGTACTCCGAGGAACTCGTCACCGAAACGGCCTTGGAACTCGTTCTGGAATAGAGCGATGCTTCCGGAGGCGGCTCCGAGGGTGAGGTTGAACAGGTTGCTGGCAGTGAACCAGGTCTTGCCGGGGTAGCGGCTCAAATCACGTACCAGGCAGCGAGGGTTGTAGCCCAGCGCACCAGTAGGACTGACCTCCATGCCGTCCATACCGGGGGAAACAGGTCCGAGGTTGACAGTCAGGCTGATCCACGTTAGCATACGTTTCAAGTTAAAGATCAACCCAATGTGCTTTACCCTTTGAAGGGACCGTCCTTGAGGCAGCCACCGCCGTTGCCAGAGGGAATGTAGATGTTGTTGAGGCCAGACAGGGAACCATTGTGCGCAACGTAGGTTCCATCACCGCTCATGCTAGTAGCACTACCATCAAAGAGCGGCGAGTCCTTGAACTCGACAGACTCGAACCAGTTCCAGTACTACAAAGCGTCAGTGCTAGTACGCAAACGCGTCTGGGCGTGGAAAATACCTACAGGCTGGGTACCCTTGTAGCCACACTCAGTCCTCAGTGCGGTCTCGTAGGCCCAGGTGAAGTACCGGTGCCATGTGAAGAAGTTTCCCTGAGTCGGATGGTTACCATCGAGGCGACATAGTGTGAGGCTGGGGAGATGGGGCTTGTCTTACAGTGCCGTGGATGCTCAGGGTCTGGTTGATATGGACGGCAACAAAGTCGTCATATCGAGTGCGAGCACCAGGGGCGAACGCAGGATCGGCCTTGGAAGGCTTCGTCGTCATGCAAGTGACGGCGTTAATATACGCGGTCCTCTCGCTGGGAGACAGGTACTTCCTGCAAAGCGGGGTTCGTTAGCACATGGCATGTTGTGAAGCATCTTGGGGCGGAGAAGCAGCTTACCAGTCCCGGCGAATGGACGCGTTGAAGATTGAGCACCCATTGGATCTCTTCGTCGTGGTCGTATTTTCACTCTCCTGGAGAGCCTCAATTGCCTGGTTGTTGAGGTCTACCAGAGTGTCAGTGGCATTCTGGTCAGCGCTAGCCAGGGCGAGGGTTGAGGCGCCAACGAGGCTGAGAATAGCTGTTAGTGAGATATACATGACGGCGAAGTTGGCGGGAATAATACAATGAGAAAACTGAGAGAGGGACACCCTACATGATTGGTTTTATAATATTTGAATGCTACGGAACCGGACGGATAGCCTCGTGGTAAATTACGCTAGCAACTGCACGTGGCAAATATGTTGGCAAGGTTATTCTTTCTCCTTTTTTTTTAATGGCGCATTGTTGCCTCTCGCTTATCTGGTTAACATATATCATGCGAAAGAAGGGAGATACGCCGGGGACGCAGCTTTGCGTCGATGGAGTCGTCCAGGGAATACTGCGGCCGCCCTAACCCTGGCCTGCATTAGGTGGTTGAATCTACAAGTACCTGTATCGCGAGACTCGACATTCTTAGCGGCCCAGTTTTCTCGGTAACAGGCGAATCGGAATGCGCCGGCCCCCGGCCGGACAAGGTCCACTAAATCTCGAGAAGATGGACAGGGCCCTGGAGTCGGCCATCCAATTCTGGTATCGCTTTTCCTCGACTGCATGAGGGAGATTACTGGTGATACGTTTGGCGTCGTGAGTATTTCCCGAAATGGCCACTAATATCCGCCCACTACGGAAGTCCGGCCGCTGTGGAATAGTCCATCCACTACTGGCCTCCCCCACAACCCGGGCTGAAGAGGCGCGCGAACCCAGTAACCGGCGTCCCGAGCCGAATAACTTTCAAGGACATCGTGGGGGGATTTAGTCATTAAAATGGGGATCATTAAAATGGGGACACTCGTCTACAGATCTGCTACATGTATTAGTATAGCGAGGGGAAGTGGTCTTTAGGACACCTGACGGCGCCAAAACACACGCACTACTGGTCTCCCGCCGCCACTTGCCTTTTGGCACAGGTGTGACATCTACCGGAATCCGACTTTAGATTGACTCGTGAACACATGCCATCTGGGTTTAACAAGAGTCAAGCATGGTTGATTCGATCTAGTGATCGGCAAATACGATTTCATTCGCCGTTACCTTGCACTGCCCTGAAAACTCAGGGGTCACCCTGCGGAACCAAGTGTCCACTACTTCACCTCTTTGACTGCGGAAATGCTTGTGGGGCAGCCCGGAACTTCTCCAGGTTTGAGAGATACTAATATTTTTGTGGGAGGTATCTGCTAACTGGACTGCGTACCGCCCAAATCCGATTTGTCCCAGGCAGCCCCACAAGCGTTTCCGCAGTCAAAGAGAGATACTTCCTCCGTGGCGAGCCAATGGAGTCGGTTCGATAGTGCCACGGTCAGAGACTCGCCTACAGACTTCACACAACCACTTTTTTTGCTTGCTACCCGGGCCATAGCACTAACTTATTAAGGATACTCTTTGCGCCGGAAGGTCACATCATATCAAAGGGCTATTCTGAATTGGAATTCACCGCGGCTTCTAGTTCGTGACACTCATCCCCAAATCGGCCGATAAGTAATCGGACATTTCATGTCCAAAAGTTCCCGCAAACACCGGATTCTCCGGCGTTCGTCTTGGCAGGAGTGTTTGGTTGCTCTCCCGCCCGAGCCTAGCGTCCACATTCGAACAAGCTTATTGAGCCCGACCTTCTTATCTTTCCGGTGCTTGCGTTGGTTACCCTGTTTGTTATGCTCCAAATTTCCGGGTTGGGCGGCCAAGGAGATCTCACCTGAGCGAACTAACCCTAAAGTTGGCTCCGTGAAACCACTGTGGAGGGTGCGGCGGGTATTGCGGGCACCGAGTACTACGCGTCTTCAGGGGGGGTTCAGGTGGCGACCTGCATAAACACCACTTGACCATATGCAGTCAGACGCCAATTGTACATATGCTAGACTCCCTGGGTATCTCTGATCCCCATTCTCTGTTCCGTTTTTTTCTCCCGTCGATCGCCGAGGTTGCCCGCGGCCAAATACGGGCAAGATGAGCGAAATCCGGGCGACAGTCGATCCGGCCAGAGCTGCCGAGAACAACACAGCCCAGATCGCAGGCGTCACCACTGCCTTCCATGTCATCGCACTTGTGATCGTCATTCTCCGGTCGTACACTCGTATTTTCATCATCAGGAATTTTGGCTCCCAAGATGCATTTATGATATTGTCGGTGGTAAGATACTCAACTCCCCCCTGCCAGTCCATACACAGCTTGCCGTCGCCATCTATGTCACTTTTCCAACGTGGAGAAAGTCGACCATCGCCGTTTCCTTTGCTAATTGCCGGCCCTTTAGCTGTGCGCTCTTCTTGGAGGCACCGTGACCATATTTATGCAGATACCACATGGACTTGGCCACCATCAAGATACCATCTCGGATGCCGATTTTATCGTCTTCAACCAGCTCAGCTTCGTCCAGTCGATCGTCCCTCTGATAGGCGGTATCGCCTTCCTCAAAATCGCCGTCGCTCTTGAGCTTACAAAGCTTAAAGGCAATGCTTTGGCGTGGTACAACACCATCCTGTGGTGTCTCATCGGTCCGTGACCAGAATATACCCCGCCATATCTCCCCGACTTTCTTTAACCCGACAGCAGTGTTTGTGTCTGCGTACACCTTGATGGCATGGTTGACCTTCTTCTTGTTCTGCAGGCCAATGGCCCGGTATTGGGACCCGAATATTGAAGGCACCTGCTATTCTGTGGATTTATTTACCAAGTTTGGTCTGGTGAACACAAGTGCGTAATGGTGGGAGACTGGAGATGATTACCAGTGTCGCTAACAGTCAGTTATAGGCTTCAACATCTTCACTGATGTTGCTTTCGCCACTCTCCCCGTCCCAATTGTCTGGGCTCTCAAGATGCCCCTCAAAACCCGCCTGTATCTCGTCGGCGTCTTGAGCCTTGGTTATGTGTGCGTCGATCACGATCTCGTTGAAGGAATGTCTCTAATCAGTTCCAGTGCGGTTATAATGGGCATTTTAAAGGCCGTGGCTCAGATTGGGTACAATCCTCTCGGCGACATTACCTAGTAAGAACTTTTGCGAGCCTTCGATATTCGTTCTTGACTAACGGATTCATTCTTCAGTACCTATGACATCCAATTCTGGGGCCTGTAAGTCTTCTAACCTTCAATCATGTGAGGTAGCTAAACTAACTTGACTGCATAGTCTTCAACTAAATCTTGGTATCTCCGCCGCATGCGGCCCATCCCTGAAGCCCCTCTTCAAGAATATCCTGAATCTGACTAGCCTCACCCCTCAATATGGCTACAACTCCGGCAGCAACAACCAGCGAAGCGGCCGGGGTACGGGCCTCTATGCTATCGGCGGAACGGCTTCAAGAGGTTACACCAAGCAGAGTAGCAGGACCGATGGTGGAGAGGACTTTGAGCTGCAATCTCAGTACAGAGCCACTGCAGAGGGAAGAAGAGATGCTGCCAGTTCTCCTGGCCCGTATGGCTCAGGCGAGGATGGTGAATCCATTGAGAAAAGTGGTAGTCAGGAAACCATACTACAAGGAGACAACGGGAAAAAAGGAATTGTTAGAACCACGGAGGTTACTATTACATATTAGGTAATTAATTACGATTATTTCTCTCTTCTTCGTTACGGCCACTAAGCTCCTGCATCCCCGGAACCATCGATGGCCATGTCAATTTAGGCCCTCTGACGTGTTTTTGCAATCGGGAGCCCTGTTCGACCGAATCGATCGAAAATCGATTGAATGCTTAGCGCCGTTCGATTCGATATTCGTAAGACTTGGCATCGAATGAATCTATCGATTCGAGCAAGATGTCCAACCCTGGATTGACCTTCCTCCTACGCATTTAACCGAGGCAACCAATATCGCTTTAACTAGGCTCCGCCGACACAGACCATCAGAGTCATCTAAAATCTGCATGTTGGTTCAGGCCCATGCGACGTGTGGGCGCCGTTCGGACGTACAGCTGCCCCATCCCTCCGGTGGGTCCTCTTTTCGGTGTTGGTTGTCATAAGGGAGGGCTCTTATTGAAAATCCCAGTCGCCACCGTAAATAGCGCAACCACTCTGTTGGTACCGAGATTGCGCGATTTTTGATCAAATGAACGGATCATGCGTAATCCTAGCAATGGTTCTCATTGAAGGGGTGAGTAATTTTGACCCGGCGACGTTGGCAAAACCAGCGCTAAAGCTACATTTCTTATTGGACGGAAATAGTCAGTTCGCATCCAGAAAGCTTGTCCTCGCGGAGAAGAAATCAATGAATGGATACGATAGCGAATTCTTGCTAGGATTGCGGTTCTTCTTAGTGTCGACGCTTATCCTTCTAGTGCTAGTCGCTGATTCTGATGTTCCATGATTGTTGTAGGATGTGTTTTATTTCCGTTCTCCACACTCTCCTTGTATTCCCGGTTCGGAGACACCGCTGCCAGCGCCGCAGTGACGACCGGGTGCGCGGCAAACGCGGTGCAGTCCAGTCGACTGTCGTACGGGCAAAGAGAGCGTCGACCGTGTCCGGTTCGCAAGCGCCAGAGTCGATGGCCGTGATAAGCGCCGTTCGGCCCCGGCTATCGGCCTGATTTGGGTCCGCGCCGGCGCCGAGCAGAGCCATGACGGCCCCACCTGCTCCGGCTTGGCTTGCGCAGTGCAATGGCGTCCGACCGTCGACTGCGGCTTGATTCACATTGCCGCCGCTGTTGATAAGAATCTCTATAGCGGAAAGTATATTGAAACTGGCAGCTATGTGAAGCGGTGTGTTGAGGAACTGATCCGTGGCACCGACCGTCGCCCCTTTTCCTAGAAGCCATTCGGTCGCACCGCCGCGGTCAAGCCTGGCAGCCAAGTGTAGAGCTGTCTCTCTGATGGCATTGGCCTTGGATACGCTACACCTAGCTGCATCGAGACACTCTAACAGAAGCTTGTTTTGGCCGCCAGCACCAGATACGGCGAAGTGCATAGGCGAATTGCCATCCCGATCGCGATGTTCGGCAGTACAGTGCGCGGCCAGCAGCTTCTGCACCAGCTCAAGATTGCCGTTAAAGACCCCAAGGTCGAGCACCGACCGGCCCATGATATCTTCTTGCGTGAGGCTCCAGCCATGGCCGTGGAGAAGCTCCGTCATGGCCGTGTTGCCAGAGTGGGCAGCTATATGCAGTGCCGTCCAGCCATCGGGGCGAACGCTGTAGCGGAGAATCGTGCCGGAAGGGTTTCCTAGCTTGAGCAGGCCAAAGAGACCTTAAAAGAATCCCTCCTGGGCGCAGATACAAATTAGGAGGGCCCTCGAAACCTCCTCGAGATCGGCCAGACCCGTTCCGACGCCGTGTTTAACAAAAGCCGCCGCCAGTCTGAAGTCGTTAGGTCTGCCATGTCTTCCATTCATTATTGTCGGGATATGCAAATTTTTGGCACCCATGTCCAATGTAAACTTGTCATTGAGGTCGATATATGCCCTACTGCTGTTTGTCTCGCAATCGTTGTGCTTGATATTTTCCACGCAGAGTTGAAAGAAGGGGATCCTATCGCCTTTGTAAACCGTTTTATCCCTAGCAGCTGTGATGACGCTCAGGTCAACCTTTGCCCCGTGCTGTAGAAGAAGCTTCGCCACCTCGAGATGGCCTAAAGAGAGAGCAATGCGTAGGGAGTAACCCTTGTCAAAGTTGGGATCCAGGCCACCTGCGAGAAGAATCCTGACAGCTTCGGCGTGGTTGTCGCGCGCCGCCCACTGCGCAGGACTGCCACCCATTTCATCGAGGATATTTGGATTAGCTTTCCAATCCAAAAGCAACTGCATCATCTCCAGAATACCATCCTGCGCTGCGAGGTGCAAGAGTGTCCGCCGCTTGCCATCCACATTTAACACATGATTGACATCTGAACCCGCCTCCAGCAATACACGAGCGTTCGCCGTCTTCCCACCCTGGATGGCTCCAACCAATGGTGTCCCACCGAAGCCCCTGTCTTTAGCTCGAACTCGAGCTCCAGCAGCAATTAGGCGCTTCACCACGCTGCCGTCACTGCATGGGCTGAGCTAGGCTGCAATGTGCAATACTGTGGCGCCGCCTAGATCCTTTGCCCTCACGTCTGCCCCGGAGTCGAGCAAAATATCGACGGGGCCGATACATTCGGCATGTTCGACAACGTAATAAAGAAGCGAGCGCTTGTAATAGAAGTGCCGTCGACTGAGATCCCAGCCTACCTCGTGGAATGCTTCAAGCACGCCTTTCCAATCTTGAACAAACGCCTTAGCCATGAACCGGAGCATATGCCATTCTCTCGAAGCATCCATTTGCAAAGGTAAGGAGTGTTTGATGAAGACCTTTACCAGACTTCCGTGGCCTTTGTCAAATACGATATCGAAGGGGCTTGGGTGCTTTTGCTTCTGAGATGTCAACTTGGATTCAGGGCTAGCATCATCTTCGGGAGGATATTCTACGTCCGGCTCAGCTTTTGAGTCCAAGTTCGAATCTACATGACGAGACTTTTCTCCTGGAAGAGATTGCCGCTCAAAGGCGTCTGCTCCGTGTGTAACAAGGAGTTTGCCCGCATCAAGTGAGCCAAGCTCTGCCGCGAGGTGAAGAGGTGTCTGGCCAAGGTCGTTTTTTGTGTTCACCGGAAAGTCGGCTTCTAGCAGTAGCCGAGTCAATTCAAGGTCCCCTTTCCGCAAAGCAAGGTGCAGAATGCTATCGCCGCGTTGATTGTCACTCGCGAACGCTTGAATAAATGCTTCCACGTCTTCTCTGTTCACGTGTCAGGGCGGGGGCTGTGCCGTAATGTTTGGATATCCGGATGTGATTGGGCTTTAGCAACGCGTTAGGCGTCGACTAGATGCGCCATGTCCGCACGTGGTTCGCCCAGTGAAGTGAGGCTGAGAGAGTCGACGCATTTTTCCACTTCAGCGCGACCTTCAAGATCATCACCTCTCCCCGCACCACCGAGCATCATTATCATTCCTAGAACGCGATGGCCTGCTTCACCAGAGAAAATGACAGCGCCGAGTATCAAGCCGAATTTGATGCCTACTCCACGTGTGATGACGAGCTCGCGCACCTCGCCAGGGATATCAAAAGGCTGGCCCTGCCCACACAGGCCGTTAGTGCATCTGGTTTCATTGCAGGGAAACGCTGAGGTGGTGTATGTTCTTGTCAAGAACGGCGGAGCTGATATCAACGTCGAGGATGCCAACGGGGAAAGTCCAGGGTTGTATTCCCTCATATCTAAGGACCTAGCAACGATACGGATGGTCAAGAGTTTGGGAGGACTTCTATCTCTTCACAGAAACGTGTCAATGGAAATCATGCGAGAGGCTGGAGTAGGGTCTTCCCTCATTGAGCGGGGCTGGAATCTACAATTCAATGCGCGCTTCCACGGCGAGCCGAGTGACGACGAGCTCACGAGCGAGAGCGAAGGTGCCAGCTTCGATGAAGATAACGACAAGGAAGAAAAAGCCATTGCTAATGCTACTGTTGACGATGCCACGAGTGGGGATCATAAGGGCGTATTCGAGTTCCAAGGTGTAACAGAGGGCAACAGTTCGTCGAGTCGAGTACCGTTTAGTTTTATCAGCAACCAAGTACAAGTCAAGGTACCCAAGTTATGACGAGATTTTCGTAGTATCGTTCATGTTAGCATGGGGTCAGGTTTCAATAATCATTTATTAACAGTCGCAAACGCAATTATTCCCTGATTCAAGTCCCAACAAATCAAAACAGCTGACGGATAGTCGAGAACCTAGGCGACTTTGCAGCAACCGCGCAAAACACTGTAAACATGCAGATAAAACAATTCTGCCATACTCAATCCATCGACGTCAACTGTATCACCGCTCGCCTCTCCCTCTTTCTCACTATTCGCGAGCCCCTTGGCACTACCCCACAGCTCATCACCATCTAGACACATCATGACGGCCGCCTTGTACGCTCCGCCCATGTGGTGCGCCATATCGCGTGCGCATACATGTACCAGCCGCCGCCGGAACTCGTCCGCACTTAGACCGGCCGCCCTGGGCCCCCCGGAGGTGTAGTAGTGCGCATCTTGCCACATGCCAATTTCGAAGAGCACGACGCCCAGAGCGTATACGTCAAAGGCCCGCTCGAACTGCCGGTGAGGGCCGTCATACCGCAGCTTGGGGTGCAGCCAGAAACGCCACGACGACCGCCCGCTGTCTCGGAGGTCGACAGTGCGCTCGCCTAGCCGCTCGGGTCGGGAGAGCCCAAAGCCGAGGAGCTGCGGGGCCCGGAAGTCGAGTCCGTGAGTGGGGCCGGGGCCGGCGAGAGAAGACGAGGCCCCGGTGGCCGGGCGGGCATTGTAGAGCGCGACGTTGCGGCTGTTGATGGTCTTATGCATCCAGTCGACACTGAGGAGAGAGAGGACACCGTCTGCGACGGCCGCCGCGAGGTCGTAACGCTGCTCGAGAGAGGGGAGGAAGCTTTTGCTGGTGCTGACCTTTTCGTCCGCGACCGAGTGCATATTCCGCGGAAGTATTGAGTAGAGGGTTAACGGCGGCTGGTTGTCGACAGCAAACGGGGGCAGCTGGTAGACCAGAGCGAAGCACGTTCGGCTCTTCTCAAAGAAGCCTTCGCAATGTGGAAGCGCCGAGAAGTATGGGTGTCCAGCGCTCTGTAAGAGTGTACAGAGGCCGGCGATATGTTCTTTGAGCAGGTCGAGGCATATTGCGTCAGAACCCTTTTATTCGAGCCTGCTGGAAGGGAATCTTCGTCATAGTCATCAAGAGCAAACCTCGAGCTGTCAACTTCAATCTCCTTGAGCTCCTTGTCAGTGACGCCCTGTAAGCTCTTATCCACCCTCCGAGCTTTGATCGTCACAGCCTGGTAGATCTAATTGTGGAGGGCATCATGAACAGAGGAAGCAGCGTTTCCGATGCCCCTCAAATCAGAGGGTGTTGACGACAAGGCGAGGGTCTTCAAGTTAACGATTCGGTCCGCCGCCTGTTGTTGGAGGGGTGGCAAGCATTCTCGCAGCGCGTCGTTGCAGTCCTTGAGCGTCTGGATATGAGCCATGATGCTGTCTCTATCGTTGGTGTCGTCGTTGAAGGACCACGTGAAGTTGACCCTGCGGAAGAAGCTGACCACCCTCGTTCGACGCTGGCGAACGCTTGCGTCCTTGGAGAGCGCCTCGGCGATTTGGCGGTTCTGGAACAGCGGCTTGGCAGTTGGGATCTCGTTGTTGGCCCCGATTTTCACAGGCTTCGAAGCCTGAACCCTTTCGGTCACGACATCATCACGGAGCGCATATCTCTCGCGGAGCTTTCCCAGCTCCTGAAGACGTTGGTGTACTTGGCCTATAATCATATAGACATGACGCTCAACGCGTTCATACCCCATCCTTCCCAGTTGCAAGTCTGCGGCGAGAAGCATAGCTCGACAGAGCAACGCTTCGCTCACAACCAACTCGCCCGACACGAGGTCTGAGGCAAGCAGCCCGCTCTGGTCAAGCTATGTTTCGAAGCGAACACATTGCACTGCCATGAGCGCGGCCAACGTGCCTTGCCAGTTGAGTCAGCGTTACTGGGGTCTTTGAGATATGCGGTGATCTTACCAGCGCTGTCGGCAAATCTACGAGCGGACGATACATGAAGGAAACACGTGCAAAAGAGTAAGGAGGGCTCATGTGAAAGCCATCACGCACACAAGCCCAGAGCAATCTGTCTCAGTAGCTATCTGCCCCTTCAAGGAAGACTGGCTGGCATAATAGCGAGAACCATTTTCCCTTTGTTTCCCTCTTTTCTTTTTCATAACGGATCTTGACTTTTTCACCATGCCCCCAATAGCTACCCTATAGCCAATACTCATTGTGAGGAGGCGAAGCTTGTCAGGACTGAGATCTCCTTATGCAGACGCGCAGTAAGGTAAGAACGAAATTTGGTTACTTTAACCGATTCTGACGGTGATAAATGACTCCTGGGCCCCATGGTCTATAGTGTTCCTTCGTTGAAATATCCTGATCACTTCTGCGGCATTGAAATCGGACTCGGTGGTGCGAGAGGAGTATGTATTTTACTAGAACGCACTTGGTGTCAGTACAATCAAACTGAAATCAAAGTGATACGCAGGTAATACAAACATTCCATTCTATATAACGACAAAGTAATAATCAAACTTCGACTCCTTAACTGTGGTGCCCAGTTTTTTGCCCTTGGCTTAGTTGCCAGACATTTCTAATAGAATTTATCATATACATTTACCTAGACACCTCTCTAGATACGCGAGTCTATTAGCGAGCACACTCGGGGAGAAAAAAGGGGTCTCAGTCATCCTCCGAATCATCGGTCGAGCTGTCGTCCGGACAGAAGTATGGCCGCAAGAGTCGACGCGCGGTCCTGAAGTCATTCTGCGTAGCCCACTCCCACGGTGTCTCTTCGTCCGACTTCTTAGCAGCGTTGTAGTGCTCCATCAACATGTCAAGCGTGTTCTCCATACTCTGATCGGCTGCCTCGCAAATAGCGTTGCGGATGTGTTCTTGCCTGACCTTGCTGGACGAGTAGTCGGCCTGTAGGAACAGTTTTACTACGTCGTCGTAGCCGGATTCTGCTGCGAGAACTAGAGGCCGTTGGTCGGTCCGGCAATCCATGAAGACATCCGCACCATGCTCCACGAGCGTCTTGATGATCAAGTAGTTTTCGGGGCTCTGATCAAGGCTCAAAGCACGGAGGAGTACCTGGTCGTCTGCGTTGGGGTTGATCTTGCGTGACAATAAATGCTCAACCACCTCCAAATGGCCTTGTTCTGCTGCGCGGCTCATTGCGTTGATACCGTCCACGCTCGGCTGCATGAGATAGTGGTGTCCGCTCTTCGTCGTCGAGGGCGTTTATGTCGGCGTCTTCCTCCAGCAACGCCCGGACCGCATCGGTGTGGCCTCCTTTCACAGCCCAGAAGAGGTCCTTGTCATCGTGTGGGGCCAGCGTGACGCCGTGCTTCTCTTCGTGATCCATGAGAAGGCGAGCGATTTCTTCGTGACCCTCGTCGGTGGCCCACGCCAGCGCGGTTTGACCCGAGTTGTCCGCAATGCCTACATCGACATCATTGCCCAGTAGATGCTTTATGAACTCATCATGTCCTTCTTCCGCCGCCAGCATCAGAGCAGTCTTGCCGTAGCCCCACTCCCTGGCGTTCAAGTCGGCTCCCACCTCAGCCAAGATGCCCACCATAGAAGCGTGTCCGTCTTCCGCCGCCATGAGCAGCGGAGTATACCCTCCAAAGTCTTGTGTGTTTACCTTTGCTCCCGCATCAACGAGACGTCTCGCTGAGGTCTCCTAACCCCTGAGAGCTGCGATGTGTAGGGCCGTCCTACCGAAGCAAGGCTCAGCGGTGTTGACGTCTGCGCCGCGTTGCAGGAGGAGCTGCACGGCATCATCATGTCCTCCCTGGATGGCCCAAAACAGAGGGGTCCTTTGCCATTCGTCATCGGAATGATTCACGTCGGAACCTTTGTCGAGGTCTTGCTGCAGTTTCGCCGTGTCTCCCGTGGATGCGGCGACAAGGACGGTCGCTTCCCATGGGCAAAGGTCACACTGTTCCATCATCGTAAGGGGAAGTGCTTATCGGCAGAGATTCGGATTCGACTCGGGGGGATATCAAGCAAAGTGAGAGGATGAGATACGTGGCCTGGATTAAAATTAAATAGCTGTTGGAATATGGATCCAATTAACCCTGGGTATAGCAATATCAGGTGTGCACCTAGCTTATAGCTCAGCTAGTTATTCCAACAATAGCCTATCAGCCCAATTCAGTGCACATTTCGGCGTCGGCGAGAGCGGGTGGGTCGAGTCATGGCCTACTGGTGGCAGTGCTCAGAGAGTTGTGGTTCTGGATCTCGACGCAATATGCGATTAGCTCTACGCGTAATATGTCTTGCTGCATCTGACTTTACAACTTGTATCTACACTTTGTTAGTATAATATAATCAACTCATTTCGTCTTGAGGGTATGCATTGTCTAGTTATATTGCGTACTTAGTATCTAGTTCCAAATAAGCAGCCTGTAATACTCATAATATCAAAAGTCCCATAAAGTGCCAAAGGCATTCATACCATCTAAATGCCAAGTCAGTAATTTCCTACCCCAGTTGGAAAAGAACAACTTACTAGCAAGACACCCCTGCATCATCTCGTCATTTCCCTGCTTATTTGATGTAATAAATATAACCTCGGCCCCAAAGCTGGTATACACATCTCGAAGGAGCTGCACAGTATCTGGACGTCCCCCTCGCTTCTTCGAGTCCCACAATATCATTCGCTCTGGTTCGATGTGCTTATGGATTAGCCCGGTGATTGTTGGTCCGAATGTCTTCTCCTGGTCGGAGCCGATCCAGATGAAGAACCTGATGGGATGTCAATTAGGCCTATAGAACTGTGTTGTTGGGTAACTTACCAGCTAGGGCTCTGAATGCAGGTCGAGAGCGCAGCTCCGATGCCAGTTCCAGTGCAGATTCGGATTCCCCTGTTATACATCGCGGATGCATGGCCGACTCCGGCTGTGGACAAGTCAGTATGCAAACACAATGTTCTTTAGACGGCGGGGCATACCAAACTTCAATTGCCTCGTCCAAACGGTCTTAGGCGGGTCGGTAACGAGGCCCTTTGTGAAGTCGCCCTGAACACCGCAGATCATGTAATGACACCCCGACTTTCTGCCTGCACTGATGATCCCGAACGCGTGGTACTCCAAGACCGAAGTGCGGCTGATCCTGCCGAGAAGGCCTTGTTGCATGCCGCGCTCGAATTTGAGGATGGCGACCTTGGGGGATGGCTGTGGATGGGGCTATTAGCGGATGACGACACCTACCAAAGTGGTAAGACTTACAATCTCGACTTCCACGGGAACCTCCCGTAGTGTAACCCATGGGATGGCAATGCTATACGTGCGTCAGTGCAAGTCAATCATGAGTGAACAGGTGGGTCGCAGCGTACAACACGGTCATGAACACGGCAAACCACAGCTCCTGTGCGCTGAGCAGAGAGTGTGCATCGGTCCTCCACTCCCCACGCTTGATATCGTAGACGTTGCCAAGAATTGTGAAACACCATGTAGCCTGCCAATGATTAGTCCAACTTGGGTTGGGGATAGATGCAGCGTGAGCTTACTCCTAGGCCAATCCATCCAATAAAGCGATGATACCTTTCGAAAGTGTTATGGTGGTTGCTATGCCGAGTCAGCTGTCTGAATTTTCAATTGAACAATTAAAACATACTTGCGGACCCAAGGGAAGGCGCTGATAATGGATGCGATGACAAGAATGCTGGTGATTATACCAGTGGCAAGGACAGCGCCATGCTGAGATGCCCGGTGGATAATGATTTCGACGACCTTGTAGACGAGCCAGCTAGAGACTGTTAACACAGAGGAGCGGAGGCAAAATCCTGGATTGACTCACGCAGCACCAGAAAGTGCACAGCCTGAGTGAATGCCTCCTACATGCTGCAGAGTTGAGGTAACGGCGATCTTAAAAGACAGTGGTGCCCACTGATCAAATATCTGTCAGTGTCTGTTGATGATCGAGGTTTGAGTACAATTAAACATACGCTGCGGAGGCCATAGATAGAGGCGAGGTAGAGGAACCTCAAGAAGAGCTCATTCCTCATCAGAACTGCAAAGAGCAGGTTACCCAATACCAGAGCCCCAAGGTGGTTCTCAGCATAAGGGAAGGAACCGACGATGGCCAGAACGATCCCAACCAGGTTGAGCAATACAATGAGGGTGAAGAACTTGCGATATGTGCTGAACCAGAGGCGGAAGACGATCCATCGGCTGATCTTTGGTCGCGGTCGGACGGGCGTGAGTGTCTGGACTGCAGGCTCAGGGACGGGGTTCTTTTCGTCGAGGCGGAAGACGGGTGATAAAGTCTGAGGTAGGGTGGCGACGCTGGGGGACGATTTTATGTCCTTGTTTATCGGTGAAACATTTGTCGCAAGGTCCCCAATGTAGGTCGGCTTCATGCCATTTTCGACATCCTCAAAAATCTGGCTGTCATTCATTGGAGTGGTCGCTCCGCTATCTACCCATTTTGAAGACATTGTGAGCCTTCGAAGCCGAGAAGGAAAGAGATTCGATGTATTTCGTCTAGACAGGACTGGATTATAAGTGTCGCCGAGGGGTCTCGAAGGAGGTCTGATTTAGTAGATGCCAAGGCCAATCGGGAGTTGTCGAGTTCGATCCGGAGTATGATATTAACGCCGAGTATTCCAAGTAGGTCATCGACTCATTGCAGCTACTGTTGTCAATTTGCTTGTGGCGGCGGGTCGATCACGGAGGAGGCACAGCGTTGAAGAGTTGAGCTGAGAGCCGTTCGAGGCTGATATTAGGATTCTCAGTCGCCTCTGAGAAATTACGCTGGTTCGCTATTGAACGTGTGGTTTCGTCGAGGTACAGTTCTTCCGCGGGTCTCACAAGGCCCTATTATCAAAACTGCCCCCCTGGCCTACCAAGACAGACTTTAGTCCATACCTCAGATTCCGGGCGCTCGTGGGGAACGAAAAGGCCCAGGGTCCCACAGCGATAAGCCGTTCTCCCACGTTCCTGATCCTTCGCAGTCGGGCGAAAGCAAAATTGACTAAGCCACGACACGGTTAGTCATATTTCCAATCCGAGGGAATAGCGAAGGATTCCGGACCACTACTTTATCGTCAGCCGCAATGACGTGAGACAAAAACAGGACTGCGTATCAGGCGACTAAACAGAGGAGATCTGGACAAGTGATTTCGTTGTAGCCAAAGAGACATAAATCTGAAAAGCCATCCATAGCCGTTTCACTGGGAAACACTTGGAGGCGCGGTGCGAGCTCCCACTACTGAGCCCTCTATCTACCCTGGTTCGCCCGTGTTTGCCAAGTAACTTACCATAGAGACTCATCAAATTGGCCCGTAATCTTTCCGCAAAATGCCCCATAATTAACTATATGAGGAAGTGATCTACAGGCACAAGGAAGCGGGCTCCAAAACCGTTGGTCCTTGGCAGACCTGTCAAACCACCATACCGGTAGAGTAAGTTGTGGGCACTGGTATGGAAGATTCCGGGCCAATTTGTTGAGTCTGTACGGTAGATTGATTGCCTGCACTGTTAATCAACTGTTGATGCGGCCTGCTATTAGTGTCAGATAAACTTACTCAGCTCGGGTGCCAAATTAATTTTAGCAGCAGCAGGGTTACCAGACGCGAGCATAATAGATAGGATGCAGCAGAATACCGTATCGACTCGATAACTTCGTACTGGATTTCTCCTCCACTTAAAATGGCTCATCAGTCCACGCGCAGTTATCACGACTACCATATTTCGTACCACAACGAATGATTTAACAGTTAAGCTCTGGGTTGCCTGGATAAGTGGAGAAGAAATTTAGTACGAATTTACCGAGTCGATACGGTATCGCGAAGGTTGACTAAATGATAAGGACAAGATCCATATTTTCTCACGTAAGTCGGACTACCCGAGACCTAGTTCCCCCCTGAAGTAAGTTACTTCCCCTCCCAGCCTATGGAATAAAATAATACTGTAAAGATTCGCGAAATTGAGAAAGTCTAGCGCGACGTCAGATCACCTGCCAGCTGAGGCTATTGGATGGAAGAACGATCGGACCCACGGTCAAGTCTGATCGAATTGCCAAGACCGTGCTAAATGCCGCGCTGGACTTTCTCAATATATCGAGTCTTGACAGTGGCCAACCAGGCCTAACTTAATAGAGGTAGTAATAACTAATTAACCTAGGAAGATTTGCCAGCTACGAGCGTGGCGTGCGAGTACAAGCCAGCAGTTAATCATGAGACCCTAACAGTGCCAAGGAGCAGCTTCAACCCGGTTACCCGGGAGCCCCCTTGATCCCCGGCAATGTGGAGTCCATTATTACGACTAACGTCGCATTTTCCTCACCTCGCGACTCATGTGGGGTCAAGACACCGTCATTCGAGCTGTCTGCGGCTTCATTGGGAATGGTCAGGGCGTCAAGAGAAGATCCTCTACATTTCTGCTCTTGCCGTTCCGTTGAGTGGCCTGTTCCCTGTTCATCCGTCCGCTAAGACACTCGCTAAGCCTTATTGCTCACTGACAACGAGCTTGATTCCTGAATATGAATGCGTAAGATTACCCTCAGTCATGTCGGGATGGCAACCTTTCGAGTGGTGCTTTCACTCTAGAGGAAGGCATATAACAGCGACGGCTGCATCGTCTGAAAAGGCCCAAAGGCTTTATTATCCAACAGGTCATACAAAGCACAGTGACGTGCCCTCTGTTACATGCTCACCTACCCTGTTTCGCCCCAATTACAAACATTAGCCATCATATGCTTGTTCCCGTTCATCCTTGCCGCCTCTACGACCTCGATATTCATCCAGCCAAGAACAACAAGTATGACCCTTTTCCCAGAAGTGACTTTGAAATCCTCGACGATGTCCTGATCCTTGAGTATTTTGAGCAAGAGCCAAGCAAGAGCTTACCAGAGCTAGCATGGACTCCAAACTCTATGAGAACCTCCATATTGTGTACTTTGACGAGCAGACCCATGTCGAGTTTCTTCCCGGTGTTCTTGGAGGCAAGGGGCCCCCGAACCAGCCTTCGCCTTCCCCTCCACTGAGGCGAAGTCCTTTCTCGGTCTCACCGCCATCGATGAACGTGTCGGGTTTTCGGCCTACCTCCGTAGAGTCGTGTTGATCCAGCGATTTACGAGGTACCGGAAACGCACAAGACCTTCTGGAGGCTTCGTCCGCAGCGATAATGTGTCCGAGTACGTTGTCCTTGCCCTACCATCTTCAAAGCCAGCCTCTGCTTCGTCTCTTGGCCGCCTGTCGTGCTCTCCGTAACTCGTCCGTGTAAGGCGCGAGTCCAGTACTGACCGGTTTATATTTCGTCATGCATCATGTGGAACTCCTAAATTCCTTGGGCGAACAGGGTCAATCTCGAAGTTAGCCGAGGAGGGATTTTTTTTCCTGGTCTTGCCCTTGGGCCGCCTGTTTCCGCGCATGAGGCTATTTCTGTCGTGCTCGAGCTTCGACTGTCCCGTACTGGCGAAGCACAGGTGGCACCGGGTTGAGAAGGGGGCAAGACGGGACTGTCTTGGAGGAAGATGCATGGAATTTATGCCGAGGTAGTGAGAAAAAACGTCGACGTCACAGCAAGTGCAACCAAACCAGAAAAAAATGGCCATCGAATCGTGCCCCAGATGTAAGGTGGCATAAAAGCTGGCAGCAGTAAGTCCTGGTCTATTATTCCTTGTCTGACGTCCAGAGGTCTTAGTTTCCAATCCTTTGTTCCCAGCTTTCATCCTTAGGCTTTCGTTCCAGTTTATTGTTCCTAGTAGCTCGTCCCCAGTCTCACGTTCCATATCCAGAGACAAGAGTCCTCAAGGTGACAGTTGTACATCGAAGGATATCAATATGCCATTATCATTTATTCATGTCTTGTCATTACTCGTCTCACTTCCAACTTTATCTAGAATATGCTTCTGAAACCATGGCAAGTAAACCGTTTCCGCCCATGAAGCAAGCTCCCTCAGTCCCGAGATGATCTGATATATATCCCTGATGTTATGAGTGCTGCCAAACTCATACTCCGTCCAGAACTGAATCTTTTTGCCCACGCCCTGAGTTGACATGACAAAAAGCCACCGGTGGCCCATTACAATTATTCCGGGTACAAAAGGTAGCTCGGACATGGCCTCGTCTACCTGCTTGTTGTACTCGTCATCCGTGAGGGATCCTTGGGTGTTGATCCGCAGCAACAGGAGAACCGTGTATCGCAGGAATGTCCACTGGGCTGTATGCCAAGTGCCCATTTGCACCTCAGCGGCGTTCAAGTTCTGGCCTGGTTCCTTAGTCTCAATGCTCAGCACGATTGGCCGCAACTGCAGGCGCTTGACATGGACGACATGATTGACAGAGAGCGTCGGTGTCTTTTCGCAGAGTGATTGGAGCGTGTGTGCGAGGGCAGGGTCGTTGCGACTCGGATCAGCATAAATGCAATAGTCGATCATCTTTGTTCCAATCGATCTCGGCAGGAAATTTTTGTGTGGGCGAACAGTAGTGCTATCGGGTGTTATTAGCATAAGCCCATCTGTCTAGGTGCGTGTCCAGGAACTTGCCATTTGGTGTAGTTGAAAAGACCTTCTTCTAAATCGAGAGGTCCCCTGAAGACTGCAGCCAAGAGGTGGCCGTGGACCTCTTCATTCCAGCCCGCTTCTTCGTGTCCCAGTTCTTGGCAGTCTGTTGCCCTCTTCAAGATTGTTGCTACCTCTTGGGGCGATGGGATGCGGCCTGGGAGATGTTGAAACTCGGCTGACTCCCTGAATGCGTTTTTCCAACGGCGATGCCCCATCTCTCGTACCTCGGAGCTGTCGAGAATCTCGTCGCGTCGGTCGAAGGGCAGGATGCCGTCGCCGTCACTGATGTCGGCGAGAGCGGAGAAGAGTTGGGCGGCGCTGAGTACCGGTGGCTTATCGATGTCTAGATGGCGTGAATCGAACCCTGTGTCGTCGAGGCTGAGGCCCATGACCTGTCGTTTGAGCGGCGAAGATGATCGCGAGGGAAGGGAATACGGCTCTGAGGCGGACGATGCTGCGGACAAGCTGGGTGCCCGCTGGTTGCTGGCGCGTGGCGTGCTGTCGACATCGAGTTTCCGTCGCTTCCCGGTCGGTGTATTTTCCATATTCTCTTCGGTCGGCGGCGGGCTGGGCTCTTGGAATGTCGTTCGTTTACTGCCGCGACCCAATGGGATTGTTGTCGGCTGTCGCAGTGAAGATTCTTGGGGAGAACCGGCTTGGGGGGAACCGAGCAATGTTTCGATCCAATCGAGGACTCTCTGATGGTCCGTCATGGCGTCAATTCATGCTGTGCTGAGTGCTGGTTTCGTCGAGTCTATGGCCATGATGGTTTGGTGTTGAGGTGCATGGATTGTTTTGGTGCCATGACGAAACGCTTTGGCAGGGCAACTGGGTGGGGTCGCAATGCGCAAAGCCACAGTACCGCCACAATGCCACAGTGGCACGCCTCGAGCCACAGAGCTGCGCCACCATGTCATTGACTATCCAATCGCTGTCGAGCCGCTCCAAGCCGAGCTGTTAAGCCGGATTCCCGGGATCCAAGCCGATGAAGCCGACATCATCATCGGCTTCACCACGTTTCTCGTCAACCTGGTGAAGATGCTGTCGAGCCCAAGTTTCTTAGGTCGTGGTGAACGGCTCCTTCATTCGTGTAGACGCCCTCATGCCGCTACAGCGTGCGTCTGACCGACCGAGCCGACCGGTGCTTCGCCGCCCAAATGGACGCCCTCAGGCTTGCGAGCCATGCCGAAAGCGCAAGGTGGCTTGCGACAACCATCAGCCCATTTGTCGTAGGTGCCAGAAGGCCGCCCGAAGTATCCATTGCGAGTACATCGTCGACTCGCGCATGTCAATCCGGACCCCGTTCTCACCTGGCCAACCCATATCTGCATTACCCACCTCAACCTCCAGCGTCTCGTCCCCAGGACACCAAATCCAGGAACCTTCCACTAGTAATGTTGGTAATATCAGGCCCACTGTGGACTCTCTCCCAAGGTACCCCTTCATCGAGACTGGATATCTGGGCCCGACAAGCTTCTGCGACATCTACGAGCAAGCCCAAGAAAACCTCTCTATCCTTCGCGGCAGGTCTAGCGGGAATAGTAGCAACGCCGGGCAGGTCGACACGGCCCCTTCTGTGAAGCTGCCAGAGCTATCCCCTCGGACCCTGGAAAGATGTCTGGCCGTTCTCAGAAAAGTCCCACGCCGGGACGAAGGCGAGAGACTGTGCAACGCCTACTCCAACCCCAACGAGATATGGCTTGGTCTCGTTGGCCATCGAGTGCGGGACTCCTTCTACGATACCTTTGGCCAGGATCTAGGCGATGACCGGACAGATGCCGGTCTTGGCGAAATCGCAAAGCGGCTCTGCTACAACACTTCACGACCTTTGCGAGAGGATGAGAAAGACCCGGAGCAATGGGTGCGTCAGTTTTCTGGACCCAACCTCAGATGGGAGACGATGGGCATCATTTTCTTTTACTGGGCCAACTGTACCTACCAGTCAACCCCGCTCTACGCCGAGCTACTGAGGAACCCCCAGCATAAATCCGATGTGACAGACTATCTCGAGGCCATTGACTTTTGCATCGAAATCTCCAAGAGTCTAACCAACGGAAACTCGTTGCTGGTTTTCTTGCTTCTCCGGCGGGGGCTCCTTGAATCCATGAAATCCGGAGATACCAGTGAGCCTCTCATCCAGGCTTGCCAGGCTTGAAATGGCTGACACTTTTGTCCAGGTCCGCTGATGTGGAAATTGCACGGCGATACGGTTTCCCTCCTCACGTTTCTGGGCCTACACGCATGTGCGCCCGACGGTCCCAAATATGTGCCGACGATATGCTCCGAGTGGAAGCGAAGAGTCTGCGCTTTTGTCTTCATCGTCGACAAACTACTCGCCTCTTTCACCGGCAGGCCGCCGGCCCTCAGTCGCCGGTACATGCTGACTCCTCTGCCGCTGGACCTTGATAACGATGTGTTTCTGGGAGACAAGGTATCTCTTTCCCAGGCTATGCAACAGCTGAATGCCACCGGCTGGAACAAAAACGGCGTCATGACCTCCTCGACCATCTATCGTGCTCGGACCGCAATTGCTTTTTTGAAAGACGAGTTACTCGAGATTGCCATGGGTCACGGGCTTGAAAGAACAGTCGAGACCCTCTTGTAAGCCACAATGCGACGATAGCACAGCTTGAGGCTAACCCCGCAGGGATATTCTGCGACGAGAGTCTGATATGATGGCAGCCCTTCCCGCTGGTCTCCACTACAAGCACGGGGATATGCTCGATCCATGCCTTGGCCCGACTATAGTTTACAGCCGCTTCCTGGTCCATCTCGAACATCTGCACAACCTTTTCTTCATCCACAGGCTCCTAATCCAGAGGGGCTACGATAGCCAGGCTGATTTGGTGGCCGTGAGCTTCGAGATGTTGTCCGTTACACTACTTTCCTGGACGCATCTCGACCGGTTGCCCCGGATAGCGATAGATATGGAGTGGCTTGTACGCGATGATAGACTCTCGCTTTGATGCTTTAGCTGATCTTATAACCAGGTAATGGCATATGCCGCTCCTTCGGGAGGCATCCTTTGCCAGGAGCTGCTCAAGCAAACCGCAGCCCCCGACGTGGTGCCAACCAGCGGGAAGCCGGGCCCGACGCGCTTCGCCATCATCGAGAAGCTGTTCCTCTTGATAGGCTTTCTCGACTGGGTCTCGCCGAATGCACCGAATAGTGACCTCTGCAGGTCATGTAAGCGGGTCATCCGTCTGGTCTTGGAGAAGGTGACGCAGGAAACCCCTCCGGCTAGCGGAGCTCCACAGGCTGTGCCCGTTTTCGAACCGTGGAAATGGGACCTGGGAGATACATCGCTGGACTTTGAATTCGATCTTCTAGACACCTTTGAATGGTTGCGGCCGGAACTGCCGTCAATACAGGGTCATGTGGACCAGAGCCTGCCTGATTGAATGGGTCATCTGGAGGGTCTGTGGTGTAGACAGAGGTCAAATATTTGTCAGTAAAATGTCCATGGGTGCACTACGTGCTGGTTGAGTCGCCATGGCTTGTCACTGCTGCGCAGGTTTCGAGGGTATGGCATTCTAGCGTGACACCTGAGAGCAAGAGGGCATTGCATCTATGCAGACCAATTGCCTGTGATCGGATACCCCCAGTACATCGAGATCAGTATGGGTAGGATGCCATAAGCCAGCAAACCAGCCCTATCATTCTATCAGCAAACTCAATGGTTCCATTCCCAGAGAGCATGGCAGGCAACTTGTCTTTTGGTTTGCTGAGCCCGCATCTGGAGTTGAAGCAACAATCTGTCACCACATGCTGTGCAAATTGGCAGTCTTACCGAAAGAGCTTTCGTCGTATGGGTACTGACTTCGCCGAAAGCCTCGGTAGTCATCCAAGATACAGCATACAATCGACCTGGTTGGGAGTTGATGCTCAATAAAGCCTCGTGAATCAGTTCGACCCTCGCCTGCGTAACTTTTGTCGCACTCCCAGTAAGTCCGGTTTGCAGCGAATTGAACCGTGCGCCGAGAGAAGATTCGTTCCTGCAGAATTCGTCCTCGTCAGAAGAATCGGGGCACGAGATATCTGGTTGCCTGTAATCGTCAAATGAGATTGTGGGTGGCGCTCGTCGCACTCTTTCAACCAAGCCCGGATCTCAGCCATAGAGGCCTTGGATCAGGCTCAAGTCAACTGGAATAGAACTACATTCCCCCAAACGTCACATCTATAATGTGCAGCTTCAAAGGCACGGCTGGAAACTGTTGAGAGCTGATTGCATCTCGGCGCCAAGCACTCAACATGCGTCCAGTGTCAAAGTTATCAGTCAGTCATGATAATTGGGAATGTCTGAGGGAATTGATTGGTTTTATGAAGAGTTTGACTTCAAATAAGCCTAATGGTTGGATACGAAGATCCATGTAATTGCCAAATAGAATTTCATCATGTTCTATATAAAACAGTCCCGCGTATGCTCTTTTCATCCAAGTCCAAAAATGCCATTCCCCAATGTAGTCTCAATCATGTTGTTCTCCTAAGCTGAAGGGTCCACGCGAATCAAGCAGGAACCCATACCAGGGATCTTGTTCCAGTTCTCATGAGGCTCTCGGATGTTCTCCATGTCCCAGATCTTCTTGATGGGCACTTCAATCTTGCCCTCGACAAGCAGCTGCATGATGGCGTGCTGGTCTTCCATGAAGGTAGAGCGATCGCGGTCAATATAGTAGAAGCTGGTGCTTCTCTTGGTGAAGAGGCAGCCGTTCTTGGCCAAAAGCTTCATCTGCGCAGGAAACTGCGATCGCGTCTTGCCGGCGTCTCCTTGGATGATGTTCATGTTGCCTCCAAACCCAACCACACGGCTGGGCTCGTCTCGGATGAGGATTTCCCACGACTCTTCCCAGCTCTCGAAGCCAATAGGGTCGTAGACGACATGAGCGCCGCCTAGGTTCTTCATCTCGGTCATCCAGTCCTTGTTGGCGTAGGTGAATGGGTTGGCTCCAATCTGACGTAGAGCGGCATGGTTGCGCTCCGAGGCGGTGCCGTAGACCGTTGCGCCTTGTAGTAGGCAGAGAGTCGTCACAGCATATCCAACAGCGCCGCTCATGCAGTGGACGAAGACGCGTTGGCCCTTGCCGACCAGATCAGTAGCGCGGTGAACCAAGCCATAGGCGGTGTTCCAGTCGAGGACAACGCCGAGGGCCTCTCGCATGTCGATACTCTCGGGCACAGCGATCAGGTATTTTTCAGCAATGTTGATCTTCTGAGCCTCAGAGTCATACACGGTCAGAGCACCAACCAGGTCGCCGGGCCTAAACTTGGAGGCCTTGTCGCCGTTGGCGCTCACACGACCGACGAAGCAGTATCCGGGTGTCAGCGGGGCGGCTTTTTGCATGGGGTATGAGCCGAGACGCATGTTGATGTCGGCACCGGAGAAGCCAGCGTAGATGACATTGCATTGGACCTCATTCTTGGCTGGGGGAGGGATGTCGGCGGTGACGACGTTGACGTTGGAGGGATCGCCAAAGGCGGAGATGACGACCTTGCGGATGGTGTGAGTGGTCATTTTGGTGGTTTGACGGGTATCTTGAAGGAGAAGGGAATAGAAAACGGGATGGCGGTTGTTCAAGTGAGGTTGGTTACTGTGTGAGTTGGTGTATGAAGACTTGGATGTCTCGGTATCTGGGCTGAATTGGAGTCCTGAATAATTAAATCAAGGGAGCAACTCGATGCCTTCTCTACACTTTACTTATACTATTGTGTGTCTCGCCCACTTAGTCGGGTAATAAACCAAATTCAGTCAGTCGACATGGATGTCGATCCTTCGTCGATCCTTGGTCGCCAGTTCGCTCCGCAGTCTGATTGGTTCTCGCTCTTCGCTTCTCGCGCTCTCGCGCTAGACGAATGCAGGTCAGCGTCACAGCGAGCGAAGAGCGAGATGCTGACGATCCATCGTGGCGGAGGAACACGCTGCGCCACTGAGGCCATGCTGTACTTGCCATTCGTTATGGCGGCAGCACTCGACGCGATGCGACTTTCGCGACGCGAATCACTCGCGCTAAAGCATTCGACCAAATAGTCTCCCTCGCTGCGGACTTTTCACCTGCTGTCCTCTCTGGAAGTCCAGCTGGTCCGTGGTGCTGGAGATTGGTAAAATCGCTACGGCCAGCACAGGAGACGCTCATCAATTCCAGACGTAGACTAGGTACGGGACGCAAGTATCTATCGGTTGTCTTTGTGAGGCATCACTACTACTGGAGGTAGCGATTCATCCCTATTTTGAGGTCTGTCTTCCGCTTAGCCTCCAGTCTTCTGTTGATCTGTGTCGCCACCTGCGTATACCACATCCCCAGAAAATACTGAGACGCCGCCTTCGTGAGAGTCATCCTGCAGGACAACAGAAGCGGCCTGTTCAGCTGCGGAAATGCTTGCAGAGACACCGGCTACTCCAAGGCCGACAACGGTGATGTCTACATTCCGAGGACTAGTATGGTTCGAGTAGTGCCGAATCAGAAAAAGTAGAAGCTAGTAATGAGCTGAAGGATAAACTAGGCCCAACTTTGGCGATACTGGTGGGCAAACGGACCTTGGTAGCACGGCAACAAGGTGCATGCGTACTGGACTGGCCAACGCCGTGGGATCGGACGATGCTGATCATGTCTGAGTAATTCCGAGGAATGCAATTGGCGCAATAACTCTAATTTTATACAGCTAGCACGGGGAAATATGTAGGTTCGAAGGTAAACACGGTCTACGTGTGTATATATACATAAAGGGGGAGACAATTAGACGGTGGGCCAACCGCTGGAGAAATCGATGGTGTTCCAGCCAAATTTCTTCTGGCCATCACCATATCCGATTCTGGTGTCCACATAGTGGTAGTACAGGACCTGTCATGGCATCATATTAGAATCAACACGGCGCACGTAGGATATTGTAATAGGTCAGCTCACCGCTCCATATTTAGGGTCTTTGTACACGCCCTGGCCACCAGGTCCATAGACCCATCCATGGGATTCGAGCACAACTGAGCCGCCACCGCTGGCGCAGGACTTTCCTTTCTTGTCGACGAATCCGCCTGTGGCCGAGGTCGATCGGCAAACCATGATCTTATACTCCTTGCCAGCAGCAGGTCTGTCCGCGTCGAAGCCGCAGCACTTGCCCTGGGAGTAGAATAAGTAGTAGTAGTTGCCGTTCTTGTACAGGTACGGAGCTTCAATAGCCGTCGTCACAGGCTCATAGACCAACTGGGTTGAACCACCACCGCTGGCGGCGGCGGTTGGGGTGTTCTTCATGGGCACGGTATAAAGGCCCTTCCACCAGCTTCCAAAATACATGCGCCACGTGCTGCCATCCTTGAAGACGTTGGAGTCAATGGCATTGTATGGCTTGGAGCTATCGGAGCGCACGCCGGTGGCGCCGACGTCGGTCCAACTGCCCACGTCCATGGAGGAGGAGCGAGCTAGACCGATGGCCGAGTTCTGCGAGCCAAATGCGCTGACAGTGTAGTAGACGTAGTACAGGTCGCCGATCTGGATGACGTCCGGGGCCTGCAGGATTCATCCCGTAAGTCATGGTTATATGAATGGTACCTGGGCAGCTTGATACTTACCCAGAGATCCTGGTTTCCAGGAAGATTAATGGCCGAGCCCTTCGGAAGCATGGCGCCCTTATAGGTCCAGGGACCTTCTATCGCCGGCGCTGTGTGAATGGCGATACGTCCGCCGGTAGAGAAGCGGAAATATGTGCCATCCGAACGTCGGATGATGGACGGGTCGTGCGCGTTGTTGCAAACCCCTGAGCAAGCCTTGGGGTTGGCGTAGCCGAAAACGCCACTGGACAGAGCCAGGCCGGAGAGGAGGGACGATATCTTGACCATGGTGACAGAGCGATGACCTGAGGAAGAGCCGAAGGGTTGGTAGAAGAAGTCTCGTGAAAGCCGAGCGGCCAGAGCTGGAATCCTTATAGACTGCCTCGCGCCGGTACCTCCCTCCTTGACAAGCCATTAAGCACTCCAATACGAGAGCCGGAACTCACGGAGCCGCAAGAAAGTCGTGTGGCTACAGGGGATCTCTTCAAACAGCGCTCCTCCCTCGCTGTCCTTTAATCTAGGAGTACCAATTACATCTAGATCGGCTAACGTTTTTCCGCCATCGTCCGAACGATTTGTGGAGATGTTTGTTCCATCTTGGGTAGGTAATCCCTACAAGCGCGCCATTAGACTCGGCTTCTTCGCCATCATCCGACAACGGAAAAACTACAACCGGGAATTTCTTCGTTTAATTGACCGCATAAGGCTGGTATTGTATCAGACGCTTGGACAACTTTCGGAAGGCGAGCGCCGAGTGAAGTAAGCCCATGAGGCTGTTCCCTGCTCTTGATTACCTGGAAAATACCAAAGGCTGTGGAGACCTCAAGGCTTTAAAGCTTCTGTTGCGACCTGCCACATTGGTATATATACAGATAAGTAGACGCAAAGGGGTATTATCAACAAGGGTTTGGTGTTTCCATGCTGCGTAGGACCTAGGTGCGATCAATTGTGCTAAAGCGTGACTACCTGCAGTTTCCACACGTAGATCATGTAGCGTGTGACTTCAATTAATTATGCGAAAACTTGACGCTAAAAGGTGAGAGACTTCGGGCATGGAAATCTTATTGAACGTTAGTACATAAATTTATACCGCTGCCTTCGCGCTCAACGACCTAAGCTTGGAGAGCTTTATCATAGCGAGGGCTGAGATCTAGGGTAGGGGAGGTTCTTGTCTCAAGGCCTGATGCCGCGGGACGCACACCACCCCTTGTGTCAAGTATGGAGTTGGTGATTCTGAATCGCAGGATTCTTCGGACTATGTGGGGTCTGTTATTTTAATTATATTTCTGTCGGTATGCCCCGGATTTTGAAAGTCCTCAAGCTCAATTCACCGCTTGGTTGACTATCTAACGTTACAAACGTAAATATTGCGTATCATTGCGATGAGTCGGGGATAACTGTAGTCAGGATTAGCATGGCTGAGTTCTTGTCCAGCAGTGACGAGTTCGATGGAACTTTCGTGTCACTTTTAGTATCCAAAATATTGAGTAGGCTGATAAAACGATGCCGATCGCTAGGTCAGCATATGGCTCTTCCTCTTGCAGTTCTTTCAGATTCACTCCACTCCCCAAGTTCCTCGACTTCAAGATAGCCGAGTGTCACATGATATTCTTTAACAGCCCGTGCAGTCGCTAGCTTGGACTCAGACAACCTTGCCATCATTTCCCCCTCAATGCATATCCGGACCTGTCCTCAAGCCCCATTCCTCCAAGCTTTCTTTTCTCCAGAATTGAACCCCCCCGATCCAGGATAGAGGCTATTTGTTCTTGTCTGGAATGTTGGAACCATTCCCCTAAGATGAGGTCTCCTTTATAAGGGATCGGTCGTACGCGTCCAGATTCTTCTGTCTGTAGTCCACGGCCGCTTCAGATGAAACCACGACGGCCGTAGCGACCCTTCCCTTCACAAATATTTATTACTCTCTATGGCGGCAAGTATGCCTCTCAACTACAGTTCCCTCAGGACCTTCCAAAGGCCCCGTCTGACTGAGAGTGGGCGGCTTTCCATAGAGTCGGTTACCGAAATTGAGAAATAGGTACTCAAAGCACAGACTCAAGGCGATCTTGCTCTTCAGTGGAAGCCACCCTCAACCTCTGCGAGATACTGTCTTGCCCTCGGCTGCCGCTATCAGTTCGTATTGACTGCATTACCGCCAGATGAAGCAAATCGAATCCGTGGTCCGCTCCAACATGGTTACTACTCGGACAAGTGGCTGGTCCTCAGCGTCAGACGAGGCCTCTATAATTCAAGACATGGACGTTAAAGTCGAGCCATACACCATCTACGACGATCGTGGCCGCCAACGTTGGGATTGATCCTTGTTTGAAGTCATCGAATTTGCGGGGGGAAAAAAAAAGCTCAGGTGTATCAGACTCTTCAATAACGAGAATAACGAACAAGAAGCGTCGAGGAGAGACGAGTCATCGTGGATTACGCTGATGAGTCAACTTGCTGATTGGTATGAATCTTGGCATCAACATGACAGTTCCCAAGCGTATCAAAAACATATTTTCGACCGCACCTTTGGTACAGCTGACGTCACGTACTGCTCCAAGATTACGCCTGTCTGCCGCGCGGTCAATTTATCGGGACTTTCAAACATGATCATTATGCTCTACTAAGCGGCAGCAATGGAGGGTTTGCATCTTCATATCGAGGCACATGCTCAATACACGCTTCTGGGTCATGAATCAATGCCTCATTTTGTAGTTTGGTGAGTACTAATGAGCTATTTGTAGAAAAGAAAGAGAAGAAAATATAGTTAACGTGCTCTAAGGCTCACCTTTACTCAATAACCCTGTTTGTCGTCACTTTACCTCATTGCGTCGCAAATTCTGATCACGCCGATTTCTCCTTGCTCAAATTCTTCTTGCATATCTTGGAGCAGACTGGTAGCCTAGTATATTCTTAGCGACGATACGACTTTTGCAACTGCCTTTATGGCTTCGCTGAAACGTATTTATCGACAAGATCTGAGATAGGCGGTGGCAAGGCACCTAATGAGCTCGTCGAAGGGAGATATGAAGGGGATTGATTCTTGCCGGATCCAGAGATGCAAAGTTTCTAGTTTTCTCTTCTCGCAACCTGACTGCCAACCAACGACAGATTCGTCAGTATCTGCTTGGTCCACTTTGTCTAGCTGTGTCAGTCTCGTATTGACTGAAATATTCAATGGCGGGGAATGTCTGAGCCAAATTGGCTACGTGTGCCCACACGCCGGGGTTAGGCCGATTAGACCCGCTGATTTGTGCATCTTGATATCAGTTTGCTTTATAAAACGCTAAGAAATATGAACTTGATGTGCTCCATGGCCCTGCTTCTATATATCGTTCCAGGTGCTAAAACCTGGCCGGATGTATCAGTAGTCTCGGAGGGGGGGCGGGGCGCAGCAAGGCTGATTAATACGTTTGGCAAGGGATGAGATCGGTCTCGCAACCCGATGCCATTGGCAGACGATCAGATTACATCGAAATTTAATGTGAACTATTTCTGGCTAGTGGGGAGCAATCCAGGGCCGGGGCCGAATTACGTTTGGCTTTCGTGGTTCCGCGGTCTCATCCCGGTCCGTCGTGTGCATACGCGGAGTTTGACTTGTACACGATGCCCCCTTTTCGGCTGACCGCCAGCTCTTCTGTGCCTACACAATTGCACGTCCCCCAGGTCAGGGGTGCGTGGCTGAGCAGGACTTGCTCCATTCCTCCTGGTCGGCCCTGCAGGAGAAACAGCCTTTGACGATGCCGCCGTCTCTTATCATTTGCTCAAACATTTCCCAGACGTGCAGCTTGTTTCCGTCGACTTGGCATCTCCGTCGTACCCAAGCTCGTCGCTAGTGTCTTGGCGGGCAGATACGCGTTTAGGGTTCTGGGATATGGTTAATCTAAATAAGCATCCTGGCAGCTCCCCACCTTAGCTGAATGGTTAACGTCAACACGAAGGAGCCAAGAATCTTCGAACAAGGAGACGTAAGCCACCAGGCGGCCCTGGTTTATTGTCCTCGTAGCAGTACATATATCAAGATCGCCGAACCGTCCCGTTCCATTAGTGTTGAGTTCAAAAACAACATTCTTTTTTCTGCTATACTTCATAATACTTCATCACATAACTTTTTCAGCGGGCCTTGCCAACTTCAGCCCGTAGTCTGTCCCTACCGATTTTCACACACACATTTTCCAAGGCTACGATACCGCCAACATCGACAAAATGGGCATTTTTGACCCCGAGCACAAGACCAACGCGCACATCTTCGAGTTGCTGTTGATCATGGGGGCCGTAGGGTTGACCGTGGGACGTATGATACGCGCGGATATGCCCATGACTAGAGCCGACACCATTGCTCTCGGCATGGTGAGTGAAAGAGCCCCCAAGCCCGAGGAGCGGGCATTTGATGGTCGCCGCTATTGGCACGGAATGCTAATCCACATCGGCCACGCCTGGTAGGGAGGCAAGTCCACGCTCATTATAGGCTACCAACTTCTGACGGAGCACAACCGCAGGATGAAGCGCTTCTACAGTCGCAAGGCCTGCCTCATCCTGAACACGCTCGAGGTCGCCTTTTGGGGGGCCGTCGTCTACTTCTCCCACATGTCCACCTCGGCCATGTGCCCCCTGGACAAGGACCTCGGGGCGACCTGCATCATGGGATGGGCCATCATCGGTCTGGCCGTCTTCATCTGGTAAGCTACCACCCCAAGAGGACACTCGGGAGACGCCCCAGCGGTGCTGACCCGAACAACTATCCAGCGTCATGTCCGCCTACGCCGCCATCCTGTCCGGCATTGAGCTCCGCCGCCCCCGAGAAGAGCCTGACGACAACCGCAAGTTTGCCCACTTGACAGACGCGTTCGACGACAATTACCCGCTCCGTCCCGTCCCTTCCATCCCCCAGCAAGCCGGCCGGGAAACCGAACAATACTACACTCAGTATTCGCCAAGAAATTAAGGTTGTTAGTTGGGTCTCGGTGGGGAGAGTCAGCCAACGTATACCAGCGCTGCCATCCACGGCACTTGGGTGGTACGACATGCTGTACGTAACCGCTCATCCTGTATATTTCCTTTGTTTGAGTCGGCTTTTGAGTATCAAGGCATCACGCATCCTACCCCTGGATACCTGTTTGGTCTCCATGGACTTTATAGACACGGGACATAGAGGGGCTGATGGTTCGCACTGGAGCCGCCATATTGCGAGGCAGATGCTGGTTGGTTCAGCGGCTCAGGAAAACACATGAGATATTGGAGTGTGAAGACCAACACCTTATATTCAACTTAAGACTATACAGGTAATACATCTACATTCATCCTTAGACACCTTTGGGATCTCCATTTCCAATACATCAATGTCAAGACACTCATTGGGATAGCAACGAGGAAATAAATCCATACTGATGGCACAACTGACCAGCCCGAATCATCGCGGGCGTCGAAGAAGCTCATACCAAAAAATCCCTATTATAGTTAGCTCATCAAAGCTACCCACGAGGCAGGAAGGCATACCGATACAAAAGACGCTGGAAGGTACACTAAGGTAACCGCAGTGATGACACGAATGGATGCGCTATCTCCTAGCATGTGGTTCGACATTTGCTCGGTGGTATTCTGACTCTTCAGGCTGATCGTACCCGAGGCCTGCCGAAGATGCATTAGCTGAGAGTTTTATGGGCCGAATTTTGCCTTACTGCTTGAATTGTGCTGTGTACGCGTGAGAGCAGATGTTTCACATTTGACATCAACGCCTGGTTCTGGATGAGGAGATTCCGCAAGGTTGCTGAAAACTCATTTGCCGACTCCTCCGATATTCGACGGCGCTCTCGCAGTTCCGCATTTGAAAAGCCCAACTCGTTGAAAACACGCTCATATGAGGAGAGAATGGGTTCCAAGGGTGAAAGCCTCGTCTCGATGTAGCGAAGGGAGGAGAGCTGGTCGTATGTTGTCTTGAAGTCCAGGGTTTCTTCGATTTCCACATTCAGGATGTCCATAGCCTGGAACCTAGTAAGCAATATCCTTACAATTTTGTAGGGAAAAAAGAAGAAATTACTAGTTCGTGGAACTCTTTTTCAAGGTCAACCATGTACCATCTCCAATTTTGTATGTGCGCAGACTGCCAGCAGAGGTGGGGTTGAAGGGGGTGCTCGTCCAGGTCCATGATTTCTGTTACTCGATCGAGAGAGTACGATTGGCGGTTTGGAAAGATTAATAACCATGTGTTTTTTTCCGATTCGAGGCTGTATTGGTGATATAGGCCTATCTGTCGAATCACCCAAGTGACATTTCCTTTACCCAAAGCCTTGCGCTCGGGGTATTTGAAGATGTATGATGTTTCTGGCAAAGGGTCAGTCACCGCTTCGGTTTTCATCATAGATGGGCCATGTCAAGATCTTACCCCTCATGGCTCTGTGTCGCCTCCACGAGCAAGGCGAAAACGCTTCCTCGACCTCGGTATTCTGAGCTCTAAAGGATAGGACAATGTCCCAAACGTCACGCATGGCATTCGCAAGAGTCAAAAGCCTATGGATCATGCTTTTGGAGACATCCAACGGCGCCCAAGAAAATGGTTGGTAGACGATACTTGGCTCTGTGTCAGAAACATTAATTCTTATTCTTTTGGTAGATATCTTACGCTATTCTCCTGACGAAGCTGTCGTTGCGCATATGAGTTTCAAGATCGTGTTTGCTCTGGATGCGCCTCGACCGATTCAATTGTCCTTGAACTTCCGATTCTTTGTCGCTGGCGTCGAAAAACTCGAGCAAATCCATGTAAGACTTATCTTCGGGAGCGAAAATGGCGTCATCGGTGTATGGTAGGTCCAGGTGGATGTCATTTCGCGATTCCATTTCTATTTCCATCTTTATCTCTGGGAAGGAAATGAGAAATTGTACTTGGGGCTCAGAAAAAAGACTCGTCAAGAGATTATGTCCTGTTGGGTGGGGGGAGTTGTATTTCGGATTCGTTCACTCGAGAACCATCTAGGTTGTAGAAATGGGTTTCTGTGTTGATTGAAGGTTCGAGAAACTAATGAGATACAGGCGGAAGATCATTCATATTAATGCAAGCTTATGCAACCGCCGAGGTTATCCTTGACGCCAACACAGCCACCCAGGCAGTACAACCCGCAGCGGGCGGCTTTCGCCTGGTTGTGCCCTGCTACAGTACATTTAGCCCCCTAGTGACTAACTAAAACAAATCCGATGGCTCCCTTAAGGTGAGCAAATTTCTGGCACAAAGGGAAAAGCCCCCCGTGAAACTGGAGCCAGCGGCGGAGTTGCATCACTGCCCTCTGTCCCTCTCATTAGTTTTAAGCACCAGCCAAGGCCGCCTGCTGGGCGTTGCTGAGACAAATGTGAGCGACGTCGTTTTCTATGCACCATCCATGCGACTTTGACTAATATATACACTTACATTACTTCTTGGCGCTGGAGTTTAACAGGGGCGTTATACCACCAGACGTCGTTTTCTATGCACCATCCATGCGACTTTGACTAATATATACACTTACATTACTTCTTGGCGCTGGAGTTTAACAGGGGCGTTATACCACCAGACGTCGTTTACCATCTATTTGGTTAGCAGGTGCATCGCCGAGTTAATGAGAGAAGGCTCACTTCAATTCCACAGGTTTTTTTACTCATCTTCCATTTGCTCTTCAGAAGATCGAGCAGAGTTTCCTCAGAAATGTAACGGAGCTTGACAGAGAAGCGCGGCAATTTTCGAGGCATCGTGGATCAACGGCGTTGCCGAGGGTTGGTTCAATCGGGCTCTGGCTGATAATATACGCCTTCAGCCTAAAGAACTACGACAGCGTGAGATGTGAGTCAGTCCGGACCAATTTGCGTGTTGCATGCGAACCATCTCTTCCAGCGGGCGCAAGTGACGTGTCGAGCCCCAAAACGTCCAAGTGCTGTTTTCTCTTTGCAATCAGGCTGCGTTCTCAGTCTCATCGGCCACTATGAATGGCACACGGAAACGCACATGCTGACTTGGCCCCGGCCGACCGAACTGTGAGAGATACCGGGCATCCAATCAGAGCTGTATATTGCCTCGTCATGTGGCACAAGACAGGCAGACGCTGCACATTGCTTTCAGCTCGGTTATTCTTTAGACGCCCCAGCCCCATTTCAAGTGACAGGGCTTGAAGGGGAGGTCAGGCATCCAATCAGGGCTATTTCTTCTATCTTCATGGCAGACAAACATGCATATTGGCTTCAGCCTGCATTTCATTTGGCCTTGGCACCTTTGGATTCCTTGTGCCCGTTATTCGACGTAGCCAAGGTGAGTTTGAACCTTCAATAAATCTCCCTTTTCTCTTCTGACGCAGGTCTGTGTTCCGTGTGTCGTGTTTGCCTCCGTTGGACCAACTGAAGTCACACTTCATCTCCAGACATTTAGTGCTTTGAGTAAGCTTCAAAATCGCACCATCATTTTCAGCATGTCCGACGACCAGCCCATAGAGATGGGCGACATGAACAGGTCTCCAAATTGGAACTCGTCGCCACCTGGTCACCTGGGCCACACAGGGCAACCCACTCCTCCTCCTGTGCAATCAGGGTAACTCTCTTTCTAAGAATTCGATCCCAAGATCATGCATGACTGACGCTTTTTTTCCCAGCCCGGTAAACAACCGGAGACCGATGACTCTACTGTAATAAATAAATTCAACCATGCATGGCCGTTCACAGCTGATTATTGTCTAGGCGCAAGCTACATAGCATCGACATCTTTATGATCGGTATCTGCACGGTCATCGGAATGGGCTTATATGTCAGAACGGGAATCATTTTGAATACTGGTGGTCCGGGTGCCGTTATTTACTCCTTTGCTTTCCTCGGCTTCCTTACCTATATGGTCATGCACTGCCTGACAACCATGTTGCGTGTGTGGCCCATCGCAGGCGCTATTGTCATCTTTATTGAAAAGTTTGTTGACAAGGAGGTGGCCCAAGTTGTGGCCCTGCTATATTGGTGAGAGGAGCCATTGCCATCCGCGAGCAAGGCTAACGTCTAGGACATGATGTCTAGGCTCACTTTTTGCTTCAGCTTTGCTGGGCTTACCACAGTCATCATTGAATTAGGACAGTACTACGATCGTGATGACAATCCAGAAACCTGTCGCAAATTCAAAACTTGGTCAGCTGCCGTGTGTGCTATTTCGTTAATTGTGCCGTGGGCATGTAATCAGCTGCCTGTCCAAGTGAGTTATCAATTTCTCACTAGAAATAATTGACTATTATTTACATCTTTTAGTGGTTTAGATATATTGAACGTGTATTGGGTTTCATTAAGCTGGTTATCGCATTGATCATCATCATCACCATGAATGTTATCAACCCGACAGGTAGGCGTTGAATTCTGATGCTCTTCGAATCAAGCTTACCTGACTTGCTCCCAAGTTTCCGAGGTAGCAGACATTAGTCCTGAAATCACATACACTGCCACACAAAGCACTGCCACCAAGACAATCACTGAAGCATCCCCATCCTTTCTACCTAGCACTGATGCTTTCAAACACCAGGATGGCTGGAATGGTGGTTGGTTTGCAGCCCTTGTTGCATGCATCTTAATCGCCTCCTTCGCTTTTATTGGCATCGAGGCGATCGCCGTCACAGCGAAAGAAGTCGTCTTTGAAACCAATAGCGATGATCTAGACGCCGATTCTCTGTTTTCTAATACTACCGAGGATCTGAACCCTCCTCCAGAGTCTACCGAGGACGGTACTGTCACAAGAGACATTGCAGAAAGCGAGAGTCTCTCAGTCCTCGATACCGATATTAGAAGCTCCGAAAGTACTTCCAATAATCCCTTCGAGTTGGCATCCTTGCTCCCATTGGTGATCACGGTCATCTACATGTGGGCTGGTTGGATCGTCACTCAGAATGTCTCTTGGAAGAGTGTTTCACTGCCGTCCTTGGAATGGACCGATAACTCCGACCCCTGCAATGCAGACATTTCCATCTTTGTCATGAGCGCAGACAAGCTACACAAGAAAGGTGTCCTGGCAAACTTTTTGACAGGTCTTCTGATTACCAACATTGCCTCTACATCAGGTGCAGCACTATATATTGCCTCGCGCACACTGTTCGGGTATACTTCTGCTTACGCCCGAAAGCACAAAGACGCCAGAGGACTACGCATCTGGATTGCCCGTATGTTATCTATCACTACTTCGTGGGGCGTACCTTGGGTTTCTGTTTCTGCTTCGGCATGGATGTTCTTGCTGCCAGTCTTGATGCGTTTAGGCGGCGTCAAAGTCATTCGCGTGAGCTTGTTCCTACACCATTTGAGCCTGTTTCAACTGACCCGACCAATCTAGGCCATCGATGTGGTTGCTCATATGGCTTCTGTGTCATGTATCATCACCTGGGGCTTGATTTCACTCTCCGCTCTCCGGTTCTATCGATGGTGCGTTAACCAGATAAACCCCCCATATATTTCATTCGCTAATCAGAAGAGGGACCTCTAGCCGCTGTAGACACCCTAATATCACTGTCTCTGGTAGATTTAAGAGCATTATGAAGGTTGATGACTCGTGGTATCGCATAAGGATCGCCATCTCCGCCTTATCGACTTTCTTATGCACCATGGTCATCGTCTTGGGAGGAATATTCACCGCCGTCTTCAACAAGAAACAGTCATCTTTTATTGCAATTTTCTCCATTGTAGTTCAACCTATGTCGGCTTTGAGACAGAATGCTTGCTAACTATTCTAGGTCGGGCTTTTCTTTGTCCTTACTGCTGTGCTTAAGTGGACCAGAAAGCCCTCGGAATCTTATGCATGGCCCAGGATTAGACTCGGTGTTGACTTGCGCGATCCGACTGAAGTCAATCGTATTTTTGACGACCTCGATGATCAGATCAAACACAGGGAAGAGGGACGAGATGAGGCCGAGGACGAATGATGAGATACTAGAGGTGCTCTGAAAGGTGAATTAGAGCAGACTGGCCACAGTTCGTGCCTGTGCGCTGAAGAGTCTCTCAAGGACGGAGGTGAGCGGTGTTGAATGAATTAATTCGGTACGAACTCTGAATTTAATACTCCTATGCTACATGTGCTACCTCAATTCATTACTCCTCGGTCTGAGTCTCAAAGAGACTCTGAAGATTACATTTGTATGTTGTCTTTTTCTCGCAATTTGTCACCAAGAGGCTCATGTTGAGACCCTCCTCTTGGAGTGCCGCATCATCTCTTCTGGGATCATAAGTCATCGGTTCAAGAATGTTGAGCTTCTTTGGTGTGGGAATCGCGGGATTTCCTGGCGGCCGATCAGTCTTGAACCTTATCGGCTGAGTAGTTGTGCATGACAAAGTGAGCCCGTATATTTCAAGCCCTTTATCACGAGTCACCAGGATGGCAATCCTTTCGTCGTCAGCGGAGAGCAGTATCTTCTTCACACTGGCAATATTCGCAAGTATTGTCTTGTCCTTGGTGGAGGAGGCTGTCGTTTTCTCAACTGACTCCCCATGGCTGACATATATGAAACCTGCTTCGGTATTCAGAGGCACAATGCTCGTAATGAAGAAGCCGTTGGGCGTCGTATCCTTTGTTTCATGAGTATTCTGAAGGGGTGCTCAGCTACAAAGAACGAACTGACCTGGTTTGGAATCTTCCAAATAGCCGTTCGCTGACTTGTGAAGGTGTCCCACATCTCAATCTTGAGTTCAGCGGAGCCGCGAGGTTTGTAAGCGTGATACAAGTATTCGCCATTTCTAGAGAAGAAGAGATCGCGGTTGCTGTCGACACTCCTTAGTTTTTCATTTACGTGACCTTCAACCCTTGCGTTGTCGAGAGAGACGTCCCTAGGCTGTTGTTATTGAGCACCGACGAAGTAGTTCCAAAGGACTCACTGTACACTTGACATGTCGAATATGCGAATCTGGGCCCAGTAGTGTTCACCCAAGCTATAAACAAGAGCAAGCCTCCTTACATCCGGCGACAAAGCCACCAGCTGCAACGATTTGCTTGTAATCGTCCGGAACGTTGGGACTCCAAAGTGTTCAGAAGGCTCGTATTGGACGATCTACTCTAAGTGGTGAGCAAGTTAATATGAAATCGGCGGTAGGTGAGAAACGGACCTTCAAGTCTCCATATGACGTTTCTGCGAGGAAGATGGCATGATTTGATGATGAGTGGTACCTCGGGCGGATGGTCGGGGACCATTTAGAATTGACGTCGGCATGGATGCTGTCCTTGAAGTTGTCATGTTCATGATACATGTGCACCGCTTTTGGGGCATGGTAAAATATGGCCCCGTTAGACTTGTTGGTGCAGTATGTGATCCCTTCTGGTACATCATGTTTGGTGATCTTGACCTCGACACATGTGCTGTCGCTGAGCATTTTCTGCAACTTGCTTCTGATATCCTTCAGAGCGTGGCGGCTTGAGTGATTGACGAGCATGCTTTTCTTGACGTAAGTCACGAATGGCTTTCGCAGTGACTGCGCAGCTGGGCCGCCACCCGACTCGATCAAATCATTCATACAATCTGTCACAATCTTCTTGCAGCCACTTCCTTTCGCGTTGGAGAAATGGTCGGTGTTGTCACTGGGGTCTCTTCGCCGTGCCTCCTCAAAGATTTCGATGCCAGTTTTCCCGTCACGGTTGAAGATGAGGACAACGAGAAGAACGCATCCAAACGACCACACTTCACTGTTTTGTCCATTAGTTTTGTCAGAGTATGTCCCTTTCCATCGAGATGTACTGTTATCGGACCTAAACTTGGCCCAAAGTGCGTTGTCTTTCTTTCTTTGTTGAGCTTCGCCAAAGTCGGCAAGCTTGAAGACCCAAGGATCATCCTCACCCTTGCCGCTGGTGCACACAAGAATGTTGGCTGGTTTCACGTCGCAGTGGTAATACGGTAAATCGTCATCCGCAGCGGACTTTTCTGACAGCCACACCAATGCCTTGCAGATGCCCGTTATGCCATTTATGTTTTGCCGCTGCATTTTGAGTGAGCGATTGTCTTGCCGTTGCTGGGTGCCCGAGATTGGCCGGTATTGATCGTCCCTGATAAAGTCTTCTAGACTGCAGATTGCTTGCTCGAAAAATATGCTTCCGAAACACTGGTTCGTACCGGTAAAGGTGAAGCTGCATATCGATCTTACGATTGCAATATTTTGCGGGCTTTTCGGGTTGATGACATCTTTGAGCACTTTGTTTTCGGCTTTGAATGCTTTTTTTGCCAAATCATCCGTGGCGAAATCTTTTCTAGCGAGAACCACCACCTAGATTACTATGGTGTTAGCGGTTTGAAGACGTGTCATATTAAAGGAGTTTTGAGGACCTTGGTACACACCCACAGGAGGACCGAAGATGTACCATATTATCCTGTTTTTTATAAATGCACTCACATCTCTGTTTACTCTGCCATCGGCGGTGGAATAGTGTCCCTTTTCAACCTCAACCCTGTAGACCGTGCCATGTTGCCCTTCCCCGATTTTGGTTTGTCTTATGTAAGGTAACGGCCGCCGGAAATCAAACTGATTGCTGGTGTTATCGACGATGGTGATGGGTAAAACTTTGAATTGCTGATCATGAAATAGCTGACCATGATCATTTCCAAATATATCCTTAGCCTTGTCCGTCTTCAAGGGTAGGTCCGTGTCGAAAACCTGAGTTGAACCTTTGAGAAAATGGTTCTCGAACTTCTCCATCATTGAGTAATGTCCGTAACGAAGAATGACTAGAAAGATAAGGCGACGGCTTCGTTCTCGAGACCCGAGTATTTGCTCCAAATAGTCCCCGATCTCCCTCTCAGCCGGATGCAATAATCGCCCAAAGATTCTTTGTCGTAGTATCTTCTTGTTGATCAGGCCATCCAGAACGTCATTACGTAGAAATATGGACTGGTCGTCCACGACGGCGTCGTTTTGACCGAGACCAGAAGCTGCATAGCGATAACCTTGTGATATATTCGGGGCCAGTAGATCCGTGAAGTGGCGTTGTTCGGTTTCAAATAATTCGTGGGGTTTCGGACGGGACGATATCTCATAGCCAAGGCGAGATGATTCCTGGGGATTAGGACGCGATGATTCAGGAGCTGAACGCGACGATATGACGGATACCTGACGCGAAGGGTCCCTACGGCGAGGCCGAGGCCAGTCCTGGAACATCGTTTTGACTCACTCCACCTTCGCGAGAGACTCCGCTGTCCGGGATATGGCCTTTTCGATGAGGGACAATTACCAGGCGTAAGATGATAACCGAGGAAGTATCCATCACCGGGCTGAGGTTGGGGTGGAAACAACCCAGCGCGGCTTATCTAATGATCAAGTGCAGGGAATAAAAAGAAAGTCCAATCAGGCGGCACAGGTTCTTATCTTCTTGCTGACCTGTAAGCGCCTGGTAGGACGTGACCAATAGTATCATTTCGCAACCAGCCGGGTGAATCTTTGTGCAAGCCTCTAAGCCACACTTAGACACAGGCGGAATAACACAATTTAGGTGCTTGCAGATGCCCTTCAATTAACCGAATATTTAGCAGGAATCTCAATACGATTAGGGATGCGATTCTAAGTATATTGCAGATAATGTTGGTAGAGGAGTTTGGAATTTAGCAACTGTGTAAGCAATGATGTTGTTCTCTTGTGTCATCGGGACGGAGACGTGGCAGAAGAACTACTAGACTTCCACGAAGCCCATATCGAACCATTCAACATTTGATCAAATCAAGAGAGTACTATTACTCAACGACCCTTCATACATTCCGCCAAAAATATATCCACAAATGACACTATAGCGCCCATCTTATGATTATCCGTCTCGCCCCACGACCCGGCCTGAATGTTAGTCCCTATATGGTCCATGGGTCTCAGTTGTATTCCTGACGTCTTTGATGCTGCGTTGGTGATTCCAGCGCTCTGGACTTCTGGCGGCTCATGACACGCATTCGCGTCTGAGTGTCCGCCTTCAACCTTGATCGTGATTTCTTGGGACACCATGATACCACCATATGATGGTGGCGACTGCTGAATCTTTTCCCGAGAGGCATTCGACTCAGTGTCATCGATTGTACCGATTGACTGCGAGCGCTTTCCTCCATCAGGTGAACAGAAGTTGACCGTTGAGCTTGTCTGGACAGAGTCGGAATACCTCGATGTCTCTGAGCTTCCAAAACGCCGTAACTTGGGCAAGAGGCCCGATTGTCTGTCTTGGGACCCATCGGTATGAGTTCCAGTTGCCTTTATGATAGGCCAAAACTCCCGGTGCACGTCTTCCATGAACCCCTGCTGGAATCGTTCAGCTACCTGACGCATCTTGAAAAAGCCCAGAGTTGCTAATTCGCAGTTGGGACCAGACGGCACTGAATGAATAGGGACTACCAGTCGCAGTGCGATCATGAATGTCTCCGCTTGGCGACTATGCAGACGCACAATGGTCGGCGAAAAGGTAGCATCTTCGAAGAAGGGCTCTTGAACAAACTCGCGCAGAGATTCAATCGCATCGCTAAGCTGCATGGCGAACTCGGTTTCGCGGGGGGATCGGTTCGAAGCACTGTCCCCTAGCCTTTGAAGAAGCTTCACCACCGTCAAGTCTTGGAAATGCTTCAGGAATTCCGCTTGCCATGGCTCGAATCTCTCCATGGGAAGCGCCGTGGACGGGAGGACGTGCCTTGACCCTTTTCTCACGAGCACCTCAAATCCGAGCTTGACTCGCGGTCTGATGGCAAAGAAACCCAAGTGCACACCAGGCGGGACTCGATCTTGTTCCGTCGCATAGGAAGCCATGTCTCGCAGCTTCGCCTCGAAGTCGGCGGATTGGATCTGCATGCTGCATCTGATGATGTCACAGACCTGTCGGAGGTCGGCAAAACAGTGACCGGATGAGATCAACCGCTCTGCCTCGCTATCAGAGTTGACGCGGCGAACGAGGACGATGAGCGATCCGCGGGCGTATCCCTGCTGCCAGTCGAAGCCACTCTCTACGTCGGCTCGCTCGTGGGCTCGTTTAGGCCCCGATCCTGTTGGGAGGATCTCATCCCAGAGAAGTCCGACAGAGGCAAGATCCTCGTGCAGTCGATGGCTCAGCGCAGCAGCTGCTAGACAAAACAACTCGCGAAAGACAACATCGTAGCCTTCGATTATCTCGCCATGCTCGTTCATCAACTGGATGCCGTGTCTTCCTTTGCCGTGAGAACCCGGGTCTGATAACTGAGTCAAATGATGGCTCATACCGTCAATCAGTCTAGATATACCCCCCCAGTTTCTCGAGGCTTGGAACATCCAATGGAATAATGGATGAGCGGTGGTGAAGCCTTCTTTCGTATTCTAACAAAGTCAGAGTGATCCAACAACAGCGCCACTAGTGCATACCTTCTCCAAGAACGAGTCTGCCATGACTGTACTAGGGATCAATCCATCGGGATCAACGAGTATCCTTCCGTCTTTGTCGAATACAGCAGCAGCCAAGGTAATCTGCTGCGCACGAAGGGCGGACTTCCGCATGTTGTTGGCGCGGAGAATCGCCAATCCGGCCATGATAGCACTAGCACCGAGAGACTGTCCAGATTAGCAATTTGCCGCCATAAACACTGACAATAAACACACCAGGCAGATGACAACAATAACGGTTGCGCTCCGTGACAGCTTGTTGTCCTTGGACTTGATGTGGATGAGCCGATACCGAGTCCCAACAGCTGCACACCAGTGCATCCCAGAAACAGCGCTCGCAAGCACAACAGCAGAAATAGTACGCTTCCGCCACGAGGTTACCCACATGGCCCGGAATATAAAGAAGATGGCCAAAGCTATCGTACTCGCAATAATGGAGATGATTGCAGCGCCGACGATATATGCTGGTTGATAGATGCATACGTAATTGCTAATCGAAGCATTTCCAAGATAGTGCATCCCGCAGATGGCAACTCCGCAGAGGACACCGCCGGCCGCGACTCTCCGCCAAGACACAGCGTTATTCGTACCAACGGCGACAAAGGCAGCAAGGAGCACAACGATGGGAACGAAGAAGGAGACTGCGGTAAAGCCGCTCGAGAACTGTATTTGCAGCTCTGTCTCTCCGTTGGCCATGATGATAGCCGTGTTGCCGATGAAGTGCTGGGAGATGTAAGCAGATATCACGCAACGCCTCGGAGGTGTCTTGGCCACGCACCATGCACCAAATGGAGATGCCGCCCATAGTGACGGCTGAGCTCACAAGGAGCACTCTATTTTGGTCAGCTGCATGTTCTCGCTAGCCTCGTGGTCATGTCGGGCGACGGGCATACTGGTTGAAGAGTCCTTTTGACCCCGTCCGGCGACTGATCAGCTCGAGAGTCGAGGCAGCACCGATGAGGCTGACGACGCAGCTAAGAGCGACGAAGCCGGCATTGTAGCTCTGAGGTACAGGTTGATGTTGGTATTTGTCGAGTAGATTTGCCGCAGACATGCTGAACAGCTTGGCGGCAGCGTTTGGACGAAGGAGCCGTCTGTGAAGAGAAGACGGCGCTTTTCTGAACAAGATGACTTGGGGTAGGTGGGCGCTCCTTAATGTGGCTGTTGCATCTGTTGTAGCCTTGCCATCGCAGCCCTACAGGCCGTAGACGCGGGTCAATTAACAGCAGAAAATTTCCGATTAGCTCGAGCAGACCTGTCATGCGATTGTCATTGCACCGGTGGGGTCCGGTTACGCAGAGTCTAGAAATTGGGGAGATTGAGTTGTTTTCACATGTGCTCCAGAGCTAGGCTGTCCAAAGATGTTGTTGCATGTGTGACGCCTTGCTGATTCTGCATCCTGACGCGAGGGTGATGTAGTTTAAGGCGGCATCGCCATGGCACTCCTGACACGTTGACCGCGATGGGCGTACCTGTGTTTGTCATTCTACTACGCTCAACGGCCTACCAGACTCAGCTCGCTTATCAAGCGACTAGGGCTGAGACTCGGTAGTTGAGGCTTGCCGCCACCCGAATTGGCAGCGGAGATCAACGTCACTATGGTCAGGGGCACGGATGTTACAAAGCACGCAAGCTGCGACTATCGATTGTCGAGTGATGCCTGGATGATGCCGAATGACGCTGGCTGCTGGTAGTTGGTTAGCGGACTGCGTGGCGGCGGCAGCTGCAGCTGAATAGCCGTCTTTTCAAGCCTCGAGCGTTGCACACCTTTGCGTAGCGCGTTGGAGATTTCCCCTGTCACGCCAAAAGGAAACGGAGAAAAAATCCATTAGGGCCGAGGCTGCAGTGAAAATGTCCACAGTGGCGTCAACATTGTCCCAACGATCAAGAGATTTGACCGCTTTGACCTCGACCGGGCATCAAAACGGGCGTCAACTTGTCAATGGCTGGATAACCGACCGCCAAAAGCAATCGATTGCAATGTTCAAGACTAAATGAGCATGGGTCAATGCAAATACCCAGTCCGTGTGTAATTGCCGGACAGACGTCTGATTCACGGTATCATACCTATTATATCACTGCGAGCTTCAGCACAACCCGTGAAGGGGCCACGCCAGCCCATGACGCTTCCCTCTCAGATTCCACCACCATGAAGATCCTCTTTCTGTGCACAGCACACAACTCGCTCTCTCAGCGGCTGTTCCTTGCCCTGTGTCAGACGCATTCAGTCACTATTGAATATGCCCTCTCAGACAAGGCCATGATTGAGGCCGCAGCCCTTGCCCAGCCGGACCTCATCATCTGTCCCTTTCTGACGTCCCGCATTCCTCCGGAGATACACACAGCCTACCTCACCCTGATTGTCCATCCTGGGCCGCCCGGAGATGCCGGTCCCAGTGCCATCGACTGGGTCCTCATGGGCGACGACGGTGCGGTCCCCGAGTCCAGTCAGCTTCTCCAGACACGCACTTGGAGCCGGGAAGGCCGCTCCCATTGGGGTGTCACGGTATTGCAGGCCGTTGCAGAGCTGGATGCCGGCCCAATCTGGGCATTCGAGCAGTTTCAAATCGACATTGACGCGCCGGGCGTCACCAAGTCGACGCTCTATCGTGGATCCATCACCAGGGCCGCCATCACTGCCACCCTGGCGGCTCTTGTCCGCATCGCGACGGCAGCTCATCGGCATACATACCATGGCGCCACCTACTCCCTGTCCCATCTTGTGCCAGACATGGCGTATCGTCTCTCGTCGGTGACAAAGCAGCTCCCCTTCCTCGGCGGCGCAACCCATCGTCGGCCTCTTCTCAAAGCCGCCCACCGCGACTTTGATGTGCGCTTAGACACGGCCAGTGACATCTCACGGAGGGTTCGCTCTGCCGACTCGCAACCGGGCTGTCTCTCGCGGGTGTTTGGTGGCCCGAGCCTGTATATCTACGGTGGCACAATCGAGGAGCGGCCAGACCTGCTGAAAGGCGTGGAGGACGAGCCGGGCAGCATCATTGCGTGTAGGGACGGTGCTGTCTGCATCGCCACTTGCGACGGCTTGGGCATCTGGATCACCCACGTTCGCCGAGTGAAGCGCAAGGCCGATGCCATGCTCTGGCCCAAGGTGCCTGCAGCACAAGGCTTGTGTGAGCTCGGCCTCGTACAGTATGGCGCGTTGGAGAGGATGCTCTCGCCACGCCCGACAGTCGACTGGTCCAAGGCAGCGCACTCGACGCACCAGGAGATCTGGGTCGACTTTGCGTCGTATCCTAACGCTCGGCGCGTCGCCTATGTCTACTTTGACTTCTACAACGGCGCCATGAGCACCGAGCAATGCTCGCGACTGATAGAAGCTCTTGAGTTTGTTGCGTCGACGCACGTCGTCGAGAGGCGTCTGAGTGCCGTCGTGCTCATGGGCGGCGACTCGTACTTTAGCAACGGCATCGCCCTCAACGTCATCGAGTCGAGCCGTGACTCTGCTGCTGAGACGTGGCGCAACATCAATCGCATCGACGACGTGGTGCACATGCTACTTGACGACTTTCCGCGTCGCAGTATCGCTACTGTCGCTGCGCTACGAGGCAACTGTGCCGCCGGAGGCGTGGCTCTGGCGGCGGCATGCGACACCGTCATTGTGGGCTCCGAGACGGTGCTCAATCCCGCGTATCGAGCTCTCGGCCTGCACGGGTCTGAATATCACTCTTTGTCTTATACCGGAAGATGCGGCGACAGGGGTGCGAGGCGCCTGTTGCGAGACATGGTTCCTATATCCCCTTTTCGCGCGAGAGACATGGGATTAGTCGACCATGTGCTGCCTGGGTCGGGGCAGCTACTTGACACCAGGATTCGTAACCACATCAGGGCCATGATCCCCAGGGCCGACTTCCAATACGTGCCGGGCAAGTGGAAAGCCGGAGTCGACGTGAGCCTTTCCGGACTGGCAGCGGCCCGGGCCCATGAGCTTGGAGAGATGGCAAAGGACTTGTGGAGCGCCAGGTCAGAGAGGTACGACTCGAGAAGACGGGACTTTGTGCGCAAGATCAAGCCTGTGCGGACGCCGTTGCGGTTTGCGTCGCATCGGCGTCGGGGGGAAGAAGAAGACGAGGAGGAGAGTGATTTGTTTGATGACGCGGCCAACTTTGAGAAACAGGCCTTGGAAAGGATGGTCCAGTCGAGGTTACTGGAGATGGAGCAAGAACAGCCGAGTACGCCCCCGAGTCCTGCCAGCAGCAGAGGCCCAATGGACTGTTGTGACCAGGACTTGACCATGTTGCCTCACATAGAGGTCGGAACGAGGCGGAGCTTGGGACCGGTATTTTCTTGCTATTATTCATATGAAAAGGCTGATGAGCGGAATAACGAGGTGGTGTAAGACTACTGGGCGTTGTAGGTGGTTGAAGAACAATCAAGTGGCATGAGGCTAGATTGTCTTGCAATTGTGTATTGCTATCTATGTATTTATTATATTGAACGTTTTGATGTTGCGAGGCATTCATTGGAAGAAGTTGGTGTCCTCTTCTTCCCTTGAGGTATTACTCTATATCATACCAATGCGAGGGAGTAGGCAAACAGTGCAAGGTCGATGTAAAAGGCAATGTCGCTGGAGAAGTAGTTCATCAAAGGTGCTCGCTTAACGTTATCCAAGCGAGACGATGGCGAGGAGAGAGATAACAAAGCTGCAGGGATGAGGTAACAATACGAGAGATGGTCTCAGAACTAGTCGATTGGGAAGTATTTGAGCATGGGCAGGAGCAAGGCTGAATCAAGGGCAAAGTAGAGCATAAACAGGCCAGTTTCGAGCACCACACAATATTTGAATTGAGAACCCCGGGAGTTTTAAATTGGCTTCGTGCAGCTTTCATTAATCCGCCGAGGTCGGAATAAGTCTAGCATTTATTATTTACCCTAGACCGCAACAGACCTTGGGCCATTTATTTCTATTTTCTTTCACAGCCCTGTCCGCACGGATCTCTGAATCCTCAAGCCAACTCTGTGTATCTTCCATATGTGTACTTCACGCGCCGGTCATGATAGCATTTGTTCCAGAGCTTGCTGGGGATCATTTAGCCTTCGGCTCAGACGGGATGCCTGTGTTCAGAATGATCGACGTCCTCCGTATTTCGGAAGTGCGGCCCGAGCCAAACGCATTACGGCCAATCTATAACTTAATCAAGCTTCTCTGAAAACTTAATCCCACGGAATAAACCACAGTTCTAACTACTGTTGCGGTCCGTTTATCCGATCTTTTAATTGGATGAGACGCCGTGAGGTGCGCGTGTCACAAGATCCAGGATTACCGTATGCTGCGATGTGCCACAGCATGCCAACGGCGCAATGCCGAGAACAGTTCTGGCTGGTGTAATAAGAGAGAGGTGCGAAAAGAAAAAAAGCGTTTACTCTTTAGGTACTGTTCCACTTCTCATGGAACCACCCTTGCTGACATCTAGATTATTATCTAAGAGCTGCGTTTCTAGCCTTCAAAGTTCACACACGTCCTGAAGAGACGCAATCTCATTGCAAGACACTCGTATGGAAAATGTCTCTCATCATGCAGCATCCTTACCATCAGACCACCTGTGAGCCGAGAACCCCCGACACCTCCCTGCACACACCCTTGCTGCTGATGCTGCAGCCTGCAACCAACAGCATCGGTTGCGAGCCCACCGTTGGAGGTGCATTGCAACGGCGATGCAGAAGCAACTGCACAAAGCAATTTGAAAGTTTCGCGAAGCTGAAAAAACGCCACCCGATGATTCCGTACCTGATGCAATCACATATTGCTTCTGACTGCCCGTCCGCTGCTCGGCGTGGGAAGGATCAACATGGTCGGCCTTCTTTAGGAGTGTAAATCCACGACAAACGTCTGTTCTTCTTTTCAAAACCCATTTGCCTGCATCGCCATGGCAGGCGGAATCGACAAGACAGCCGTCGTAGTACGTAACTTGCTCTGTGCAGTACTCAACAAGTATGAGCTATGCAGTCCCGAGACTGACCCGGCAGTATTTCTCAGCCCGTCGAGGCCACGCTTCTGGCTCTCGCCGTCGTTCTGACATCACTGCGTCTGTTCCTTCGGCTGGTACTTCAGCGAACTCGGCTTACCGTCAGCGACTGGCTGCTCGTCGCCTCGGTTCTCGACGCGGTAGCTCTGTTGACGACCGACACCATGACATACAAACTCGGCGGCATGGACGAGTACGATCCCGATGCACCACCGACGCCCGTGGCAGACGAAATCGCGAGTATGAAGATTGCCTTTGCCGGCAACTACTTTTACGACACGGGCATCTACTTCCCCAAGCTGGCCCTGCTGGCCTTTTACTACCGCTTGATCCCTCCTACGATGCCCAAGCTGCGTCAGTTTCTCCATGCCGTGACATGCGTGACGATACTTTTCGCTATTGCGACTTGCTTTGTCGATACCTTCTGGTGTGGATCCAATGTACCGGTCAACTGGGATCCCGAGGGCTCGTGTAGCAGTTTTACCTCGATGGACATAACACGCATTGACTGGGCATTGAACATGACGGCTGATCTGTTGAGTATGTTGACGGCGCGTTGACTTGACTTGCTAACTGGCTGACCACTCCTGTGAGCGCAGTCTTCTCCATTCCCTTCTATCTCCTGCGTGGCCTTCGAATCAGCAGGAGGTACATGATCGGCCTCGTAGCTACTTTCTCTTTGGGTATCATCACGCTAGCCGCCAGCGTCGTTCGGTTTGCCACGATGCAAGCCATTCACGCATGGACCAACGTTTGTATGTTGCTGCAGCACATGGAAGTTCGACACTCGCAAGCTGACCAGAGATAGATGTACTGTCCATGGTGGAAATGGTAGCTGCCATTGTTGTCGTCTGTCTGCCCGCCCTCAAGTCGCTCCTCCGCCGGGGTGAACCCAGCACCTCGAAACGCGGCCAATCGGCCAATACGTCTCGCAGCAGGACGTACAATACCTATGGCCCGGGGACGACCCACATCAAATTGTCGTCCGGACGGGACGCCTACGCTGCTGGCACGAGGGCTACGACGGTCGAGGAGTCTGGCAGCGAGGTGGAACTAAATGACATGCGGCGAGCAGATGCCATTTACAAGACGCAGCGCCTCAGTATCACGTCTGTGCGGCGCGAGGATTTGGCTTGATACTGGGATGAGCCAGCAGTACGCCCTTGATGGAGCCGACAACTAGAGACCAACGGTGCCATTTGCACATTTCCGGGGAAGTTGGGCCAGGATACACAGCTACACTAGAGAAGATTCGTAGATGGAAAATAGAAATGGCGTTACAGTTCGTGAAAACAGTGAAATAACGCCAGTTGCTGTTCACTGACTCACGAGTCACAACAGTCGGGTTATTGGAAGAAGGGATGTAAGAATTGGCTCCATCGGTTTTGGCACTAAAGAGCAGACACTCCCGTAAAAGACGACCAGTTTGGTAATGACACCTTGACCAAACTTGATTTAGAAGAAATTGGGTTTGATTGCATTATGTAGTCTAGTTTGGAAACTCGTAAAGATCCCAGCGCACACCAGTCATCTGAATTAGCAGAGCAGCACAGTTCGTAGGAACCAGAACTCGGCCGCTGATCGTATCTGCAACATCCCACTAAATAAGATGATTCAATTCAGCAACTGGAGATGCCACGAGTGCCACCAATAGCTGCACAACAACCGGTGACAATGGACGCATCTCAGTGGCACAGTTCGATGTCACCGGAATTTAATACGGTTCTACGGGCGCACTCGAAGCAAACCCTGGACCAACAAGCCGGTGGAAAATTTCGTCAAAACTTCCGGAATCCGAATGTTACCTCCGCCTCCCCTGCACGACCCCAACGCCCTCCATTGGGAAACACGCTTATGCAAGGCCCAGGTTCTATTTGCTTTAGGCTGACCCTCCTTTGCATCGTGGCATTGCCATTGCAACGCTGTAGCCAGCCATGCCGGCATACTCCGAAAGAAAAAGCAACGTCAAAACGCGTCGCACGCAGTGCAGGGTACTGGACTCAGAGACTGGCCTGAATGCAGCCAGGGGTCCTGCTTACACCTGGCTCGTTGCTGATCAAGACCTTATTGATACGTAACGTCCGCGGGTTTGTTGGTTCAGCGCCTCTTGCATCTGCGGGCGTTGCGGCTGTATATAACCTTGGACCATTTAGAGCCAACGTGCTGGCAAACCGTGCCTTTGACAGCTTTCAACCCCAGACGCGATAACACCATGGCGTACTTTATCGATGGCGATGACTGCATGGTAAGCTGCCCGCTCTGAGAGACTGCTCCTGCCGCTCACCACAGCCAGATATCCGAATGGATTTTGCTCGCAGTCGCCTACGTCTTCGTCGCCCTGCGCGTCTACACTCGCCTCTTCCGCCTGCGCCAGAAACTCGACTGGTCCGACTGGCTCCTCGTCGTCTCGGCCGTCGATGCACTCGGCCTCATCATCTGCGACACCTTGACCTACCAGATGGGCGTCCTGGATGAGTGGGCGCCGTCTGTAAGACTGTCCAAGGTAACACATCCTCGCCGCGAGACGTTACAGCCATTTGCCCGAACGCACTATTGACTCTGCTAGATCTCCTTCACGTCCAACTACTTCTACGACGTCGGCATGGTGTTCCCCAAGCTGAGCATGCTCGCATTCTACTGGGGCTACTTCCTCCCCGACATCAGCCTCTCTATGCGACGGGTCCTCTACGGCATCACCGCCTTCGTGTGCGCGTCATACACGGCCATTCTATGGGACGACACATTCTTCTGCGGCAAGAACGTCTCGGTCCAATGGTCTCAGGAGGACGGCGCCTGCAGCGTCTTCTACGCGCCGGAGCCCTTTATCCTCAACTTTACACTGAACTTGGCTTGCTATCTCGCTGGTAAGAACTGCTACTGTAGAGACCCCAGGCTCGAGCTGACAAGTGTGATTGCCAGTATATGCCCTTCCGGCGATTTTGTTGATCCAGGGTGTTCTTAAGCCATCCAAGGGTCTCACGCTCACCTTCGTCCTCGGTACTCTGACCATCTTCAGCACCGTCGTTCGCTTTGCGTGTCTCAAGATTGGCACAGGACAAGAAAACCTCGTTTGCAAGTCAAGTTCCTCTCAGCCGGCAAAAAAGGTTTTTAGAGCAGAGCTTTTAGCTAATTGCCTTGTGCCCTAGACCCTCTTAGCATGGTTGAGATTACGCTCGCCCTTACAGTTGTCGCCCTTCCCGGACTGAAGCCTCTTCTCGACCGCTCGTCAGCACACAAGTCCGCCTTGGAGACAACAGAGATTAGCCATGAAGTTGATTCAAAGTCTACGGAATGATAATTAGTTTTGTGAGGGTTGGAGATACGATGGCGTCTTTTAGCTTGCCCATCTCTATATATAATAGATTGCATTCGTGGTAGTTGACATCACGTGTTGATAATTATACATTTACTTCAAGAATCGACGTGTCTCAGCACTTTCAAATTACAGTTTACTAAATCTCTTTTTTTCGCCATCTCCTAAACCCCGATGCATTACTGTTACCCTAGGGTCGTCGGATCACTGTTAATTATCTATCCCGTAAGAAACAAACTGTCGAATTTGCAGAGCTCTGAGAGGGAATTCTGGCAGCAGCAGCAAGCACATCACAGAGCAGCTCAATCGACTAAAACGATAACTCTGGCTTTCGTGTCTATTCCGAAGCCCTTTTGATTGGGGAGATCTTTATAAGGATCGCACCCTGTATTGTCCACAGTGAGTTGAACAGCTCTTTCTCGTATACCGGCTCTTTGATTGGTCGAAAGTCCTTCTCAATAAAACGTCCGACCACGTTGGCCATCGTGGCTAATGGGACGTGGAACTTGAAGTAATTTCGATGACGCCTTCGCCTCGAAGATAGCCACCCGGCATCGCATGATAATCAGCCCCTCTGGTCAACTTCGCAACTGTTAACTGCCCTTCACCATTGCACGAGACCGAGAGACGATTGAGATCTTGAGCGTTACATCACAAGGCATGAGAACCAGTAGCGACGTCAGATTTGAGATAGCCATCGAGGTCAATTATTGAGATAAAGGTTGGTATCATTTGGAACTGCTTTCTGACTTTCCGCCAATTTCTGCTTCGGATATTGCTCGGGCTACAAATTACGAGCGGCCAATATAAGGCTAGCTGCAATGGAGCCCCTTCAAGACCGAAGACCGGAATCTCGCAATTCGAAACAATAGGAACCCGAACAACAGAGCTCCTTTCAATCGGAATGGTTTGCATGATGCCCGTTCCAAGAACTCCATTTTGTATCCCGACAATGATGAGATCCAATGAGTTCAAATAAGATATCATAACATCGAAAGCGGGAGGTCTGGTATTTCTATGCAATCCACATTGTAGCAGCATACAGCGGAGGTAACCTATTGGTTCTGGTCGTTGCCAGGGGATTGCGTATTATTTTGCATACATATCTCAACGCAAATTTCATTCCTGTCCTATCCAGGGAAACTTTACCGCTCGTTCGCCAAACCATGCTGTTTTATCCTGGTTGCCGAAAATAAAACAGATTCAAATGGCGGCCGATGGGCGTTACGTCGGAATGTGTATCGGAGAATTGCCCTAATCTGGTCATAGTGTTTGTAGTCCGATGCCAACGCCGATCCCGATAATTCTCTATATTCTTGAAGGTCGATTGCTGTGATATGTTATGGCCTGCAGTCGGACAAACAGCGCATAGAACTTGACGAGTTTGCCCGAGGATCCTAGAAAAGTCGATACGAGCTAGAGTAGCATATGACGTTGCTCAGTTTGATTGCCAAGACGCCTTGGCTGAGATACAGGGAGACACCCACACGGTCGAAAGACATTTTACAATCATTTGCTATCGCTAGGATAGCAAGTATAGCAAGAGCTAGCAAGATAGCCACTGGAAATGGGTCCTGATCAGCCATTTAACACTCAATTGGATCTTGCCAGCACTATGTGATTGGGTGCTGAATGGGCAACTGTGCGAGTGCAACGTTAATAATGGGAAGGCCAAGACAATATACGAGGAGGTCACACCGAATCGGGCAGGTCGGATAGATAGCAACACGACTCTAGCAAGTCATTGCTCGAATCAAAAAGCATAAATACCCCGTTCAAGCCGAGTACTAGTCATTCTGGTAAAATTTATCTAGGTACCAAGGGCGACGCCATTATGAAGTTCAACGCTCTAGTTCAAGTGACGCTCTTTGCGTCGTCGCTGAGCCCGTCTTTCGTTCTCGGTTACTGTGGGACCAACACGACCTACGTGCCCCTTGAACAAAACATCCAAGCACGTACAGTCGCAGAAAGAGCCGAGACGCATCCTATCGATGTTTTCTTTCATGTCGCTAGTACTCATGCAAACGAAGACCTCATAACCGACGAGATGGTGGATACTCAGGTCAGTACACAGCTATCCAGCTCAGTCTTGGAACAGCTCACTTAGGTTCTACAGTTTCACACCCTCCGCAGCGCCTTTCTACCACATGGCTTTGACTTCAAGCTCGTCAACACATCCCGGATCGTCGATGACACGATAGGCACAGGCTTCTACGGCGATGGCGGCGGAATAGACGACTACGATGCGTACGTCGCATTTTTCAGAGCGAACCGACGAGGTCCCTACGATTCGCTCAATGTGTATTTCTTCAGCGACCTAATCCCAGGCCTGGGCGGATCGTGCAACCTCCCGTCGCCTGCGTCGTCGAATCCTGACTATGACAATTTCTGGACTGACGGCTGTATTCTCAACGCAAACACCATGCCTGGTATGCCCGCTACGGGAGATGACAGCACTGACCAGCCTCGCAGAGGACACGTGGCTATTCACGAAGTTGGCCACTGGCTTGGCCTCTTACACACATTTCACGGACGCTTATGCGAGTCCATCAACGACCAGGTCAGCGATACGCCTGCACAGTCCGGTGGTTCAGGGGGGTGTCCCATTGGAAGGGATTCCTGCCCCGATTCACCTGGACTAGACCCTATTCACAATTACATGGATTATTCTGATGATACCTGGTGAGTGAGACTTCTATTTGCCACAAAATTCAGTCTAGGTTAATCATACATAGCACGAATGAGTTTACGCCGGGTCAAGTTGAAAGAATGCAGCTTCAGTTTACAATATATCGAAAGGATACTTAAAGTTGTAAGCCGTGTTACTATTTCTCAGAAGGCTGATAAATAGCTAACCTGATTTAACAGCCGAAAGGGACAAGAATAACAGCCAACTCATCAACCTGCCCTAAGGAGTGCATACAGAACGTCGTCACACAGGCGTCTTGGCTGGTCGGTCTGAAGCTGCGCCATATTATGTGTATATAGTTGGAGTATTCTGAATTCTTTATCTCTAGATACAAAAGTATTTTATAAAACGAAATCTAAAGTTAGCTGCAGGAAATTATACTGATAGGATATTAATTGCACGTATAGCAATTTAATGTTAAAAGGAAATTAAATATTGAAATTAAATAGAATTATAATATTTAGTAATAGCTGTAACCGGGGGGCTACCGCACAGCCTGCCGAGCCACAAAAGGAAGATTGGGGTCCAGTCCTGGCCGCTGCAACCCCGAAGGGGCCCCCCCACGGCGCCTCTACAACCTAGAGGCGTCGGGCCAGGCGGAGGGCGACTTGTATATATATAAAGAAAAAAAGTTTCTATGGAATCTTTAAAGTATTAGAAAATTAAAAATAGTTTTATTTGAAAAAAGTATTTTATGTAAAGTAGAAGGCGGTAAGTTGATACAGCTGATTTAGAAATACTAGAAGTATATAGAACCGGACCAGTAAACCTATTTTGTGGGGTAATTTTCCCACCGCCAGTTCCTCCAGGTTCTACCGCTCACGCCGACCGAACTGCCGTTTCCCACTCTCATCGATGCCGCATCGCTGAAAATGGCGTGCAAAAACTGTCGCGCTCGTAAGATCCGATGCGACCAGACGCGCCCGGTATGCCATAACTGCAGGCTGCGGTCGAGCCAGTGTACATATGCTGGCGAGAGGCGAATCCGTCGCCGTACCCACGGCGGCATCGTCGGCCATCGACCCTCACTTACTAATTACACCAACCATCCTCCAATAATGCCCCCGGTGCCGTTACCGCCAATATCAATCAGTGAGGACGACGGCCAAAACGATGACGGGCAGCTTGTTTGTGGCACCAATTCCTCTAACCACGGTAATACCGTCAACACAGGGGCACGAGCATGTCCACATACGTACGACACAACTATAGTCGTCCAAACACTGGACAACCCGGACGATGATTATATAGCCCCTATCCTGGACCGAATTCTGGATGCAGACGATGGAGAGCATGCTCAAGGCGGCCATCCTGCCTTATGGATTCGAGCCGAGGATGGAGACGAGTACACTGGCCCGTCATCTGGTATTTCTATCGTGTCTGACTTGGGACTGGATTGGATACGCAAACACATCCCAGACTCCGACGGGCTCTGCGAGACCATCCAGGATATCCGGAATACGATGCTTGCTCAGCTCAGGCAGCCAAAGTGCATATCTCAGGCTGTCCCGTGCGGTGCGGCGAGTAGAGCAGTTCCTGGCTTACAGCCGACATCGCCTGCAGTCGTCAAGAAATATGTCGACGCTTACTTCTCAACAGTTCAGACCATATTTCCCGTACTAGACCGACAGCAGTTTGAAACCCAGCTAGCGACCTTCGGCACCGATCCAAACTGCAAGTCCTCGTCATGGAAAGCCCTCCTCAGTGCGGTTCTAGCTTCGGGCTGCCGAGCGGCACTATCCAACGAGACGACTGAGGCGTTCCAACAATCTGGCCGCGAATCGTGGGAATACTTCAGAGTCGCTCTATCATACGAACCTGAGATCCTCCATGGCACCACAGACCTCGTGGCAGTACAGGCCTTTGCCGTCCTGACCATCTTCGCGCAGGGGTTGTCATGCCCCCAGCGACTAGAATTTACCCTATGCTCCATCGCCTCACGACTAGCTCAAAGCATTGGACTCTATCACCATCCGTCCCAGAAATGGAATCTGAGCGAAGAGGAAAAGTTCCACAGGGCTCGCGTGTTCTGGGTTATATATTGCCTCGACAAGACCATTGCCCTGCGCTGTGGCAGACCCTCGGCTATCAATGATGACGAGATTAGTGTCGGCTTTCCCCAAGGCGTGCAGATGTCCTACCATGACCTTTCCCACCCGGCAATTACAGATCGGGGTCAGGAATTTGACTTCTTTCGAACATTCACCAAGCTTACTCGAATCTGCGGCGCTGTTTCGCGTAGGCTCTACTCGGCAACCGCCCTCTCTTCATCTTCGGCTCAGCTTTCCACTGCTTTCGACCGCTTGCTAGCAGAACTTGAGGAATGGAAGCAAGCAATACCAACCGAAATTCAACCTGAAAGACCCCCTGGTCGAATTGCTGATTCCAAGGCGCCGTCTCGGTTTCAGCTTCTCGTTTTGCATTGTTCTTATCATTATGTCTTGTGCGCAATTTATCGTCGATTTACGCCGCTGTTCACCCAAAATGAAAACGCTCAGCCTGTCACGGCTCAAAGCACTATGAAGAGAAACATCGGAGCGGCGAGATCTATGGCTCTGCTGACCAAACACCTTGACGTGGAGAGTTTGACTCCTACATGGCAAGTCCCTGGCCGACATTGCTTCGGACCTCAATTGTCTTCCTTCCTCACTTGAACTCGTTCGACTGACCCGTTTTGTCGCAGGCTCGGGTTCTATTACCCCTTCACGGCACTCACCACCATTTTCGTTCACGTAGTTTCCAACCCCGAAGACGAATCGACCCGCAATGATATTGCTTTAATGGAAGTCATTGTTGGCTTCTTTGGTCGGCTGGAGTACATCACTTCCGGAGAGGCCGCTTTCACGAAGGCGAGCGAGTTTGTTCATCAAGCTCGGCGCATGGCGGACCGATATGATGATGGTGGACGTTCTGACTCACGAGGACACGAGCCCCGGGGCAGGGACGCGATGGACCAAGACTACCCGTTGGATAATCGCTCGGAAATGGATTTCATGTCGCTGGACGTCACATTTGAGCCTCAGACCAGGGAAAATCAAGTGTCTAGCACTCTGTCAAACCAGCCCTTTCCCAATGGATCCCTCTGCGACATCCTGGGACAGCAGCTAGAACCTATCCGCCAGCACGCTGCAGAGCCGATCGTTGGCAATAACAGACAGTGGGATTCAACTTCCAGCCCGGATATTTCTTCTCGGATTTTGTTTTCAGATGTTATGAGTCTTCTGGAGAACAATCAAGTTGATAATTCTGACGAAAGCTGGCTTGAGACCTGGGTTGCAACTGGCCTGACTGGTAAATAAGGTGTTTAAGGACATTAAAATACTCAAATAGCAATAACCACAAAAACCCTACACCTCCTCGCCCCGTTGTCACCAATCAACTCCCAATCAATTGCCGTCTTTTCCGTGAGGGGCACAATACATATGTCGGACACATAGGATGGCAGCAACCAAATTGTAGAGTAACCTTAGCTCAGTCGCAAGAGTACTTCATTTGTCTTTCGTGCCTACAGCACATTTACGTTGCGAACCCGAAGCTGTTCCCATGTCCGAGCCCGAGATTGTTCTCACCCGCGGAGAGCCCGACGGCGATATTTCATTCGGCCAACCGATAATACATACGCTCGGCCTGCCTACATGCTGTCGACCATACCCGTTCACTCAATGGGAGCCAGGGTAGTCAAATCAGGCAGACCCCGAGGTCCGATTTCCTTGCGCTTCTTCAGAGTTTTCTCGTCCACGCCACTTCGAATTTGTTTGATCAATTCCTCAGCATCAAATTCAGTGCCGACCGGGTTCTCCGCGAACCAAGGACTCAACATGAAAGCCGAAGCGTCTTCTGCATTGTCGAAATTGTCGACCTGGGTTTCCAGGAGATTTCCATCAGGGTCTCGGTAGTATAAGCTGGTCGTGGGGCCGTGGTTGACGCACCAGATGGGCTTGATGCCTTGTTGCTTGCGCTGGCGGTACGACAACATGAGATCATTCAAGGTCTTGTAACTGAAGGCAATGTGCTCCAGGCCGCATGTACGGTAGTTCTTGGGCGCCGTGTCTGGGATCCCAACAAGCGCGATTCGGTGATGCTCCTCATCGTAGGTCATGAAAGAGACTTGGTCATTGCCATACGACACTCTGCCACCGAAGAACTTGAGGTAGAAATCCTGCATAGGATGGACATTCGCTGTTCTCAAAACGACATGGACCAAGGCAGCAGGAGACAGCACCTTGGAGCTGGGGGCGTCGAAATCAGGGACTTTAGTGACAGCCATGTTGCTTTCAGTGAAGTGAGCTTTGGATTCGCGTGGCTCAAGTGTGATGATGATAATTAATGTTGAGTGGTGATGGTGAGAAAGTCTGTGAGAGTGGTCAAGATGGGGTGGAGCATAAGATATCCCTTCTGGAGCTAGATGCTTCCCCGACCGACGTGCCTTGCCTCTCCGTATCGCCAATTAGTCTACATCACCAGTTTCTCCATCCCACTTCCCGTGGCCGCGGACCTAAGTGCCGAAGCCGACTCCGAGGAATCTGCTGCTACAAAACCCGTAGACCCGCGGCGTTTCTCGCACTTCGCTCAACTGTTGTATTCATATCGGCCTCGGACCCGACGTGGGGCGGACTTCCACTATGTCACATTCTTGGTACATTCTTTACAATGTTGCATTCCGTCTTAGCACGCATCTCGCGAGTTCATTCGGCCGGTGAGTAAACCAACCGAAGTCGAACCATGGCCGCGTAATACTCCACGTAAACGGCAGATGACAACGGTCCTGCTAAGGGGCGCATATCCTGACTCTAACGCCGCTGTTGCCGAAACCCGTTCATTGGTCGCAAGCCCTAACATCGCATTGTTAAAGTGTCGCTTGAGAAAAGCAAAGTGAATACGGACTAGCAAGGGGTGCCTCTTGTAGAAAGGTTCAAGCAGAAAGCCTCCCGCAAGTCATCACTGCGGAGTACTACATTGGTATGTAAGAGAAGTGATGCATGAAGGGAATGGCGTTGAGTGGATGTGGAACTCATTCAGTCATGTGGACAAACATCCTAGTGCTGTTGCACCATACTGCGGTGAGAGTAAGAAGTCGAGGCACGCGTTTATTTGTAAGACCAGTTCCATATCACCACTATTATTAGCAGCTGTTGCCGGGACAATACTAGATTTTTTCTCCTCTTCCAATTTGTGAGAAAATATATCAGCGCCTGCTGTAAGACGGAAAGGGAGAGACGTCTTGTTCAATTGGGATAGTGGTTGGTCGAGGTGTGTGTAAGGATGCAAGGATGGCTGGAATGTAAGAGTGCTTGCAAAGATTTTATATCCATCATAATTTTGCCTTATCTAAGATCTAGCTTTTCTAAGATCTCGCTTTTCTAAGATCTAGCTAGGGACTTTTCCAGGCCTCACCGGAAAATTCTCCATGTGGTGACGCAGCTTCCAACGAGACTTCTAATTCTATAGTTCAAGTTATATGTTTGCGTTTCTTCATTGGTATCGTCGTGGCTAGCCTGAGAAACGATGATCGACTCATGGCATTCCCCGTCACCAAGGGTAGGTGATAGGAAAGGAGGATTGCTGACAGCGCAATGATTTTCACCGGTATTGGCGATGATAATTGATCGAGTGTCAGTGTGTCCGCTCTTCATCGATTCATGGATTGTCTCCCCAGCGAAGTCGATCTCCAACTTGATGCTTCAAAAGCAACTGACAAGGATTCCCGGTGACGTGCGGGCGAAGCACGCTGCATGAGAAGATCCAGAGTAGCGTAAGTCCGGGCTAGTCAATCAACAGGATGGAAGCTAAGACACGCTCCTCAACCTCTGCCCATCCAAAACTGCAGCCAAGTTCTGGCCATAACGGGCGCCATTACCACTTTACGCTGGGTCGCTCGCCCCGAGTCAGCCCGAGCCCGAGCCCGAACCCGAACCTCCGGGCTTTACGGACTGGGCAGTACCGTGACCCGCGGGCCTGCGACGTGATACAGAAACGTGTGGATGACCAATCGCTTGATCTACGCTCAGATGAAGACCTAAGATACTGATTAGTGGTGGCCTACTAGCGAGCAATAGAATCATAATTTATACTTGGCTTGCGTGAGGCGCCGTTACGAGATAGGTATGACACCCTTATTGTTCGCGACGAGTAATATATGCCTTCACCCATTTACAATCAAGTACACGAAAACCATCTTGATAGCAGCTCAATGGCTTCTTTTACCAGCATTTTCCGCTTTCGGAGTCTTGATGGCGAGATTTACTACGGTGAGGCAGGAGGGTCTGACTGCCACACAAAGGAGAGTCTGGTCGGTCGGTCGGTCCCCGTGTTCAAGGGTGAATACCCTTGGGATGAAGATTTCTCATGGACGGACGAACGGAAGGAGGTGTCAGAGGTATGCATCACGGGGTTCTGATGTATTCGCTGTCAGTTTGCTAAGCTGGATATTGCCAGGTCGTCTGTCCATTGCCACGCACTCCGATCTTCCTCTGCGTGGGCCTCAACTACAGACAACATGTAGCTGAAGGAGGAGTATGTTTATCAACTCATTCCTAGCTGCTTTGAAATCTCTGACGACAAAATCAGCTAACTGTTGGAGAATATCCAACCATCTTCACAAAACCTCCAGGTAGCTTATCAGCAAATCTTTGATTTCTTTCCCCTGGTCTAGCCTAACAGAGTCTACAGACGCACTTGCAGGACCTTATGATGACATTTTTATTCATCCAGAATGCCGTTTCATGGACTATGAGGTAATGACTCCGGGAGATGAGCAGAGTATATCAGAAGACCAAGGCTAACGCTTGCGTGATCCCCAAGGCCGAGTTATGCTTCGTCCTTCGCAAGGATTGCAAGAATCTTTCTCAGTCTGACAACGTCACAGAGTATATCCTAGGTTATACCGGAGGCAACGATGTCTCTTCTCGCTGGTGGCAAATGCCTGCACGATCCAACGATCAGCACGGCACTGCAAAGGGATTCGATAAGTTTGCTCCGATTGGTCCCGTCATCACATCCACTTCTGCTATCCCAGACCCCAAGCAACTGAGAATGGAATGTTTCGTCAATGGAGACATGAGGCAGTCAACTTTGATTGGGGATCAAATCTTTGACATTCCCAAGATCCTCGAACACTTGAGTCGAGGGACGACTCTGCGAAAAGGAACTGTGATTATGACAGGTACTCCTAGTGGCGTAGCAGCTGCAATGAACCCTCCTCCGTGGCTTAAAGATGGGGATGTAGTAGAAGTAAAGATTGATAGGATTGGATCTACTAGCAACCAGATAAGATATGAGAGTTAGTGGAGGTAGCTTACGTTACAGAAAATGAAATCATATTTAGAATAGTTAACAAATGTAAGTGGTGAAAAGTAATCCGCTGGCATGTCTGATCTACTCGCTATATATGTAGGTTAGATAACCTATCTTCTTGCTCAATTATAACCTTAATATATTATGTGGGGCAGATTAATTGCCGGGGCAATAGCAATTGCTCGAGTATCGCTTTTCCTTCTACTTGTCTTTTTAACAGCCGCGAGGAGATTGATTATGCATGCTAGCATGCTTCCTAACCCGTCATATGACTACTCGTATGTCTTCATATCAAGACTTCACAATACCGGTAATGTTTCCCACTCCAAGTCTACATCCTCTGAACCATTAGGTATTCACGGCTAGACTATTTACATAAATAATAACAGCAATCGTCTTCAGAAGCGTACCCCCCCCCCCCCCCTCCCACTCGTTACAAAGCTTCTTTTGTAACTCCATTGTGCTCCATTCTACTAGTCACGGTCCGTAAGACCCTGTCTGCCATCTCGAAAGAATCCATCCTATTAGCCCTCCAAGCTACGTGCTGATCAGGTCGAATCAGAATAAGCTTCCTCTCGTACAGACTTGCTGCTTTCGGTTCGTCAACAATGTTCACCACTTTCAATGGAATGCTCAGTTCTTCGGTCGTTTTCTTAAAGAAGCCCTGTCCCACTTCCTCAGCCGTGAACACGAGCAAACTCCAGAATTTGCCTAGGTGGTCGAAGATGGCCGTGCCGTCCGAGAGGAAGATGTGGGGTGGTCGTGCGCCAGGCCACGTACTCGGGATATAATCACGAGGCGACCAGCGAGGTTCCTCACCATCTTCCTCTTGTCGTATGATGATAGGAGACGTATATCTATATCCCATCTCGATACCAATATCTTTGTTTTCACCGTCGTTCCTCTGGTAATGGTCATCAATCGTCTTGCGAAGTGCTTGTCCATCTTCTGTGTCCTGATCCACAAGACGCGGATCGCCGGCACTGGTGAGCAATTCCTGGAGGCGGCTATGAACCGAGAGATGAGCTCCAGATCGCTCAACGTTGCGGACAGCCACAGACCTGCGTTCAAGTTCATAAGACTCCAGTATCTCTCTGCCTGCCTGGCCGCTGATGATTGCAGATAGCTTCCAGCCCAGGTCAAATGCATCGCCGATGCCCATGTTCATCCCATACCCGCCAGTAGGGATATTCTGGTGAGCTGAGTCCCCTGCGAGCATCACACGCCCACGCGGGCCGACCTACTTCTCCGCCGTGCACATCGACAGCCTCCATACCGATCTTACCAATACTTTATCAACCTTGATTTCGTACTTGCCATACAGCCCTCCGAGCACTCGGTAGATGGCTTCTTCCGAACCGACTTTCTCGGGGTCTTCCTCAAGAGGCATGAAAAGATTCGATGTCCAAGTGTCGTCTTCGTCTTGTGAGATAGCAGCGCCTTGGAAGGCACCGGATTCTCCGACAGATAGCAGATGCCAGAAACGCCCTTGCTTGTGCAGACGTGTAAGATCCTTAGACTTGAAATGAATAAGAAGCACTTGCGCTGGACTATTTTATACTCGTGAGCATGATAATAAGCGTCGGTGTCAAAGGTACTCACAGTGGGTCTCCGTCCATGGAAATCCCCAGAGACTGTCGAACTTTGCTCGAGGCACCGTCACAGCCGACAATATAATCAGCGTTCCATAACGTCTTCGCTCCATTTTCGACATTGGTTGTGATAGCCTGACCCCCTGTCTTGTTCTCGACTACAGATTCAACTTTATGGCGGAAGCGAACGTCAATAAGAGGATCCTCATCACAGATTTCCTTGAGCCACCTCTCGAAGAGGATTTGTGAAATTCGCTGCCATGGTTCGAGTGGCTGCGCTCCATCGTTTATCTCCCGATATCGCTTCCGGAGCGTGTCAACGTCGGGGAACTTCCACGATGAGAGGGGCTCATCGATGCTGAGGCCACTCGTGAAGAGCACGTTGTAGGGGATATGACTCGGGACACCTCGTTCTCGCAGGCCTTCGACAAGACCGATCTTGCGAAATATCTCCATGGATCGAGCATTTGTAAGGTCCATTTTGGGCCATCTGGTTGTAGTCTTGTTGCGTTCAAAAAGGATGGATTTTGTTCCATAGAATGACAATATTCTTGCTAGGAGCAGGCCCACAGGACCACCACCTGCAATGAGCACCGTACCCTTCGGCAGGACCTCGGTATGTTGAACTTGACCAACTTGCGTAGACATGTTTGATAATGTCGGGGTGATCAGAAGTTGTTATAGATTTTGAATGTGTAGGACAAATGGTAAAAAAGTCTTAGAATACTGGTAGGGACTTTGCAATCAGGTGGAAAGAATGTGATATATAATATAGTTGATAAATGATTTAGAGTGATATATGGGGAGCAATTTGTGTCCGTAGTGGGCTTAGGAACCCCTATTTTGGTATGAGAATAACTTTACATATCTGGCTAAGGTTGCGGTGAGGCAAACCTTTTACCCAATCCGGGCTCAGAATAGGAAATCCATCGGCTATCTGATCGTTGTCGCCGCCGCGGAACAATGAGTGGCTTGAGAGCCGTTCCTGAATTGTCCGCGAGCCCGATGCCGTGGGACTAATGTGCCTCGACCATTGCAGCTGCATTGAATATATTTTACTACACCACTTTCTCAGGTACCTTTCTGCTACAATAATGAGCTTCTTTATCTGTATTGGGCTAGGATATTACAGACAGGACTGAGTGATAATACTGGTGAACTATAAACGCAGGCAGTTTATTTTCTTCGGGAAAGGCACAAGGTAAATAGGTATAAGATAAGAGCTACTTCAGACTTAAAACCTAAATTGTGTCTAACTTTAGTTTTACTAGTAAAACAAATTTTGTTTACAAGCATAGAAAAACTATTCATACTATTATTAATAAGTTTAAAATAATATACATACCAGTAAAAGATTTTGTAAATTACTTTATTGATTATATTATTAAGTATGAAAAACCAACATAGAGAATATACTATAATATAAATATAAAACAATTAAAGATTAACTGTAGTAGCTGTAGCTTTTAGAGTTAAAGAAATATAACATAATACATTCAATCAATGTATTTAATTTTGCGTTAGCATAGAAGTTCCGAAAACCTTTACCGAGCCCGAGGCCGAGCCCGACCCCGAACCCGAACCCGTCCCTTAACCAGCCCCATCTGATATCCGTTCTGGTTCTTTGCGGTTGCACAGCATCGCATCACTACTTCGGGGCTCACTGGCACAGCCCCATCAGTACTTTTCGATTCACCAAACCGGAATGCTGTGTTCCCGCGGCATTCCTAGTGATCCACTCCGAAGCCGACTTCGCGGCTCGACGAGCCACAGAATAGACTCTTTCTCCGCCCTATCCTGCAAGCCTGTGCAGATATTCATTCATTCATTCAATGACCGTTGCTATACCTCTTAGCTGAATCCGCCTTCAGTAGCCGCTTGATTTCCCTTCACATACTGCGAACATCTTATCTTACACATGCGCTTCAATGAGTTATGTCACGGAAGCTACCACCTGGTTGCCGGGCGTGAGCCAAGATGTCAAGACTCTTATCGAAAGGTTCTTCGAGCTTGCGGACACTAAGCAGCCAGACGTAGGCCATGTCATGGCCACTGAACTCTTCACTAGAGATGCGGTAATAACCAATCCAAACGGGACGCACAGAGGATCCGCAGGTACTACAGACCGCCCCAGCAAAACCATGCCCAGATCTCCAACTCACTCTGACTGTAGAAATATCGAAGAGTAGAGAGCATGCTTGGATCGTTGCGACATCAAGAAAGCATACCGTCACCAAAGTATTCTCCAACAATGGAGAGCCTCGAGAGCTCGTGCTCCTCGGATCTGTGCGGACAGGGCTCATGAATGGGACAAGCATCGCCTCTCCGTTTGCTAATCATATCAAAACTCAGCGTCCTGATTACGCTTCTGGACAGCCTCGCATAAGTTACATGGAAGTCTACGCTGTAAGTTTGTCGTTTTGACGTGTCCCACGCTCGTACTGTATGCTTGTCGACTCGGTACTGATTGTCTTCTACCTTAGGACACGGCTTCCATCGCAAGAGCATTGGCCAACTGATATTAGAGTATCGATGAGAGTTTTCGAGATAGACTTCTTCGCTCTAGTATCAAGGTACTAGGGCACCTATGTCGGGGAAATCAGGCGCTCGTAGAAGGATAGAGGCATGTTAGATTTACCCATATCCTGACGCACTCATTCCGGTTACACTCGGGCTTCCTCATATTCAACGGGAGCCATCCGGTTGTTAGTCGTCTGTTCCCATTGCCCTAGGCGGGAAGGTGGAAGCGTTGAGAGGATGGCGCCAGTGCTACAACAATGGGACTGGGTGTGTGTCATACCTTCGCAAGATGACCGACTATTGCCAAGGGGCAGTTCGCTCTCGTCAATTCATGCGACTGTCGGACGATTGCGGCACTACTGATTGCCTCTACTGCAACCTATAAAACATTTATACCCTGTCATGAATCCTCTTCAAAAAAGTCCAGCGACGGAGTAACATCTGGTAGAGACTCCATCTTAACTAGATCCGCCCAGGCACTCTCGCCTTCCGACTTCCATGATGCATAGCGTACTTCGTTCTTCCCCAGCGCCATCAAAACCACCCACCCGTTGAACATCACGACTTGTGGCGCGGCTGACGCGCTCACGCCCAGATCCTCCCACTCACCCGCCCATGCGCTCCCGTTATAATGCACATGTTTGATCCGCCCATCCCTCCCTAGGGCCACGACGTCGATGACACCCCTAAATGGTGACACCACCGCGGGCGTACTCGTCACATTGCCGCCCAGCGTCTCCAGCTCCGAGTCCTCGTCGCCCGTGCGACTGAAGTGATAGACCTGGTGGTTCTCCTGCACGCCAAAGAAATCCAGCCGCTGTGGATAGTTCGCAAAAGACGCCAGCGCTGGGTCGCCGATGAAGTGACCACCAAAGTCCTTCGGCGTGGACCAACCGTCTCTGTCTTTGTAGAAGCGATACCAGAGCGAGCCGTTGTCGCGGTCGTACCAAGCAATATCGTGGGCGATGTTGTAATCGCGGCAGGCGATGCCGGCAGCGGACCTTGCTGGGCCAGTGTCGCTACTGTTGAATTTACCGTCGCCGTCCAATGTGCTCCAGAAGCCATCTTTCTCGACGATCCAGTCGTTCTGGGTGATGTTGTGGCTCTCCAAATCTGTCGTCCACATGTCGATGCGATTGTCGGCTACCTTGCACAGCACTGGCTGACTGTCGGCACCAGAGGCAATCTCCTCCCAGTCAGACCAGTTGCCATCCTGGAAGTGGCGGCCGTAAATGGTGCGCTCTGAGGAGCTGAGCGCAAAGACATCGAGGCGGTCCTTGCCCTCCGGCTTCCAAGCTATGGCGGCAGGCTGGCTGAATGTGCCCGTCGTATCAAACAAGTCTTCCCAGGAGCTATCAGTGAAGGAAGAGCCGTTGCCGGAACGGTGCATTATATGGTCGTTAGAGGACCGTATGAAAATATGCAGCTCATCTCTGAATCCTGCTGTGGCAATGACTTGAGGGCAGACGGTGCCATGGCATAGCGAGGCTGGGTCAACGTCGGCATTATTCTCATCTGAATTGTTGTCTTCTGGGGTGTTGGAATTGCTGTGATCGGTCAATAACTGCTTTGTGTACGGTACAATGGTGAGGGACTTGGTATGAAGACTTACTGCGATCGGTTCTTGAGCCCGACGACTAGCCCGACGACAAGCCCAATGACGGCGAGTAGGGAGCCAACTAGGATGATCCATACACTCCTCCGTTTCCACCAGCGCCTGCGACTGTGTGCAATATTCTGCTCTGCCGTGTTCGCCCCAGACTTTGACCCTGCTGATGTAGCATGTAGTTCAGGATAATTCTCCCGGTCGGGCTGGAACAAATACTTGCCCTTCCGATCGTAGGCGACCTCTAGATCTGAATGCACTACAGCTTCGGGCGCATTACTATACTGTTGTCCCGTGTCCGACACGGCCTCATGACCAGGCCGAGTCATGGTGGTGCCGCGCAAGATGCGCAAGATGTTTGATACTGACGCCTTAGGCCACAAAGCGAGCAAAAGAATGGGAGAAATAGAGGCAGACCGGCTTTCCGAGACACTGCGGGAATTGCAAGGTATCTAGTCTATTAATAGGGAAGTCTGCGGAGGGCCAGGCTGTGATGCCCACGTGTAAAGCGATGTGGCATCCCTGCCTGCATCCAGTAAGTCCATGGCGATAACAAGGAAAATGCGCTGTATTCTGCCTTGGGATAGCTGCAAGCTGAAGATTGTGGCTTGGGGCATTTCAAGTCATTGGTTGGTTTGTGGAAGTTCTGTTAACGAAGGATGTTCAGCCCATATGCACCCGAACTGGGGCGGGGTAACACAGTCATCTTGGGTTGCGTCATTATGGAAGGATACCTCGTCCAAAGCATTTATGCTTATCCTCAGTCTCAGCTTCGGATATGCCCAGTCTGCACTCTGTCTGTTTTGGACGTTCGTTTTTCAGCTGTCGGTAGGTAAGCTAGGGTGGGCTCTGCCCGCGGAAGTGGGTTCGACTCGACTCCGACTCCGTCAGAAGACAATTTTTCTGGCTTGAAACGCGTACTATGTTGTTAATATCGTTACTGGACTTTTTTAATCTTACTCTATAAACCCTACAGTATCTTAAGGGATAAGCTCAGCCTCTACTGGAAAGGGCTTTTTTTTCCCCTTTCTTAATTTGGATTTTTAGAGGACAATCTTTATCGCTTGCCTTGCTACTTAACCATCTGTCGCAGCAGCTCTTACCCCTTCCCTCTCAATATTAGCTATCCTACCCCATTCAGAAGCATTTGATCAAGTGCTTGATATTCCATTCTTGCCAATATCCCTCCGCTGGTCTTAGCTGCAGGACCTCCTTTTGCCCCGAACTGTAGGGCATCCAAGACTCTTGTTGTCACGGGCTCTGTCTGCAATAAGTGCTCCTCCCACCAACAAAATAATCAGTAGAGGACCCCTTGGGGTATTTCCCGAGACCTAAGATAATCTACCGAGGCACCTTTACATTGGAGTACAACCTCTTGTCGGTGATGTGCTGTGAAGGTTATGCAATGAGACTATTCTCGTCGCAGGCGTATAAACAGACACCATTGAGTCGCCTCGACATCGAGTTGGGGTCTCACTATCAGTGATATTGACCCTGTCGTCAACCACCCCCTTCGCTCTCTTCCAAATCATTCACGATCTTGAGTTTTGTCCATGACAGAGTCGGGCACTTCTTTCTCTTACGTGAAGAAACTTGACCTCTTGTCTTCAATATGAAGTTTGTCTGGCTCCGTGCCCTGGCCTCGGCAGCCTCCAGCGCTTCTAATCAATCATAAAGGCCAATCGCTGTTGACAATTATTTATAGAGTGAAAAGAATTTTACCAGCAGGATCTTTCCAAGTGGACAAGCCACTCAGTACAGCAGAAAAACATGGAACAGTTACAGGACCCTTGATCAGCCGCAGGCGTTTCGTAAGAATAGGCTGGAGGTTGTTTCTAGTCGAGAAGACGCGACAGCTGGCTACTTATCTTTGGTGGGCTTCTATTGAGCCCTCTAGCTGGAACTAGTGTGACTTTCTACATGCAATAGTAAAAGGATACTTTCCTGTCCAAACCCCACCATTGTGCTCGTGCACGAGTCAGGGCAAGACCACTCCTCAATCGACACTCACTTGGTGAGCTAAATGAGTCCTGGCACTCCACCGCTTACACTGCAACAGTCTAATGTACCAAACGCGTCTATTGTTCTTATGCCATAAGGAATACCCCTACCGCCTATATAGCGATTACCAACATATGCAACGACACGGAGCGTTTCACTCATAGGCCAGACCAGGTTGTTGTTTTGTCCACCTCAAGCACGCCTTCCAATAAAATTCTGTCACTGCTCGGCCCAAGCAAGACCCTGTACCGCACAGCTTCACAAACCCAGGTATGCAGCTCCTGGTCCCAGAACGCCGTAGTAAATCGGTCAAATGGTATCTCTATACGACGCGTCTTACCTGGCTGTAAATCGACCTTTGAAAAACCTTTAAGCTCCTTGACTGGCTGTGGAATAGATGATATCGTAGTATCTGCAGCTATATAGAGCTGGACTGTCTCAGCTCCAGCCAGACTGACTGAATTAGTTATATCCAGTATAGCAGATTTACCAGTAACAGTTAGATTAGAGAAAGTAAAGGTAGTATATAATAAACTGTAACTATAGAATAAGATTAATTAATTTTTATATTAAATAAGGCCTTATAAATATATCCAAATAGATAAAGTATATCTCAGAGGGTCTTTTTATAGTATTTATAACCCATATAGATGTCTTCACTATATACTACCTATCCTCGCTTACTTCTAAAGTTAAGGTATGTTAGTATATCTTCGACTCTTCGCGGGAATAAAAGAGGCAGCTTTCTACTAGGGTTAACGGTACCAAATAAGATATTTGCAATGCCGTTACCCAGCTCGTTGCCGCCGAACCAGGCGTGCAAATGTGTCTTAACATGATCTGCCCAAGGAAGCATATTGAATGGCGTGCCACTCTGGCTGATGATAATAGTATTGGGCGCGGCGGCGAGAACAGCGGTAATCAAAGAAGAGACGCTGGAGGGAAGGTCCATAAGAGGCCGGTCAAACCCTTCTGACTCGTAGTCACGGCTCAGTCCGCCACAGATGACGGTGGCGTCTGCGCGCTTCGCAGCCTCGACGGCTCGTGCGATAGCCAATTCCGGGTCGACGGCTTGGATCATACCCAAGCGACCCGCACCGCCACCAAAGTTCACAACACCAGGCTTGACAAGTTTGGATGAAGGACCACTGACGAATTGCACCTTGATCTTGTATGCCTAGCCTTGAACAAGGTCGACAGTAGCCTTCTCCTCGAGAGTGCCTTTACCGAAGAAGAATGTTCCACCTCGCTGCGTGGTGGTATTGTCAATAAGAAGCGTATCATCGATAAAGAAGCTGGCAGAACCATAGACAGCGACACCAAAGTCGAAAGAGCCGGTTGCAGGGGCAATCAACTCCGCCTCGATATCGACGTAGAATAGTTTCTCGAGTTGCGGGTTAGAGTAGCCCATGAGATGCCACGATGACTCTTGAACGACGATCTCCTCGATGACAGGCCGGTCCTGGGTTGAGGGCGCATCTCGGTAGAAGCGCATGCGGATCCCAGGTTGTCCCTCGGGCGTGCGTATGTCTGGAGCTTGCAACTCTGGGAGAAAGGTATGCGAATTGGCACCGATCTCATATATGACCTCGACGTCGTCCGGAAGTTGGTCGACGATACCCTGGTAAGGCGAAGTGGTGTAATATGGCTGGAGGGCCGCTGAACCTCCGCCGCAGAAGGCCGACGTCTTCATGTTTGGCCCGATCAAGGCGATGCTTTTGAGCAACTTTTGATTCAGAGGCAGTAAGCTAGCTTCGTTCTTCAGGAGAACGACGCTGTCAGCCGCCAGCTTCCGGTTAAGCCTGCGGTCCGCGGGAAAGTCCCTGGTGCTCTCCTCCTCCGCCACATCAACTCTGCTGGCTCGCTGTACAAACTCAAGCACATTCCTCGCCCGCTCGTCGAGCGTTGTGCGGGAAACTTTGCGGCTCGAGATAGCAAGGTCCACCAAGGCCCCTCGTTGCTTTGGGGGTCCAGGCATCTCCAGATCAAGGCCAGCATTGATGGCCTCTGCGGTTGAGTAAGTGCCGAACCTGCGATATTACATCAATATTTGCCACTCCTTATGAGAGATGGGAGGGGTACTAGACGCTCACCAGTCGCTCATGATCAGGCCCTTCCATCCCCACTCGTTCCGTAGAAGATCGGTCAGCATCTCCTTGCTCTCCGAGATATGTTGGCCATTAATCTTATTATAGCACGTCATAACTGCCCCTGGAGATGCATCTGCAATAGCAATCTGGAAGGGCAGGAGGTGAACCTCTCGCAGGGCACGCTCGCTAACTGTGACATTAACGCTAATACGTTCATGTTCCTGGTCATTCGCGGCGAAATGCTTGATAGTCGATATAACTCCAGTGGATTGTGCTCCTTTGATATAGGCTGCGGCCAGCTTACCAGTGACATATGGGTCATCTGATAGGGACTCGAAGCCTCTGCCTCCAAGCGGCGAGCGCTGGATGCAAACTGTAGGCCCTAGCCAGCACGCAGCACCTTTGGCCTTGCATTCCTGGCCGATGAGGATGCCTGCCTCATATAGTAGAGCCTGGTCCCATGTGGCGGCCAGGCCAGTGCCGCAGGGGAGGCAGGCCGCGCGAACCGCATCGAAGAACTTTGTGCCTCGTACGCCGTTTGGGCCGTCGCTCACCCTGACTGACGGGACATTGAACCTTGGCAGGGGTACTGTGTGCCAGAAGTCCTCGCCTGGCGTGGTCTGAGTCAGTTCCGCGTTAAGCAGACGGGTGCTCAAAACTTTGCCTCACCTGCAAGAAGCGACACCTTTTCCCCGATTGTGGCGTTTCGGAGGACGTGTTCCACGTCAAACCCATCTTTCTGGGGTAGCAGCTCGCCCATATTGTTGGAATATGTGGGGAAATGGGGCAGGAACGGTATATCTGAAGTTGGAAAGGGAAGAAGCTGATGATGCACTTGGTTCTATACTTATAAATTGGCGGCGTGAGGATTGGGTGTTGGATAGTTCCAGAGTCAAGAATCGCGGGGCCACACGGGGGCGAGTAGAAGCATCCTAGACCAGACCTGTATCATGCTGCGGGGAGTGACAAGCTGCTCACATCGGGGAGCACACCCGAGCGGTGATAGTCATGCCCAGCGTCGGCTCTGGTTCATGTCCGAGTAAGGAAATGACTGTCATGAGGCGCAGGTGTCCCGAGGAAGATGTCCCGAGGAAGATGGGGCGGTTTGAAGAACCAGCATGCAAGTCATGGTAGAATCGGGTATCCCGACTAGACTACCGGTCATGACTTACTGTATAACAAGCCCTGGAAAGGTGTTTTTAGTGTGCGAGTACCTTGCATAACTAGGGAGGACATGGTAGTCTATAGTCTACCCAATCCCCCCGGTCGGAATTGTTAAGTCCGGCAGTGTCCACTCACTCTTGGAGCATCTCCATTCGGGGTGCTCGCTGACAAATTGATTCGCTATGAAGGTGAGCGGGGACTTGCTCGCGGATTGTCCCCGAGCACCAGATCTCATCGGGGAGGCTGCCGACAAGCGAAGTATTTGGATGGCTTGATCTTTTGGAAATTGACACAATACGGCCGGCGCTCTTGCGTGTCGGCTTCCTGCCAAATGTCCCGAGATTGTTTCCCTTGTTCTATCTATTCGACTGGGTCCACAGCTTAACCAGGTCTCAATGATCAATCAACGGCGATAAAGCGACCAGCTGGGCGCCATCATCTCCATCATGCCCTTCTTTTCTAGCACAAAATCACATATGAATGTATTTCTGTCCCCTTTCACTGAGTGGCCACGGCTTAGAGACGCACCGTCCTGTTCAGTCTTGATTCCAACACCACCATGGACGAAAAGCCCTCGATATCTCCGGTCCAGCCGGAACGCCGACCCTTGCACCAAAGTACATCATCATCTCCAACGCTGAGAGAAGTGCCACACGCCCACGACATCGAGAAGAATACAGGGCCGAAGTTGCTTTCGACGGGCCAGCTCTCTGGTGCAGATGAATCCGGCGAGATCGACTGGGCCGGCCCCGACGACCCCAAGCTGCCCATCAACTGGTCGCAGTCAAGAAAATGGCGAAATGTCATGATAGTCTCGACATTGACCTTTCTTACGTGAGTAGACTCTGGTCCATGATCGTCACTGGACTTCACTGACCCGGGGCACGCTTCTCAGGCCGTTTGCGTCTTCAATGTTCGCGCCGGCGATCGATCAGGTGATGGAGGAGATGAAAACTTCTAACCGCGATGTCGGTTCGTTCGGCGTTTCGATTTACCTCCTTGGCTATGCGTTTGGGCCCCTCCTGCTTGGGCCCTGCAGTGAGCTATATGGGCGCCTGATAGTCTATCATGTCTGTACCGTCTTGTTTCTCATCCTCAACGTGGCCTGCGCGCTCGCCGTCAATATGCCGATGCTCATCATCTTCCGCTTCTTGACCGGCCTTGTCGGTGCATGTCCTTTGACCATCGGGCCCGGTACCGTCTCGGATTGCTTTCGGCAGGAAGAACGCGGCCGTGCTATGGCCGTCTGGACGATGCCAGTTCTCCTCGGGCCATGTCTAGGACCTGCAATTGGAGCCTATGTCTCCCGAGCACTGGGCTGGAGGTGGACCTTTGGCTTCTCATCATTATGGTATGTTATAAGCCTTGTCAGCTCCGACTGTGTGCGGACTGGGTTGACCTCTTTTAGGCAGGTACAATCTTCCTCGTCTGTCTAGTCTTCCAGCGAGAGACACACCCTCCCACGCTTCTCAAGCAAAAGGCCAAGGCGTTGAGAAAGTCAACAGGAGATGCTAGTATCCGAGCTGCTTCCCAGGCCACCATGTCTCGGGGACAACTATTTTCGACAAGCATCACCCGACCTATCAAGATGCTTTTCCGCTCTCCAGTCATCTTTGGGTTGTCTCTCCTCACCGCTGTCGCCTACGGCACGTTATATCTCCTGTTCACTACCGTGACGGAGGTGTTTTCGACGCGCTACGGTATTGTCACGAATGTTGGCCTCGTTTATCTTGGCTTCGGCTGCGGCCAGTTTGTTGGATTATTTGTCTTGGGTTTGATCTCGGACCGAATCGTCAAGAAGGCAGCCAAAGGCGGTGAGATGAAGCCAGAATACCGTCTGCCCCCTATGATTCCCGGTGGAGCGATGATCCCAATCGGCTTACTTATATACGGATGGACGGCTCAGTACAAGGTGTTCTGGTTCGTGCCTATAATTGGCACATTCTTGATAGGTATCGGGATGATCACGGTGTTCACGCCTGTTGGAACGTATCTGATCGATGCGTTTCCAACGTATGCTGCCAGCGCTACAGCAGCCAACACTGTCTTCCGGAGCATTGGTGGTGCACTTCTCCCACTGGCTGGGCCTCGGATGTATGATCGTCTTGGTCTAGGGTGGGGAAATACTCTTCTGGCCGGAATGTCCCTCTTCATGATGGGCATGATCGTCATGTCATTGAAGTACGGGGAACAGCTGAGGACGCATCCAAGATATCAGCTTAAGCTGTGAGGGCAATCGAACGCGAGCGCTGTGAACCCTCGGTGGCGGAGCCCAGAGCTCAGGGGTCAGCCAAGATGTTCAGATGGGTATAAGCAAACTGCTCAGTGGTGGATAGTTGCACAGGCACAAACGTCCTGATCCACAGTGCCGCAAGTTCGAGAGCTTCAAGCCCGCTTCAGACCATGACGCAAGCAAGAAATCCTCTACTTCCTTGGCGGACTTATAAAGCTCAAGATCAACCATCTTATTATAAAGCGTTGGATGTTTTAATTGCAGAATTATATAAGCTAACTGGGCAATAGTGCCAGCAGACCTTCCGAGGAGATAGAATGGCCAGATACATAGATATAATTCCGGCTTAGAATAAGGCACAGAATCCGAACCATTCTACCGAAGCCCATTGAAGCGCAGGGTATCCGTGTGAAATGCTGTTGCTGAAGCGAGTACCGTAAAAGTCTAGGTGTTACAACACATCAAGAACCGGGGAGATACAGGGAGGGGAAGAAACATGAGGGCTGGCGAATATAATATAATTATGGGCGGTGGCAGAACAAATGGGATATTTCGGCTGAGTAACCATGCCAGTCAGCCCACACTGTGAATATGAAAGGCCAAAGCTTTCATAGACATTGTTTTGGAAAGCGGCTACTACCCATAACTCTTGGCAAGAGCGGTATATTTGTGTCGACTGTCGCCTGCGACTAAAAACCGGCAATCTGATAAGAACAAAACACTCAGGCTTGGCCAAGTCGCAAGCATGCTGCCAGTCTCTCGACACTCTACGAGCTGCCCTTATCCTCAAAGCCGTCGAGGCCCCAGCGTATCAGGTCGTAGCAGTCCTTTACACCACCTCTTGTTTCCTCTGAAAGGATCTCCAAGCCGTCCAAGAATGTCTCAACAACGGGGCGCCAGTTTTCAGGCACCCAGAGTCGGGAGGCAACATTGAGCGTCGAGTGCTGATCCCTCCGCGAGGCTCCAATCAGGATCATAGCGTTCGCTGTATTGTTCCTAATCCCTGTCCACATGCCGTGACCGAGTCTGGTTGGTTTCCCTGCTGACTGTAGCCTCCAAGTACAGAATTGCAGGCCCAGAGACGCTCTGGATGTAACCTCGGCAATCAACTCTTCGGGAAAATCTAGAAAATAATTCAGGCAGATACGCACGAATGGTCGGCATAAGAGCTCGCTGATGAACAGATAACGAGAGCGCATAACCAACTTGAACGGGTTAGACTCGGGCGCAATGCTAGAATCAGGAGAATCAAATGAAATCTCTTGTGGAAGTGATTCATACCAGTCCTCGAGTTGCGAACTGAATATCTTGTAGTCACGGAGCGAGACCTGAGCTTGAGCTTCGGTGGGGCATCCTTTGACCCTGAATCCGGCGTTGATGATGCGGTTGATGAGGTGCCGGGCTGCTATATCGCTGAGATAATAGTACCAAGTGGTGGCGTCTTCATGAGGTTCTTCTAGCTGTGTTTCGCTGAGCATCGGCGGTGAGGGGAAGACAAGCTGGTCCTCAATGTGCTCGAGCACGGAGCCAGGTATTGCCAGTTCGTAGCGAATCTCCCTATAGTCAAAGCAGGCCGTACATGTTAGAATATGTCACTGTCAGTAGGTAGCCGATGAACATACAGTTCTGATTTGTACGCCGTGTAGAAGATACTCTGCTCAATAGCCTGGGAGATTGGGGACACAAACTGAGGGTCGACAGGTGCCATGGATGTCCTGAATTAGTCAATAAGCTGGTTTCCTCGCACGTACAAATAATCCCACCTGGCCAAGATGGCAGCGTAGCAGCAGTTCCCTGACATGGTGAAATGCTTCCAAGCATCGAGCAGTTGCAGATTACACATGAACCAGATCCTATCCGACATCCAACGGTCAGCAGGAAGATACGAGTATCAGTGGTGCAGCGATCCATGGCGCAGCACATGCGTACATGACATGGCTTACCCTGCCAGGCACAGACATTGGGCCGACTCGAGTGTGTTCTGGCTCATAGCGCGCCCTAGTCTCTTTGATGCAACGCTCCAAAACCGGTAGGCGATATCAAAATCGTGGTTGCGTTCCGCTATGGGGAGGCGGCTTGGTATCTCCATACTGGTCGTGGCCTCCTGGCACAATGCACCGATTGCGCAGACGAGGGCGACGAGACAGGTGCGGGTTGTTGAATCAAACCCGTTTTCGGACACATGGGTAACATATCCATCAAGGGTGTCAAGGTCAAGCATTGGGTTCATGTTGTGAACCACGCGACGATAGTTCTTCTGTAGTCTGTTGAGCTGCTGGAAAGTGATCGGGGGGAGCTCGTCTGGCATTGGGACAGGTATCCCATTATCCACCCGGACCTTTCTGATGCCAGGAGGAAATACATGCCACCCAATAACACTGTCGAGGCCTTCCGAGGAGGCAAAGAGATGGGGAGAAGGGAGAACCGAGGAAAGTCTGGTGCTGTGGTCGGCGGTTGGGTTGGTGTTGGTGTTGGCGTCAGAGGCTTGGGAGGGAGGAAACGGGCTCAACCCGTTGCCGTTGGCCGACAGTGCCAGTGTCATGTCGCCGGCCGTGTTGCTTTGTTCGGCCCAGCTCGGTTGTGGTTGAACGTGGTCTTTGACAACCCGTGTGAGGTGCTCGACGGCCTGAAGAATCCGAGACCCCACATCGTGATACCTGCAGATCGGAATCGGGATCTTTGTGAGTAGAGGCTTGCGGAGGATCCAAAGGAGACAGAGCAGAGCAGAGCAGAGAAACAGTCTGGTTGAAACGTACATTGTCAAGTCGGGGGGCACGTCGGCAATGTCGTATCGGCAATCAGACCTCGTGCGCTGGCAGTAGCCACACAACGGCCGACGACCATCGCATTTGGTCTTCCTGCCACGGCACACGACGCAGGCCATGGCAGCACGCGTCCGCTGGCGATGGCCCTGGTCCCGGGGCTGGGTTCTGCGGGAACTCTGGCTCTGAGCCGTGGCCGTACCGGACACAGACGAGCCTTCGACGGCCGCATCTGGAGGTGTCTCGGCACTCCCGGTGCGGAGCCTCTTGTTCGGTCGATTGTTGCCGGAACAGTCACTCGGGGAATCCGTTGCGTCCATCATGGTCGTGCTGGCTATCTTTGCTGTCGGCTTGGGAGGAAGCAGAACAGGAGTGGTGATAGAAGGTATCGGCTCTTCCCCAACGGCGCCGCCCTGGTTATTAACACGCGAGAAGAGCCCCCACAAGTTAGTACAGGGCGGATAACCAAGGCTCCTGATTGGATATGAAAATCATGGGGAAATGCAGAGATAATCCCCGCTAACTAGTCTAGTAAGATGGCCCGATCTACTGGTCACTGGGATGGGGATAAGCTACTTTGTACGGTGAGCTTCTCTCAGGCATGATAGCTTAGGTCCTGTCGGTATCACCTGCAACCCCGTTCATCATCATGACGACAATGACATGACCTTACTAGCTGGTACTTTGATGAGTCAGGTCGCTTCCGAGGCCGTGATACGATTCCTTCGACTCCAACATTTCAGTGTTGGTGGTAGACGTTGAATGACAGCATTTGACTTGGCCTTTTTCTTTTTTCTTTCTTCATCGACCAATCTGTTGTCAAATTAGTAGCCAATTTTGGCGACTCATCTTCCAAAAATGAGCTCACCAACCAAAACCCTTAAGCTTGGCATCATTGGCTGCGTCGAAATCACCCAGGCCGTCTTCATCTCGACCATAGGCTGTCTCCGTGACTATTATCGCATCACCTATCTATGCGATAGCTCTCACGATGCGTTGCAGCACTGTCGCGGGTTGGTAGCTGGGGCTAGTCCCTCTGTCACCCACGATGCCCGAGAACTGATTGCGTCCCCGGACGTGGACGCCGTCGTGGTGATGAGCTCGTACGAGGACCACGTTGCGCACACAGTCATGGCTCTGGAACACAACAAGTTTGTCATTGTTGAAAAGCCACTGGCCATGAGCCTGGAAGACGCCGACGCCATCATCGCCGCCGAGAGAAAGTCGTCAGCTAGGGTTTTTGTGGGTTATATTCGTAGATATGCCCCCGCGTTTCTCGATGCGCTCAACGAGATTGGCAGTATGGACAAGATTGACTACGTCCGTGTGCGAGGTATCCTACTGCGGCACCACTTCCCTTTCAAAACCCTGAGGCTTGCGCTGACTCGTCCCTTGCAGACATTATCGGGCCCAACTGTATCTTCATCTCGCAGAGCGGCACATTCCCCAAGACCTTCGCCGCTGACTCGGACCAAGAAGCCCAGGACCGCCTGGCCAGGCGCGACAAGATCCTCGCTACTGCAATAGTGAAGGAGTGCAACGTGCCCCTTACCGCACAGTCAAAAAGGGCATGGGCTCTTCTCGGTGGTTTGGGCTGCCACGATATATCTGCAATGAGAGAAGTACTCGGAATGCCTACTTCTGTGGTCGGCGTCTCCTTGAACTTCCCATTCTGGAAGCACGTTATCCCCTAGGCTCGGCGACCACACGATTTGCTGACCAATGCAGTGTTCTATTCCAGTATCCCGACTTCGCCGTCAGTTACGAGTCTGGGCTCACCAACGTTCCGGATTTTGACGCCCATATTGAAGTCTATAGCGCCAACAAGATTGTCAGAGTCAAGTACGACTCAGCTTATATCAAGGGCGCGCCGACCACCATACGCGTCGTCGAGGGTGTTGGGGGCGCCCTCCGTGAGACATTGGTTCGGCAGACTTATGAGGACGAGTATACGCTGGAGCTCAAAGAGTTTTATGAGGCTGTCGTGCACGGGAAGCCCATCAAGACCAGTGCACAGGACGCGAGGCTGGACCTTGAGATATTCGGGATGATATTACAGTGGCAAAGATAGCTCAAAGAGTCCTAGTCGCGTGAGCCTCCTTTAGGTTGGTCCTCGCGCAAATCTCTTGAGCAGAGGGGTCTTGTTGGAAAGAGAATAAGGATTCCAAAATGGAAACCATCGTCTGACTCTTGAGAGCAAGACGTCTTAAATAAGAGTTTCGGCTTACAGAGTGAAATGTTTTCCATTAGTCAGAGAGGTGCTATGCTAGTACCTCTCCGTCCCCTTAAAGCCAGCCAACTTCAGTCGTTATTTAGTTACTTTCAAGGCACAGCTATTACCTGCAGCTCATAAAGGTATAGGAAAAGGTAACCAGTTGGACCAGAAACCTTAGTCTGTCTGAGTACATTGTTGACCTTTGAATGGACTGGGTATATGGTCCGTATTGTTGATACGATTGTTGGTATTTTTTTTTTACTGTTGAGCTTCTAGTCCCCCCTCTGGGTATGTGTGTACTAGGGCACCCTAACCTCTTGATTATTTAGTTACAAATCAAAAGCGTCAGTGCAGTCAAAGTCCCCGTTAAGTGTCGCAAAGTCTTCAAGCTATGGAAGCTGATTTGTAATTCCACATCTCTATCAATCAGTCTATTGTGAGGTGTTGCCACTTCTGCAAAGAACACAGTTTGGTATGTTATTCAATCATAATGCGAGACGACCTCTCCTCACAACGGTAATCTCTGCACGACGAGCAAATGAATAGAATTTGATACTGACTGACTATATCTCTGAAGATTGAACACTGCCACCATTCTCAGTCGCCGGAATTGCAACAATGACCATCGAAGCAGTTTCTGTCTCACTCGTGTTGCGCCATCCATGCATTGTAGCTCTCTGAATGAGACTGTCACCCACCACCAAAGTTCTTGATTCACCGCTGTCGAGCACGGCTTCCACTATTTCGAAAGGAAAAGAGATGAGTCAGCGCCAACAGTGGAGGAGCAGTTTCAAACCAGGACAGGGCATACCAGAGCCAGCAACAAGTATACCGATATCGATGCTGAGGTTGCGATGCAAGCGCGATATCGGCGCATCCTTGCCTCCTGGGGCAATTCGCATCGTAAATACCTGACAGCCCTGCTTGGGGACTAGCTCGATGGGGCTGCTGCTGTGGTATTCAAGATCTGCGTTATCCGTGATGTCAACAGGCAGGCTGTTGGAACCATAAATGACTGCCAGATTGCTACTGAAAACCTTTGGCTTCACTTCGGTGAATACAGCCTGCCCGGAAGCGGTTTGCGTCGTAGTGAAAACATTGGGCTCGATTGGGGGATTGGTGGCCATCGTGTTATGTATATGGGAGACGAACTTGGCTTGTTGCGATTAGCAGCAGTGGTACGGTATAGTGGCCTTCGGACCTCGAGCTGTAGATATACCTCGGGTTGAATATCACAATTGAGAGGCTGCAAAATGGCCCGCGGTCATGATATGTGTTCGGGGCTCAGCTGGTAAGTCAGCGGCGGCTCAGTCATATCCCCATATCATTTGGAGCAGGTTGTGGTTTTCTCTTCGGTAATCATGGTCAGTTCGAGAATGACGTAACATTATGGGTTAAAGTCATTGTTCATTAGGAAATGGGACCGCCGGCCCCGGCGTGGGATCCACGACGAGGGTCATCGGCTTTTCCCCGAATATCGTCGACGACAATAACAGGATCTCGGAGCGGGGCGTGCAGGGATGATTAGGACCAAAATGGCCTTGAGTCCGAGACTGCTCCGCTGCGACTACGCTAACTCTCAACAGCTTCTCCCCGTGGAGTGAGGGTGGAACTCTTTTTCGGGTGCGTCGGGATCTCTCTAATTTTGGAACGTTGTTCACAAAGGGTCATGTACAGTGAGATGCGAAAGGTGGTATTCAGCAGTAGCTAGCAATGCGGTCCCCTATAAATTACAGTGGCCTTCATTCCGCACAAAGTGTTTGCCAGCTTTTCTAGATTGGTGTTTTGCTCCCGCAACGCAGAGCACACTGCGGTTACCTGTTAAACTCATCGGCGAGATCGATGAACGACTGCAAAGCCTCCGCCCTCCAAGTGTCGGGCTGAACATGCACGCCCTCGGTCGCACTGAAGACCATGTTTGTCGGGTTGCCCTTGGAATATTCAGGCCAGGTGATGTCCAGCCCAGGCACTACTCTCGTCAGTATCCTGGCCACCTCGACATTGAAAAGACTGGCATAGAGGAGGGTGTGACACTGACCTTTGTGATTGTTGGGTGATCCTGTCGCAACAAAGCTCACCCACATCCTGCTCATGGCGTCCGCGAGGGCAAAGTGCTTTGCTCGCAGCTCAGGGTCCGTCGGAAACGGGTTCTGCTCCCAGCCGACGGCATCTTTGTTTCCAAAGGCGTACAGAATTTCCTGGAAGTGTGCCGCCCCGTCGCGTTGTGGGCTGAGACTCGCAGTAACTGTGTCGAACAAGAAGCTGTAGCTGGGAACTCGATGCTCTGCCCACACCTGATTGGCGTAACGTCTGCCTGCAGTGAAGTAATTGTCTCCCTCCCAGAGACTCATCTTGCCGTACGCGGATCCTAGTGCTTTTCCGCCATCGGCGACCACGGTGCCCAGGCCGGCAACGGATGGGTTATCAATCTCCTCCTGGTATAGCCGCCACCAGGTGCACAGCGCATCTAGTGGGGGCACGTTTCCTGCATTGACCGATGTGATGATGTCTGCAAATTCTTGGAGGGTGTTGACCGGACTGTTTTTCTCAATGTCAAGCTGCGTGAGGGTTGTGCCGTCGTTCCTGTTGGAACCGATCAGGAGTGGCACCTTGACGAACTGGCCCGCCGCCAGGAGACGGGAGCTTCGATCGGTGAGGATTTCTCCGTCCTGGACAAAGACTTGAGGCACTGAAGTACCGGCTTTCTGGATTACCTCGGCGGGCACGCTACGGAGGCAGTCCAGCGGCTGAAGCGCATCTGTACATCCCGTGACGTTGAGAGCAGCGGTGAATGCCGCAGCCTCCGCGGCGTCGTCGAGGAAGGGATTCGACGCGAACGGACCGCTGCTGTGTGCGATGGCAGCACTGAAAAGACCTTCGTCCGGGGCCAGTAGATGATGGCCCACGTTGCCGGCGCCCGCTGACTCGCCCATGATGGTGACACGAGCCTTGTCTCCTCCAAAGTACACGATATTCTCCTGGATCCAAGCCAGTGCCTGGCGCTGATCATGAAGCAACAGGTTCGTTACACCAGCCTCTTGCGGAATTGGCCCGCTCATCCTCCCGAACAGACCGGGCCGGTAGTTGAAACTGGCGTAGATGATCGGAGTGCCCATCTTGACCGAGGTGTGGACGAGAAAGGACCCGTTGTACCGGCCGTCGTTGGCGCTACCCTCTGACCAGCCGCCCCCATGGAGCCACACCAGGACGGGCAGCAACGGGGCGGGCTTGGAGCCGTGGCCAACATGTACAGCGCTAGAAGGACGCACGAGGTTCATGTACAGACAGTTTTCGCTAGACTCTCCCGTGACATTCTGGCTGAAGCCACGCAGATGCAAGCTGTTACCCAGACACCACGAGCTGTACGAGTCAGCCTGCCTAGTAATTCCGTGCCAGGCCTTTGGGGGAGCAGGGCGGCGAAAGCGAAGGTCGCCGACCGGAGGTGCGGCGTAGGGAAAGCCGAGGAAGAAATCTTGACGGTAAGGGCGGTTGTAAGTGCCGGCCAATGTTCCGTTGGGGAGGCGAACGAGAGGCGACGCCTTTACTGCTGGGGCTGGCGAGGCTACGGCAGATAGGGTACCGCATAGAAGCTGGAAGAGAACGCAGAGGCCCCAGACCCGGTGCAAGTATGACAGAGAGGGCATGTTTCTGTCACCGGTGAAGAACAAGATAAGGTAGATAGTAATCTGTAGAGAGGAGTTGTAGCTTCGCAATGACACGCTCACTTGAACGGAAAAGCCCATCGTCAGAGAAAACGGGCCTTTCAAGATAAATCTATCTGTTCAGAATTCGGAATAGAAACTTCCATGCCATGGGGGGGACCCTGCATGAACCGTCATTGGGAACAAGTTCTTGTCTCTATTCGGGGGATGTCGCCAACGGCTCAAAACAAAGGTGTCGGACCAAGACCGGCTGAGCCGATGGAGCTGAGAGTCTTCGTCCCCGGCTTAATATTACGTACCCCCAGTCTCTTGTTCCTCCATACAGAAAATTGCGCTCGCCCACTAACTAGATTGGCTGTAGCGTCGCGGGGAAGCTCAAAGCATCGGAACACGCTCGGCTCAGCCGATGAAGATGGCCTGACTGGATGCTGTCGTTTAATACATTCAGTCTGCGTGGCGTGCCTCGTGTTGCTATAAATGATATTTCGCTTGCGCCTAATAGTTGCCTGATATGGGAAATAATTCAGGTTTTGTGTATTCGAACTGTAATTACCCTATAACCATGTCGTCCACTAGTGGAACTGAACTGCGTTGGGGAGTCGTTGGTAAGAGTAATTCCCTGCCATTACCCTGCGCAATTGAGCTCACGAGACACAGGCTGTGGTATGATCTCATCTTGGTTCGTGTCTGATTTGATGCTGCCCCGCTCAGATTCATCTCCCAGACACAAACTTCAAGCCGTCGGGTCCTCCTCTGTGGAAAAGGCACGAGAGTTTGTTCAAACCCACGCTCCAGCCGTGTCTCCATCTCTGTACCCGTCATACGACAAGGTCTTCAATGACGCCAATGTGGATATAGTGTACATCGGAACACCGCATTCATGTCACTTTGAAAATGCATTCGCCGCTATACAGGCTGGAAAGAATGTGCTGTGCGAGAAACCTCTGACTATTAATGCAAGGCAAGCGGAGTCTCTAATCACTGCCGCGAGAGAAAAGAATGTGTACTTGATGGAAAGTACGTACCTCGAACAATGAGAGACTTGGTGATAGATTAGATGCTCACGCTCTGAATCAGCGGTATGGACCCGTTTCTTCCCTATTGCATCAGCCTTGCGGAGCATTATTCATGACCAGAAGAGACTGGGCAAGCTTTCTCGGTTTTTCATGGATTTCGGCATGCACATGCAAACCAGTTCTCTGCCCCAGGACTCGCGACTGAAAGACCCGTCTAAAGGTGCTGGAGCTCTTCTAGACATCGGCATATACACTTTAACGTGGGCATCCATCGTCTTTGATCAGCATCCTGACAACGACTCGTCCCAGCCAGCAACTGTATCCAGCAGCATGACGCTGAAGGACGGCATCGACGAGACGACATCCATCATCCTAAACTATCCCTCATTGCAAGCTCAGGCGATTTGCACCACCACTCTGTTGCGAAGTTCAGATCAGATCTTTGGACGCATTGAGGGCTCAAACGGAACTATCCTGATGGGTGGCAACGGTGCCTCCAAGCCGCTGTTTCTTGTGGTTCGAGAACGAGGCAAAGAGGAAGAGAGGCTGGACTTTCCCATCCCACCAAAGAGCGGGTTTTACCATGAACAGGATGCCATCGCCGCAGACCTCGCGGCGGGAAGGAAAGAAAGCAACGTGATTCCTCTAGACGAGTCGCTAAGGATCATGAGATTAATGGACTCCGTTAGATACACAAACGGTTTGAGGTATCCACAAGACGAGAAGTGATATAGCAAGCTACAGCATTGATTAGCCGGGCTCAATGGAATCGTGACCTTCATAGCCTCCAAACATCTCTTACTAGAAAGTTTTACAGTGTGTACTTGAGTGAGAGCAAGATGTGATGAGCCTTTTGAGGACGCCAGAGCTGCTTAAAAGAGGTACCGAGACAGTATATTTTTTTCTGATGAGTAGAGGACAATCACGGAACCGACAAAGGTAATCTAGTGTTACATTCATGGTCCGGCAGGAATATTTCGCTCAGAACTCCCGCATCGAGTGACCTGACTGTCAAGACACAGCAACGAATACGAAAATCAGATATTTTTGAAAGTATTGATAGGCTATTAAGACGTGTATGAACAGCGCCGCAAACCACTACGTCAACTCCAAGACACGCTTCTACCTGTGCGAGCGCTTTCTCTCGCTAGCTCAAACAGCCTTATCACGCCCCGCCCCTGCTCCGCCGTCACTATCAGCTCTTCTTGGCCACGCAGAGACCTGGCTATGTTCTGATAGTAGCCGAGCCAGTTTCCACGTACTGTGGGCATCTTGCCCACATACCGAGGCTGGCGACCGGACTCATCCAAGGCCTGGAATGAAGCATCATACATGGATGTGGTGGTTAGTTCACCGAAGTGAGAGAGGTCCTCTTTGCCAAATTCCGGGTCTAGAGGGGACGAGAACTGACGACCCGCAACATGTGCCTCTTGCATGTCATGGTGGAACTAGGAGGCAATTTAGCTGGACAAGCTTTTGACAGCTGGGGGTGAGTAAGGAGCGCCAACCTTGATATACGACCCTTGACGGCCTCGCACCAAGAATCGTAGCGGCTGCGTCGAGGGGCCAATTTGCGTACTCCGGATGGTGACCACCAGGCCCTGGTTCTCGGGCGCTGCGTACTGAAGAATCAACGTGTGCCAGTCGTCGATGGCGCTGCCGCGGGCTCCATCCCGATGGGCCCTGAAGACTGCAAAGACTTGCTCCGGCCGCCCAAACAGGCCGAGAACCTGGTCGGCAGTGTGGGAGCCCAGTCCAAAGAGCGTCCCCTGCCGGGGATGTACTCATCTGCCCAAATAGAGGGCCACCCCGGGTCATCCCAGTCAAAGTGTGTCTCGAAGTCGATCAGGTCACCAAGAACTCCGTTCTTGACGAGGTATTGAACCGTGAGGAAGTCTCCATCAAACCGACGATCTAATGAAGGGAGCGCAAAGCCGTCCGTTAGAGCTCAAGCAAGTCAATAACTTAGAAAGAGAGGATACTTACTGTGGTAGACTGTTACTATTTTATCTACACTCTTGGCCGTCTGGATGAGGTCGTCTGCCTCTGCACTAGTAGTGGTGAATGCTTTCTCGACGATGACATTTTTGCCTTCAAGAAGTGCCCTCTTTACATACTCGTAGTGCATAGCAGCCACGGCAACCAAGACTAGCTCAATCTCGTCATCGGCAAAGAAAGAGTCGACATCGGTAAAGTGCTTCGCCGCAGGGAAGTCGACAGTGCAATGCTCGCCCGGTTTGGCGTCGGGCGCCGGTGGCGTTCGCTGTAGAATAGCATACACCTCGATTTCGGGGATATGGGTAATCAGAGGCAGATGGAAGTTTTTGGCCGAGTTGCCGTACCCGATGACGCCTAGCTTTATCTTGGTGGACGACATGTTCAAATTCTGGAAGACTTTGGCCAGGAACTGTTGACTTTGGTGAGCACCCAAGCCTCAGGGCAAGAGGTTAGACGTTATAACTTGTCCTGATTACAAGTACGAGGATGGCGTCCAGAGCGGGTGATTATTTGACCGCGAGACAAGGGGCAGGATCAGTTTCCATGACCTACGGTTTCCTCGGGTTACGCTCCCGATGTGCAATGCAATTGATGCCAACGCAGTTCGGCCCTTCCCGGGCTGGCATGGCGATGGCATCAGTCTCAATTCGAAGTCAACAACGACGTGCGATATTCGGATTTAGCTCGCCTTGACCCGATGGATGCTTCCCCAGGAAATGAGCCACCGTCACCCCGCGATGCACCTGTCTCCTTTGCCATCTTCTGATGGGTGAGCCAATTATAGCCGTCGTGGACTCCTGCTCCGAGACTAATGCTCAAGTGGCTTGTACTAACGCCAACCTGAGCTCCCAGCACCTTTCAAACTGGGTCTCTGCCCAGCTTCGGAACAGCCGACGCAGTGCCGATGGACCAACAGAAGGGTGGCGCAAAGCAGCCCCCGGAGTGTCTCATCCGGGGGCCCCTGTGCTCGTTCTCCATTTTGGGGGTTGGAGATGGAGCACACGCCGCACTAAGCCCTCACAAGATCTCAGAGCAGCGCCCAGACTCAAGAGACCCTGGCTAGTCAGCGCAGCATAGTCATTAGGCACTCCAATTTTGCCCCTCAAGGGAAGAGTGGTTGCCTTTGCTCGTGCCTGTATTGAGGGGATGCGTTCTTGGCCTAGACATCGACCTGCCTACACATGCGTGATGTATGCTCGTCTCATCTCGTCAGTTCACTTCCTCCTCCTTCGCCACCTATCGGCACTTTCCCCGACCAGAGTCCAACTGAAAAACAACCATGGTCTAGACAATGCGTGTGGTGCCAGAAACCTGCTGATAATCCTCCTCGCCTTCGGCCTCTTGCCGTGGCACAAGCTACCCGGCACATGTATGTCTCTAACTTATTTTATTTTTCTATTCTTTTCCCATTTGTTACCCTTTTGCTCTAGATGTTAATAGAAAATAATATTTAAATATATCTATAGAAATTAAAGTATAGAAAAGCTTTTATCCCTGGCGTCTAGTAACTCTTGAGTAGTATGTAACCTGCAATAGGGTCTTGCTAATATTTACAAGTAAACCCTTAATAACTAATTATTCTAATTATATTACTTGGTTTTTAATATACAGAATATCTTTACTTATAAATAATCTATTGTAGAATGTAAATATTAACTTGTCTATTTATTATAGTAGCTAAGTTATAACTTATAATTAACTAGAAAATATAAAATAAATTAAGTTATTATTTTTACTACCTCTTAAAGTAATATCTAAGTATTATAGTTATATTAAATTAAAGTTAAAGGTATTTCTAACTCTCTTTAAAAATATCTAATAAGATTATAAGTAGCTTTATAAAGGGTATTAAAAATTGGCTTTTTTTATTACTATCTCTAGATAAAATAAAGCTTAAATAGAATAATAAGTAAGGTTATTAATTTTACTATAGTAGGGCTAGCTACCCTAAGTTTAAAATTTACTGTCTAATTATATAGTATCTATAGTTTATAGTAAATTTAGAGGCTATTTAAAAAATTATCTATAAGTACTTAAAATAGCCTATATAGAGTATTAAAGAAGACTTAGTATATAGTAGTAGCTAGTATAATTACCTTACCCTTAATATAGTAGTTAACTTCTAGTTAAATATAGATTTTTAGATATTATATTATTAGCTCTATTAATTTATAAGAATACTAACTTATTAGAATGTATTTTATAGAATTAAGGGATTTATTTTAAGATTATAAGTTTATTATATTTATTTTTATACTTCTACTTTTTATATATAAATTTAACTTATTTTTAATACTTTTATATTTCTTTTAATTATATACCTATATAATATTATTATATTATAAGCTTAAAATCTTTAGAAAATATAATAGGCTTTATATTTTTTTTATTAATTTTTTCTTTTATTATATCTTATAATATTAAAACTTAAGATTAATATTATTAAAATTATAGTTTAATTAAATAAATATTATTATTATTATTAATACTAATTTTATTAGCCTTTTTACTATACTACTAATTATATAAATAAGTATAAAAATTATTATATATAGAATAAAAACTAAAATTAATTAATTTTTAAAAGCTATTATATAAGTTTTTAATATTAAAGCTTTTAACCTTACTTTTTTTTTTAGCTAACTATTAAAATAGAAATTTTTAGTAATTTTTAAGAAATTCTTAAAAGCTGGAATTTTTAAGAATATTATTACTATAATATAAATAAATCCCGGATTACCCTAATATACTAAACTAAGCTAATATCATCCTATAATTACCCCAATATTACTTTATAAGAATTATACTAACTTAATACTAGAATTTTACAATAAATATACTATAAATAGAGTAAAATAGTAGGTATAACTAAAATCTACAAACTTTAATCTTAATATAGCTCTTATAGTATTTTTTATACTTATCTAGCTATATATCTATTTATATATAATCTCTTTATAATTTTAAAGCTTCTTTTTATAGCTATTTAAATATAAGATAGTAGCCTATACTAATAAAGATAAATCTACTACTAACTCTAGTATTAGTAGTAGCTAATTTACTTTAACCTTTAATACTAAGCCCGAAAAGATTAAAGTAACCCCCCTAATACTTACTAAATAAGAAGTAGCAATTTATAAGTATATTATCTAGCTTAAGAAATTATAAAAGCTTTAAGAATATAAAGCTAAACTCCGCCAACTTACTACTTAAATTACCTATTAAAACTTTAATAATAAACTCTATAAAGATTGATAATACTTATCTAGCTTTTTATTTAATAATAAAAAGAAAATTTAAATATATAATATAGCTACTTTTAAGCTACCTACTACTATTTAAAAGTGGGATAACTAGCTTTAGAATTTTTAATAGGCTTTTAAAGGGGCTTAGTAATAATATAACTAGGGCTATAAGAAGATTCTTCTAGTTTTTAATAATCTAATTTCTAAGAAAAAAATAAGATAGAATTAACATCTTAATAAAATAACCTTAAATAACTATCTAGATATAGAGAATATTTAAAATATCTTTAAAGAATAGATTCTTACCCTTCTTAAAGATACTACTAACTAAAAACCTCTTTTAATAAGATAATTTAAGTAAGTATACTAAAGGGAATTATAATTGCCCTAAAACTTCTATAAATATCTTAATTTCTTAGAGAAATAATTTCCAAAGTATAATAAAAAATAAAGAGCTTTTTTTTTATATTAAGCTATTATTCTCTCTTTAAAATTAAATATTAATATAATTTATATAGATTCTAAAAATATATATTAAGATTGTTATTCTTATAATTTAATATTAAAACTTAATATAAAGCTAGAAGAAGAAATAAAATAATTAATATAAAGATAAGCTAGCCTTTAAGTAACTCTAGAAAAATTCTAATAATTTAAGGGGACTATAAAAGTAATTTATAGAATAAGCTCTTATATATCTAGACCTTCTATATAACCCCACACTAAGAATAGATAGCTTTATTACCTATTATAACTATAATAAGATAGATTATATTAGTAGGATATACTTTAAACTATAAAAGTTCTAACTTAATAACCCTACTAACTTAGGAAATAGCTTATAGCTATTATAAAAATTTTAATAATAGTTATATTCCTCTAGATTTAAGTTAAATTATATTTTACTATCTTAATTACTATATAGAGTTAAAATCCTATTAAGATATATATATATCTTAACTTCTATATAGCCTTTAATCTTATTAGTAAGAAGTTTACTATTAGCTAAAATCTTAAATTTATTATAATATCTTACTCTAGGTTAATAATTATAGAAGAGACCCCCTTAAAATTATTATATAATTAGTTAGTTTCTATTATAATAACTAATTTTTATGGGTATATATATTTAATTAAGTGGATTTATATTAGTATTAAAAGTAACTTAAATTCTATTAGAATTCCCCTTTTCTATTAAACTCAACTATTATTAATAAGTAAATTTATTTTTATTTTATAGGAAATTAATAGTAGTTTTACTATTTATAGAAGATTATAAAGGTTATCTTAAT